CTCGTATCCGACCGTGATCCTCGATTCACGGCGGAATTTTGGCAAACCGTGTTCCGTTCTCTTGGAACACGATTGAAGATGTCTACTTCTGACCATCCGGAAACAGATAGTCAGACGGAACGTGCGAACCGTATTTTATAAGAGATCATTCGAGGATACGTCCACTCGTTTTCGAGTTGGAGCAAATTCCTTCCTATGGTGGAATTTGCCATCAATAATTCGGTGCATGCTTCAACCCAGCACACACCGTTTTACGTGAATGGCTTACGCCATCCACGTGTTCCCGCCCTTCTAGAGTGTGACTCTGGGTTAATGGGGGGAGGGACTCGCTCGAGCAAAAACCGTTTTGGCTCTTTCTCATCACGTGTCGACGCTAACGTCGTCACGTATGATGCCGATGTCGATCAGGTCGACATCGATGAAGAAGATCACCTCAATAATAGCGTCGCCGCTATTATTGACTCGGATGATGATGACGATCCTGGTATATTCAGCATCGTCACGAATTATTCCAGCGAGGAAGAAGACAACCTCGCTGAAGTAGAGAACAATCTCTTAGCAGTGCGCACGAAGCGCACTGAAAGACAAAACAAAGAGTCAGCAGAGAACTTCCTGCTGACTTGAGAGGCGGTAGTCCGTTTCGTTCAGGACTCCATCGGAAATGCGGTGGACCGTCAGAAACGGAACGCAAACAAGAATGGAAGAGCAAATGTTCTTTCATTTTAGGTATATGACCTAGTACTACTGTCTACGGTAAACTTACCTGGACATGCAGTCACTAGTGTCGGCAGTAGTAAACTACTGCCGAAATACATTGGGCCATTTCGAGTGTTGCATCTCAAGGGCAATGCATACACGATCGAATTGCCACGTAGGATGCGCACGCATCTTACGTTTTACGTGGGGCGACTCAGACCGTACTGTTGGTACGAGCCTTCTTCTTCCGATGAAGATAGCCCCCACGTTCAAGAACATCCATCAAGTTCTCGCGTTCGCGCTCCAGACGATCCGTCTGGTCGCGCAGATAAGATACCTCGGAACTCATCTGAGAGATCTCTCCGCGAGCCGTCGCCAGCTCGCCAAAGAAGGAGCGGACGTCGCTCTTGATCTGAAGCTGCGAGACCGGATACTCAGCGCGGTCCTCTCGCACGGTCCGCCTCGTTATCCTGTGCGGCGCTTCCGCAAATAGTCAGTCAGAGCGTAGCGCCTGTCCCTCTCGTGCTCTAAATCATCGCGCAATTCAACGGTTGCGCGATCCATCTCGTAAGGGTCGAGATGGTGATCAGAACATCTAAAGGAGGTCTTTCCTCCTCCACCACATCCTTTGGTGGATTCTCACGGTGGTCAACGCTTCCTAGTGGAGCGTATCTTGAACCACCGCGACGATTCAGGATCAAGGACTTGCTACCTCGTCCAGTGGCGGGGGTATCCACCCTCTTGGAACAGCTGGGAGCCCCGCTCTCAGCTGTTGGTGGACGTTGAAGGTCTCGTCCGCTAGTATGACGAGTCTCATCCGATTGGTCCGAGGGCCCATCGGTAAACACGCGCCCTAGGCGCTTGTAGACGGATTGCAAGTTTGCAATCTCGTCACGCATCTCAGCCGAGATGTGTGCCCTTCCCCAGGGAGAATCTAGGGAATACACGTCTCTATGTTCACGTTGCAAGTTGTCAGCACAACTCGCACAAGGGTCTCCCCAAGTGAGGCATGGAATGCCGGCCTCACTTGATAAACGATGCAACCAATACCTGCCACCGGTTGGCGTTCGCTTTTCGAACCTGAGGCGTACTGCCTCAAGCTTCTTGAGCCACCCTTCTCGTCCAAAATTCTTTACGTTTTGGACGAACGCGTTCCACGTTGCCGAAAGCGAGTTCTTGTCACGCTTTTGGATTGCCGTTATACCATCGATGTCTTAGGAAGACATCGAGATTAAAATCTTCTTCAGCGCGAAAGTTGCTCGCGCTGGAACTCAAGCCATGAAGCTCGGTCGCATCGAATAAAGGTATTCGATGGTGTTGGTTTGTCTCGTGAGACAAGCTATTGATGAGCCGTTCGGGCAGACGCCACGGCTTCGGCTCATCACGCTTCGAAGTGGTACCTTTGTCGGTACCACGGCTCCCAGAATGACGACGGCTCGCGCCATCGTCATCACGCTCGTGCGAAGAAGCACGAGTCGGTGGTGGTAAGGAGTAATACTCCTCACCACTCTGATCACCTCCATCATCACTTCCGAACAGACTGTATTACAACTCACGAGTACGTTCGTTCGGCAGTGGCCTTGGCGAATACTGAGGCGTCGCCGGTGATCGAGACGCCTCTGGAACATTGCCCGAGTCAGACACGTCTGACTCGCCAGAGTAGATGACCTCAATGTCGGGGTCATCATGCGCACGCGGTGCTGTACCGCGTGCACCTGCAGCACCTCTTGCTGCAGGCGTAGAACGAGCAGCAGACGACGAATCGTCTGCCGCAGAAGCTGGCACAGGCATCGACTCTGTGTGCCTTGAGTCACCCCGCACAGACATGTTAACTATGCGAGGTCAGGTCAAGTTATGAACGGAACTGACCCAACAAGTGCTCCCTGTCCCAATGGTGACCATTGAGTGGCCACCATACTTTCGATAGTCACACAGTGACTATCAGTTGAGGGGGGTGATGTAACGGGGCAGCCCGTTACATGGAATTGTCACTTTAAAGAAAGAATGACAATAAAGAATATTAAGTTGAATATTCTTTGAACAATATCACCGATAGTGGTGATATTGGTGAAGCGACCAAAGGGTCTGCTCATTGGTTGATATCTTGAAGATATCAACCCACCAATCGCCGCAGGACGCGCGCAATGAGTGGTGACGAGACGTCACCATACACTCAGTTATATTAGCATAATTAAGTCAGGTTAAACAGAGAGACAGTAACAAAAGACTTAATTATATTAATACAACAGTTTTACTTTTCCCTTATGTACGCTTCCTCGTTTGCCTCGTGTACGCTTGTCGGGGTACCGATACCCTTGCGTTAAGTTCACGCAAGGGTGTGCCCCGTCACAACTGGCGTTCCTACCTTCAGCTTCGTTGTGCTCTACGAAGAGTTCGCGCACAGTCGCTTGCGACAGTCAGTACCTTTGCGAAATGAAACTTGGTCTTCGCCTCTCTGTCAGGAAGTATGCGAAGTTTGCACTGCGTTGCGTCGACGGTATGCACGAACTCGCAACGTCTGAGCGTTGGTGACGTAGTTGCTCAGGATGGATACATTGACGCAAAGCATATCGGTTGCTTATGTCCCCGAGGAGAGCTGTCGGAGTTATGCGCCGTAGATTGCCGAAAACATCCTCACTAGATTTTTGCATTCTGATGGATATTGTTCCTATCGTCGTTGATTTATTCCCTGTCGTTACGGTCAGGTGGAGAGCACTGAATGGGCTTCGCGTTTTTATCGTAAAAACAATAAACACTGCACTATTCCGCTCACGTAACCAAATCCGACCAAATTTTGTAGTGCGAAACAGAGCCCTACTGACATGAGACAAATGCGTGAGTACAACGCAGTGTTGTAAACACGATGCTACAGCTGTTTTCCGAGTTACGATCAGTTGCCATGCGATTCACTCGTGAAAGGCGAAAGGCCAACGAGTTGCACAGTTGTACCGATACGCTTTGCCAGCCACGTTGCTGACCAGATATGCTTTTCAGTCGTTAGTCGCCATGCTGCTCGTTTGTGACTGACACGGATGACTTCCTACGTTTGGGGCTACATGTTCAGCTTTCCCTCTCCACGAAATCGATACCTATCGCCATCAGACGCGCTACGACAGATCGTGTCGACACATCGCCGTCGATATTCCTGTGTAGCCATGTGTGACGTCATTCATTTGACCATCTTTGTGGCTCGCCGCTTTGATGTGCATGATATATGAAGTATGCGCGTCGATCAGAATCGACGCAAACACCTGCTGCCTTCTTTACGTCTGGTGGTGCTCGCGTTGGAGCTCACGCGCCAGGCCCGTCAGCGTCTCACGACGCCATATACGTACAGCGTCGTCGAAAGCGCCACATGCACTGGCGTTGCGTGTGGCGCCACTCGAGCTGCATTTCTACGTCCTGGCGACCGCTCTGTGTACTCTCTCTTCTCTAGTGCTTTACAAAACGACACCGCACCGTAAAGGAAGAACGTGACGGATCTCTGGTGGTGGTGGTGGGTAGTGCAATGACCAGCAGCCGTTCCGTGCCTTTTTCTATACCGTATGCCCATCGCGCCGACACGCAGCGCTTCCTGCAGACGTTGGTCAGCAATCGCGGCCGATGATAGAGGAGGAACCTCTATCACTGTCCGCTACAGGCGACAAGCCCACGGGCTCCACAGCCTAGATCGAGTGTCGCTAGCAACGAGCGCTCGCGCTCGAGTCGCGCATGGGCCCTGTATATATCTATGACAGAGAGGAAGAAGGATAAGGCATTGGGTCGTTGCCCTGTAGCGCGCGAATTGCCCGACACTGTCGAGCGAAGGGGACCGAAGGTTGCGCATGATGATGATGATGACGATGGTGACGATGATATTGATGATGCGCCTGCGTGACGTCGACGGGCCACGACAGGAGGGCGAAAGCTCGTCACGCGCCCCTACCCACACGTCACGTCTCGCGCCCGCCAGTTTCAATGGCCTGCGTCAGCAGCTCCGGCTCGCCCCGCGCCTGCCTGTCTGCCCGTGCCTCCGTGCCTACATAACAGGTGCGCACAGGCGGTGAGTGGGTGGGTGGGTGGGGGTGTGGGCGGGCGATTCACAGGCCCAGACGCGCCCGCCCCCCCACACTGTGGAAAGCATTTCCCTTTCCCCGCTCCCGCGCCCACGCGCCCAGAGAGACGAGTTACAGGACAGTCAAAGGCGCGTCAGACAGACGTCCGGACATTGCACGCCCCACCGCTCCCACTGCCGCCTCCTCGTCGTCGTCCATTGTCCACGACAGAGCCAAAGCAACGCGACCGACTGCACCACGAGACGCAGCATGAACCAGACGACCACGAGCCACCACGCGACGGTCGCGACGGCCGATACGACGTCCGCAACGACCGCAACGACAGTCACAACGACAATGGATCCGATCGAAGCTACTGACGCCGTGGAGATGCCGACAACAGCCGCCTCTGCCGACGCACTCGACCTCAGCAAGTACACGTTCATTGTGGAGTTTGGGGGCCAGGGCATCTCGTACTGGACCGAGCTCCAGCAGCTCTACGCCACGTCCGAGACGGGCAGCGCCACGCGGTCGTTCATCGACGCCGCGGCACGGGCGCTGCTGGAAGAGTCGAGCACCGTCGAGGCCAAGGCGTCGGTCGCGTTCGAGGCGGTGCTGGACGTCCAGCGCTGGCTGCAGACGCTCGAGGTCGGAGACAGCCCGACGAACCTGGTGCTCGACCGGGTCGTCTTTAGTATGCCGTTGCTGCTGCTCACGCAGTGCGCCAACTACCTCCGGTTCCTCGAGACGACCGGTGCGACCCACGAGAGTGTGGTCCAGCGCGCGGCCACGGCCGTGGGCCACAGTCAGGGCGTCGTGAGCGCCGTCGTCTTCTCCGCGGCCAAGACCGTCCACGAGTTTGTCGAGCTCGCCGTGTCGGTCCTGCGCTACATGTTTTGGCAGGGATTGCGCGCGCAGGAGACGTACGAAGAGCTCCTGACGCAGTACAAACAGGAGAGCAAGAAGCTCGCGAACGCGGGGCCGATGCTGACTGTGCGGGGGCTCAAAGAAGAGCACGTGCGAGCCGCCATTGGGGCCGCAAGGCGCCGGGTCAAGACGCCTGATCTCCAGCTCTCGCTCATCAATGCGTCCGACATGATGAACGTCACGGGGTTCCCGGCGACGCTGATGATGCTCAAGCAGGCGCTCGAGGGTCAGCTCGCTCCGCCCGATGCAAACCAGACACGCATCCCACACTCGCAGCGAAAGCCCGCGGGTTCGCTCTCGTTCATGACCCTCTCGGCGCCCTTCCACACACCACTGCTCACGGAGGCGAAACCGAAGCTTGTGCAGGACGTCCAGCGCGTCAAGTGCGCGATCGAAGGCTGTCAGCTGCAGGTGCCAGTGTATGCGACGAACACGGACGCTACCAACTTGCAGACCGTGAGCGACGTGATCGATGGACTGATTAACATGCAGCTGCTGGAGCTTGTGGACTGGACTGCGACGTGGGCAAAGATCGCCAAGCACCACGCAAACGCGACGCACATTCTCGAGTTTGGCCCGGACCTTGGCGCAGCAAAGCTGAGTGACAAGATGGCCGAGGGCTTGGGTGTCGAAGTTGTGATCGCGACTAGCAAGTACCCAGTCTTGAGCTCTACGACGAAGAACGCCCCACTTGTTGGTCTTCGGCAGTTTATTGATGCTGCACCAACGTTTAGCCCCGCAGAAGCGACGTGGGCAACGAAGTTTGGTCCCCGAGTGACCGAGTCGGGCAAGCTCTGCAATCGGTTCACGCGCGTGCTGAACAAGCCGCCAGTTATGGTCGCGGGTATGACGCCGACCACTAGTCTGAACGGCATTGATCTGGTTGCCGCTATTCTGAACGCCGGCTATCATGGCGAGCTCGCCGCTGGCGGTCTTTCGCGTCCGAATATCTTTGAAAGCGCGGTGAACGAGCTTGTGTCCAAGATCAAACCCGGGCTTGGCATTTCGATTAACATGTTGTACCTGAATGCAAAGCAGTGGGGCTTTCAGTTTCCAATGGTGTTGCGTATGCGTCGAAGTGGTGTGCCTATCGAGAGCATCACGATTGGTGCAGGCATTCCAACGCCGGAGCGAGCGCTTGAGATAATGTCACAATTGCAGGCTGCCGGCGTCAGACTGGTGGGTTTCAAACCAGGTTCAGCAGACGGCATCCACGCAGTGTTGGAGATAGCTGCGGCGATGCCGAGCATGAACGTGATGTTGCAGTGGACTGGTGGCCGCGCTGGCGGTCATCATAGCTTCGAGGACTTCCACGAGCCGATGGAGGTGACGTACGCTGCGATCCGTCGTGTACCGAACGTGCTGCTGGTCGTCGGATCAGGCTTCGGTAATTGGGAGGACTCAAAGCAATACATCACAGGTGAGTGGAGTCTAGCTCGCGGACACGTGCACAAGATGCCTGTGGATGGTATTTTGGTGGGCTCTCGTGTAATGGTTGCGAAGGAGGCTGCGACCGCACCGGAAGTAAAGAGGTTGCTTGTGGAAACTCCTGGTATTGAGTCGGAGTTGCAGTGGGAAGCAAGCTATACCGGCGTTGTGGGCGGCGTCGTCACGGTTACGTCAGAACTCGGCGAGCCTATTCACGTGGTGGCGAATCGCTGTGCTGTGCTGTGGAAAGAGTTTGACGACAAGTACTTTGCGATCCCGCGTGATCAACTGGAGCTGACCCTCCGCCTCAATAAGAAGGAGATTATCGCTGGTCTGAACGCAGACTACCAGAAGCCGTACTTTGGCTGCAAACGCAACGTTAGGACCGGCGAGATCGTTCCGGCTGATCTGGAGGAGATGTCGTATGGCGATGTGTTGGCGCGTATGGTCGAGTTGATGTACGTGGAGATCGAAAACAAGCCGTCTCGTTGGCTGCACGATACGTTCTTTTCGCGTGTGAGCAAATTTCTCACGCGTACAGAGGAGCGTTTTTGCCGCGAAAGCTTTGGCAACCTGTTTGATCAGTCGGAGTTGAAGATGAATCCGCGGGCCGCAGTGAGTGCGTTCATATCGAAGTACCCTGAGGTCGTATCAACGCCACTGTCCGTCCCGGATTGCGATTATTTTCTGGAGCTGTGCCGTACTGGTGGTAAGCCCGTGAATTTCGTACCTGTGATCGACATTGAGTTCAAAGCTTGGTTCATGAAGGATTCGCTGTGGTACTCGGAGGACTTGGATGCAGTTCCAGAACGCGATGCGCAGCGAGTGTTCGTTCTTCAGGGGCCCGTGGCTGTTCGTTATAGCAAAGTTGTGGACGAGCCTGTCGCGGACATCCTAGGCGGTATAGTAACCGGTTTTACTGATGTCGTGAAGCAGAGCGGAGCGATTGCTTCTGTGAAATCTGTGCTGGCTAGACAGACTGTGGCCATTGCCGGCGTCGAAGTAACGGAGAGCGACGACCGAGTAGAGATGTTGGTCGCGACGGATGAGGGCGCTGTGCCCCCCACTGACAAGTGGCTTGCTGTCCTCGCCTCATCTGTGAGTGACAAAGAGTGGCTGAACGCGCTCATTTCGTCGACACAAGTAGTTGAGGAGAAGAAATGGCTTGCAAACCCTGTGCGGCAGCTGCTTGTTCCCCAAGCAGGCCAGAAGTACGTGGTTGATGCTGCTGGTATCCGTGTTTTTGACAGCTCCGTCGATCTACCTGGTCCCGTGATCGAGATTGCAAAGGTAGACGAGGCCATCGTGGTCGTTTTGAACGAGGTACGCCCGGCGGTCAATGAACTGAAGGCCAGTGTCGTTGCACTGGAGATGACATTCCAGTTTTACCCGGACCTGCCGTGCTCGATACACGCTGAAGGCAGCGGCTTTGTTGACAAGGTGAAGTCGTTTTACGCCCGTTTCTGGGTGGCAATCGAGGGCAAGGAAGAGGAGTCGTGCGAAGCCGCGTGTGCAGAGAGTGTGATGTCTTCTTTCTCGACCGACTTTTCTATCACTAAGGGCGATATTGTTGCATACCGTGCAGCACTGGGTCTTCGCGACGATGAGGTCAGTGCTCCGGCAGACTTCTCGACGATCGTGTCGTGGCGACCGCTGATTCAGCCGGTGTTCACGAAAGAGGTGAAGGGCAACTTGTTTGACCTGGTGCACTTGAAGCACTCGTACAAGTTGTTGTCTTCGCGCAAGGCTTCTGCGACGTTCTTGCCTGGTGACGACATCGTAAGCACGTCCAATGTCGGCAGCTTGCGCATTATCGACAGCGGCAAGATAGTGCAAGGCGTGGTTATCATTTCCCGCAAGACGGTGAACAAGGAGATGGTGGAGGTGCTCGAGCCTCTTGTGGAGCTGCACAGTGAGTTTTTGATCCGCGGCTCTTTTGACGACTTTGAATCGACCTTCTCTATCGACAAGTCGGTGGACGAGTTTGTGCTGAGCCGTCAGGAAACGGTAGAGATCATGAAGACGAAATCGTGGCTGAAGCTTGCTGCTGGGATCTCAGTAAACATCGGTGATCGCTTGATGTTCCAGCTTACAACAAAAAGACAGTACTCTTCAATCGGATCGCTGAGCTCGATAGAGGTGCTAGGCAAGCTGTTGCGGAAGGAAGCTGGCTCGGAAGAGGAGATTGGTGAGGTCGAGTTTAAGAGCGACAACGTGAATGAAAGCCCGGTAGTAGCGCTCCTGCAGCAGGTGCAACTAGGGGCTGCCAAGAGTAGCGGTATGTTCGCGAACGGTGGCTCCCACGTTTTGGAAAAACCATTGGAGATCAATGTCCCAATGAACGCTCTGGCGTACGCGGTGGCATCTCGCGACCTGAACCCGATCCACCGCTCTCGGTACGCCGCCATTTTGGGCCGCCTTCCGGAGGGCAAGCCGATTATGCACGGTCTGTGGACGGCGACCAAAGTACGCAACCTGGTGATCCAAAGCTTCGGTCTTGGGTTGGATAGCAACGTTGTGGACTACGACGTGAGCTTTGACGGTATGGTGTACCCGGGTGACCAGCTGTTCATGCAGGCGAAGCACATTGGTCAGGAAAGCGGCAAGAAGGTGTTGTCGATTGAGGTTGTGAATAGCTCCGGCGAACGCGTGATCAGTGCGCGCGCAGTAGTGAAGCAGGCACCTATGGCGTTCGTCTTCACGGGCCAGGGTTCTGCCGCCGTCGGCATGGGTATGGATCGCTACCAGGAGTCACCGGTCGCTCGTGATATTTGGAACCGTGGTGATATCCACCTGCGCAAGACCTTTGGTTTTTCTATCCTTGAGATGGTGCGAACAAACCCAAAGTCTATAACGGTGCACTTTGGCGGCAAGAAGGGCCGTGCTATTCGCGAGAAGTACATGAGTTTGACGTGCGAAGACCCGGCATCAGGTGTCATTGCACCACTGTTACCGGAGATCAACGCTCGTACACAGAGCTTCAGCTTTTCTGCTCCAGAGGGATTGCTGTTTGCGACGCAGTTCAGTCAGCCCGCGTTAGTGTTGCTTGAGAAGGCCATGTTTTCTGAAATCGAGGCGGCACAACTGATTCCAGATGATGCTCACTTTGCTGGTCACTCGCTTGGTGAGTACGCCGGTCTCAGCTCATTCGCAGGAGCTCTGGCTGTCGAGGACGTCGTAGAAGTTGTGTTCTTGCGCGGTTTGATCATGCAGAAGGCCGTTAAACGCGATGCTGAGGGACGTTCTGACTACGGCATGGTGGCCACGAACCCTACGCGCGTTGGCCCCCACCTCACTGAAGAGGTGATGTACAAGATAGTTGACGAAGTCGAAGCTGCTTCCGGCAAGCTATTACAGGTTGTGAACTTTAACATTCAGCAGCGTCAGTACGTCGTTGCGGGTGAGAATGTGAACCTCGAGACGCTGTCGTTGGTGCTGTCTGCTTTTAAGACACTGCAGTCAGCTACGCCTAAAGACGTGGAGAAGGTCATTACCGATTCGCTGGCACAAGCTCGTGCTCGTAAGGAGAAGTGCGAGCTAAACGGTCGTCCGTTTACACTGGCAAAAGGCTTGGCCACCATCCCGCTTGTTGGCATTGATGTTCCCTTCCACTCGCGCGAGCTGCTTGGTGGTGTGCCGTCGTTCCGTGCACTTTTGCGAACCAAGTTCGACCCGCAGGTGCTTGAGCGCCAACTACCACTCCTGGTGAACCGGTATATCCCAAATTTGGTGGCCACCCCGTTCTCGCTCGAACGTTCGTACTTTGAGGAGGTTTATGAGGTGACCAAGAGTCCGTACCTTGCGGAGGTTTTGGATTCGATGCAGTGGAAGTTGACGACAAAGGCTCAGCTGGCGCACTTGCTTGTGGTTGAGCTACTGGCTTACCAGTTTGCATCTCCTGTGCAGTGGATCAAGACACAGGCGCTTTTGTTCTCTGAGGGTGGTGTCCGCCGGTTCGTGGAGATCGGTCCTGCTCCGACGTTGACGAACATGGCGCTTCGCACTCTTCTGATTGGCGATTTCCCGGATGTGCCGCGTGAGATTTTGTGGTACCAGCGTGACCGCGAGGCCGTGCATTTTGAAGAAGAGACGTCCAACATTTCTGCCTCGGAGTACGCTCGTGGTCTGGCTGCGGAGGCTGCGGCTATGTCTGCTTTGCAAGTCGAAGGCGCCGCGACATCTGACGCAAAAGTGGAGTCTGCTTCTACCACTTCCTCACCAGTTGCCAGTCCGACAGTGGTTGCGCCTGTCCAGCAGGTGCAGGCCCCGGCTTTCACGCCTAGTACTGCTGCTCCCGCTGTCAGTGACGCTCCAGTTGCTGCCTTGCACATCCTTCGTGTAATTCTCGCTATGCGGTTGAACAAGAATCTGGCTGATGTAAAGGAGGATACAGATGTGAAGACGCTTTGCGCCGGCAAATCCGCTGTTCAGAACGAGATCCTTGGTGACTTCGAGAAGGAGTTTGGTGATGGGATTCCTGATGGTGCTGGGGAAGTCCCGCTGAAGGAGCTGGCTTCGAAGCTCTCTGGCTACAAGACCCTTGGCAAGGTGACAAACGGTCTGATCAACAAGATGGTGGCGAGCAAGATGCCGGGTGGCTTTACCATGTCGAGTATCAAGGAGTACCTTGGCGCCGAAAAGGGTCTGGGTGCTGGTCGTATGGAGAGTGTTCTAGCACACTCGCTGCTGTCCGCCCCACAAACTCGTTTTAAGAGTGACGCGGATGCGCGCAAGTGGCTGGACGAGAGTGTGAGCGGATATGCTTCGTTTGCTGGTGTGTCGCTCGATCGTCCTGCCATGACTACTTCGCCGGGTGCGATGGGTGCGTCCTTTAGCTCTGCACCAATGACGATTCCGACGGTGAGTGACAAAGCTGTGGAAGCGAAGCATGCTCTGCTAGTGATGCTTGCGGCGAGGTTTGGCAAGGCGTTTAGCGAAGTTCCGGAGACGGTGTCTGTCAAGGAACTGTCTGCTGGCAAGTCGGCTGCACAAAACGAGATAGTCGGTGATTTGGAGAAGGAGTTTGGATCTGGTCCTGATGATGCAGCAGAGATGAAGTTGGTCGAGCTGGCAGGGAAATTTCCTGACTACGCGTCTCCTGGCAAGGTCACAAGCGCTCTGATTGCAAAGATGCTGGCTGGCAAAATGCCTGGTGGATTTGGCCTGTCCGCTATCAAAGAGTATTTATCCAGGGAGCGCTGCCTGCCGAGCGGCCGTATTGAAAGTGTGCTGCTGCATGGTCTGACGCATGACCCCAAGCAGCGTCTTACGGATGATGGCACGGCAAAGAAGTGGCTGGATGGCGTCGTGGATGACTATGCTAAGTATGCTGGAATCGACATTCCTTACCTGTCGAAGCTTGGAGGCGCCATGGCTGGTCAAGCGATGAGCCAGCAGGTGATGCATTCGACTTCATTGCCGAGTGGTTTCGAGAAGCGTCTGAAGACTATGATTGCGGACCAGGTCGATGCGCTGAACTCGTACCTGGGAGAGGATCAGCTCGATTGGCATCACAAGATCGAATCGGAGATGGACATGCGCGAGGACCTTGAGTCGACAGTGTCGCAGTGGGTAGCCGAGCACGGTGAGTTGTACGGTGCTGGTATTGTTGGCAAGTTTGACGCCAGGAAGGAGCGCCAGTACGACAGCTACTGGAACTGGGCCGTTCAGGATGCTATGGAGCTGTATTACCGGACCGCCGCTGCGGCCAAGGGCGTGCCTGCCAGTACAAAGCTGGTGGTGAACGAAGGCTTGAGGACCCATTTCGAGGCCATGACTCGCTTCATCAATAAAAACGTGGATACGATTGCGGACGAGTCGGCGCTTCCCCCGCTCGAGTGGTTCAAGCCGTACCTGTGCAACCGTGCCACACCGGAGCTGCTCCGGTGCACACAGTTCTTCGTGTCACGAGCTGAAGAAGAAAGCAGTGTTGAGCTTGCACAGGCAGTCCAGCTGCTCGTGGAGCAAATGGAAGAATGGCTGAACACGAATCCAGTGAACATGCAAATTTTCAAGCCGACACAGCCGCAAGTCCATATTCTCGAAACCGGTGAGCTCGAATATGCGGAAGTGCCCCGTGACGGCGTGGCAGATTCCATCAACTACGTTGACGAGGTTGCGCGCGGACTTGAATACAATGATGCGATAGAGACCGGTAAGGTTGCTGGCTCCGACGTCACGGCGGGTATGACGAGTGCTGTTGGATTCGAATCGACTCTCAACGACGATGGCAGCGTAAGCAGTGATGAGCCTGAGAGCGACGATGATGGCGGGTTTGATGGTAGCGACACTGTGGCTGGTACGCAATCGACTACGACCAAAAAGATTGCTCCTGCTGAAGGGGCCAAACTCAACGCGCTGCGTGATTCGCTGCGTAAGCGTGCCAAGCGAGGGTCAGCAAAGTCGTTGGTTGCTCGCTCATCTTCGCTACGCTGTGGTTTGAACGAAAACCTGAAGAAAATCGTGTTGCCTCATGTGCATATCCGCAAACCATCGGACGTGGATCCGACAATCCGTCTGTACGATGTTGAGTCGACTTGTGTGCTGTTGTCGTGCATGCGCGAGATGGCATCGACGGGTATTTCGTTCGCTGGCAAGGTGGCGCTGTTGACTGGTTGCGGCAAGAACTCCATTGGTGCCGAAATTGTAAAGGCGCTATTAGAAGGTGGTGCTACTGTGTTTGTGACGACGAGCAGTTTCAGTATGAAGACGACCACGTTGTTCCGTGAGATTTACGAGCAGCATGGTAGCCGCGGTAGTCGTCTCATCGTTCTTCCGTTCAACCAGGCGTCGAAGGTGGACGTGCAGAATTTGGTGGCACACGTTTACAATGTGCACAGGCTGGATCTGGACTTTGTAATCCCGTTTGCGGCTCTGTCGGAGGTCGGGCGCACGATTACTGACATCGACTCGCGCTCGGAGCTCGCACACCGTATCATGCTGACAAACACCGTGCGTTTGCTGGGTGAGATCGTCACGGCAAAGAAGGTTCGCGACATTACTACTCGCCCTGCACTGGTGATCCTTCCGATGTCACCCAACCACGGCAATTTTGGCGGAGATGGACTTTACGCTGAGTCGAAGCTGGGCGTGGAAAGTCTGATGGGCAAATGGTACTCAGAGGGCTGGGATGACCAGCTTTCGATCGTCGGTGCCATCATTGGCTGGACACGTGGTACGGGTCTTATGTCAGGTAACAACGTGGTGGCTGCTGGCGTGGAGAGGATGGGAATGCGCACGTTTAGCACGACGGAAATGGGCTTCAACTTGAGTGCACTGATGCATCCTAGTATTGTTGATCGCGCGGCTGAGACACCGATCTTTGCGGACCTCACTGGTGGCATGGCTCAGGTGAGCGACCTGAAGGAGCAGGTGGACGTTATCCGGTCCAACATAATGAGAGAAGCGAAGCTGCAGGCATCCATTCATGCTGCACAAGAGAATGACAAGAAGATGTTGGCTCTGCCCTCGACGAAGCTACCGTCTCCTTCGAGCTCGGTCAAGTTTGCTCCTCGAGCGAACATGTCGAGCTACTACTGCAGCTCGTTCCCGAAGCTGTCAGGTGTAGCTGAGTTGTCTACATCAGCTAGACAGATGATGTTGCGTGGCATGCTAGACCTGCGCCAGATTGTTGTCGTGACGGGTTTTGGTGAGGTGAGTCCGTGGGGCAACTCGCGCACGCGCTGGGAGATGGAGTCGTACGGGGAGTTCTCGCTGGAAGGCTGCATCGAGCTTGCGTGGTTGACGGGTCGTATTCTTTTCCAAAAGGGCAATTGGGTGGATGCGGCGACAAAAGAGATCGTACCGGATCATGAGGTGAAGCCTCGCTATGAGGAAGATATTATGGCTCACTCAGGCATCCGTATTGTGGAACCGGAGCTATTCGGCGGCTACGACCCGAAGAACAAGATGGTGCTGCACCAGGTAGCCATCGACAAGAAGATGTCGCCCATTGAGGTGGCTGATCGAGAGGAGGCTCTTCAGTTCCGCAAGGAGCTGGGCAGGGAGAACGTGGACGTGTTCCAGAATGCGTCTGGTGCCTGGATGATCCGTCTGCGCAAGGGCTCGATTCTCAATATACCTCGTGCCCTCGCCTTCGACCGCTTTATGGCTGGTCAGATCCCGACAGGCTGGAGTGCTGAGCGCCTTGGCCTGTCGAAGGACCTCGCTGATGCTGTGGATCCGGTCACGTTGTATGTGCTCGCATCGACAATGGATGCATTCGTCGCGGCCGGTGTGACGGATCCGTATGAGTTCTACCAGTATGTACACGTCTCGGAAGTTGGCAACACGTCCGGTGGTGGTATGGGTGGCATGCGTGCGTTTACCCAGATCTACAAGGATCGTCTATTTGGTAAAGCCGCCCCAAGTGACGCGCTGCAGGAATGCTTCATCAACACACCTCCTGCTTGGGTCAATATGCTGCTACTGAGTTCATCTGGTCCAATTAAGACGCCTGTCGGTGCCTGCGCCACGGCTGCTGAATCTGTGGACATCGGTGCTGAGACTATCAAGAGTGGCAAAGCTCGCGTTTGCATAGTGGGTGGGTACGATGACTTTGGTGAGGAAGGCGCGTACGAATTTGCACAAATGAAGGCGACGAGTGATTCGATTAAGGAAATCGGTATGGGTCGCGAACCGAAGGAAATGTGTCGCCCGTGCTCAACGACGCGCGGTGGCTTCATGGAGAGTCACGGCGCTGGTATGCAATTGCTGATGGATGCACAGCTTGCGCTGGAAATGGGTCTACCGATTTACGGCATTGTCGCGCTCACGAACACTGCGACAGACAAGAACGGTCGGTCCGTACCGGCCCCTGGTCAGGGTATTTTGACGACGGCGCGTGAGGCGTTGCCAGACAACGCAAAGCTTTCGCCGCTTCTTGACGTGGAATATCGTCGCCGTCAGTTCGATGACGAGCTGGAAAGTATTGAGAAGTGGTATGTGCGCGAGAAGTCGTTGATTGACGACGATGAGTCCCGCGTTGCTTTTCTGGACGAGCTGAAGGTGCGTAAGGTGCAGTCCGCACAATCCATGTGGGGAGACAGCTTCTATCGGGGCCGTGCCGACATCGCCCCTCTCCGTGGTGCACTTGGTGCTTGGAATCTGGACATCGACGACATCGGCGCTGCTAGCTTTCACGGCACGGGTACCACGGCCAATGACAAGAACGAGAGCGAGGTCACGCACAAGCAAATGTCTCACCTGGGCCGCTCGCCTGGTAACCCGCTGCCGGTAATTTGCCAAAAGAATTTGACGGGTCACCCGAAGGGTGCCGCTGCTGCGTGGATGCTCAACGGTCTGTTGCAGGTGCTGAACACGGGTTTGATTCCAGGCAATCGACAGCTGGATAACACGTGCCAGACGCTGCGCAAATACGACCACCTCGTGTACCCGAATCGCAGTTACCAGACGGTTGGCGTCAAGGCCGTGGTGATGAAGAGTTTCGGCTTTGGCCAGGCTGGTGGTGAGGTGCTGCTCGTGCACCCGGACTATCTGTTGTCTACGCTAGCTGCTACTGATTTCGAGCACTACTCGGCTCTTCGCGAGCGGCGCATGATAAAGATGAACACGTACACGCAGGGCGTGGTCACCAGCAAGCACTTGCACATCCAAGCTAAGAACGAGGCCCCGTACTCGTCGGCCCAAGAGAGCAACGTGTATCTGGACCCTACGGCCCGTGCGGAGTACGACGACGTGTCAAAGACATGGCGATTTGGTGGTGCGGATTCACTGACTGCGGAGGAGAACCGCCGTCAGCGTACGGAGAAGCGTGCAAAGAAGGCGAAAGCCGCCGCTGCTGCTGCGGCCGCGTCGTCAACGAAAGCTGTGGATGCGCGCCGGGCCGATTCATCGTCGACGCTGTTGACTGCCATCAACCGGGCAGCAGCCGACTTGGGTCTCGCTTCGAAGAACATGGGCATGGGTGTAGACGTGGAACCTGTGGCTACGTTTGAGAATCTGAATGGGCGCGAGGATTTCATTCGCCGCAACTTCACGGACCAGGAGCTGGCATACTGCTATAGCGCGCCTCACCCCGCCGCGAGCTTCGCAGGTCGGTGGGCTGCCAAGGAGGCAGTGATCAAAGCCATCTCGAGCTCCGCTCCCACGGAGCCTAACCTCTGGAAGGGCGCTGGCGCTCCTCTGCGCGAGATCGAGATCGTCATGACAGCCTCTGGTGCGCCTTCCGTGCTGCTGTCGGGCTACCCGCTGCAAGTATTCAACCGGCTCGGTTTATCAAAGTTGAGCGTGTCCATTAGCCACTCCGGTGACTTTGCCGTGTCGCAGGCGGTGGCCAACTTTGAGCAGGAGTAGGTCCTTGAGTGTTTCGTTAATAATGTTACGTTTTGCGCTTCTACTACATCTTCCATACCTCGCCATCCACAAAGTGCGGATGCTGGTGACACAAGACACATGTGCCCGCAGCAGTCAACTGCTAGGGCAAGTTTTCTTTCCACATTTGTTTTGGATGTGACTGTCCTTCAACAGCATCATGTGCGCTCGGAATGTTTCAGATATGTGCCTGAAGCGTCCGAGTGACTGCAGATCGATGGGTGTCAGTGGGATCCCGTCAGCAGCTTCTCACATTATAAGGTCCAGTGATGAGCTCTAGCTGTCTGCCTGCTGCCGTGCCGTGATCATTAAACAAGGTGATGCTAGCAGTGCTTCGGAAACTCGAGAACGGGTAGTTAGCGAGATGGCATCACGTGCTTAATTACGATAACTAGGGCGTTTGTCTCCGGCACCCGTTTTGGTTCTCGGTCGTGATACGTATCGCAAATTGTAAAGTGTGGGTTTACGCGTATACCTACATGTCGCCCAGGTGCCTTGGATTTCTCGTGCTGCGTGCGCAACAATACTCGCAGTCCGACTCTCTTGGGAAGTGCCGAATGTGCTACAATTGACTGCTCATTCGAACGAATAAAGCTTGACATCATGGAGCGTTGCCATCGCTTAGACATACCTTGCCGTTGACAGTTGTATTGGTCGAAGCTGAGCAAGGGTGATTGCGCTGTGAGAAGTGAAGCGATTCACCATGTCGGCCGCGGTTGAGGACCACACGCTGAATGCAATGCTGCAGAGGAGGTTTGCATTACGAGTGCAGGCAAGTCGCTTTCTTCTAACTTGTGCATTTGTCTTGTTCTATCTATCATGGACATGTTTGCCGAGTACCTCGAGAGCCCCAAGTCGCGCTCAATTTGGGGTCAATGATTACTTCATAACGTAGGCCATACCGGAAGCGTGTCGTCATTGTCAGAATAGAGAGGCTGCGCCCAAGGTGTACGATCGCGGGTGCCAAACTATGTCAGGCACCGCCTAGCAGCAGAGCTGTGATTGCAAAGTGATAGATATCGATTGTAAGCTGGGACACAGCGTTCGAGTTTGACGCAGAGGCGCTTGACGCTTCATGATCCGGTGCATCTTCGTCTGCACGCATATCTGCCAACAAAAGGAAAGCTCATGTTTATACCTCCGCTGATGGCAATCCCTGAACTATGCTGTGGTCTCATCCGTCACACCGTGAGAGCTGCAATTTTTGGACTCATGTTTACCCTTGTAATGTAGCGAATAGTGCGAACAGACGTTGCCGTGACACTGTGCGAAATTACAAGTTGTAGAGAATCCGAAGTGCAGCTCTGTCTCATTTGGGTGTCTCCCATTCGCATTGGTGTCAGGCTAAAGAGGTCGGTGCGCGAAACGTTATAAATGTGACTTCTTCTAAATGTTATTGATGTTCCGTTGACGTGATACATGCTTGATTCTTGACAGCTGTTCAATCGGTTATGAGATACTAATCGAAATTTTCGATTAACTTTGTGGGAGAACTTCGGAGTTAAGTTTTATGACGTGAACAATACTGTAGCCTAGTTGATTGAAAGAGGTGTCGATAACAAGAGCCCCAAATTCCTTTCTCAGTATTGTAGCATTAAAATATTCAATATAGGGCGGCAGCGCCTGTACTTCAAATATACGAGATGCTTGTCAACGATTTCTAAAAGTTTGAATCGGGTAGTCGGATTTGATGTTATAGCTTTCATAAAGATGGTCGGGCATATCGCTTCTCGCAGTGCATTCATCCATGCTGTAATAAATTTGATCGATTAAGTGCTGTACAATTGCTAAAAAGATTCGTTACTGTAATGGATAATGAAACAGCATAGGGTTATAAAGCAGCTGTAGGATAATAAAACGAAAAGCAGTAATCGGACCGCTACAGCATGCGTGCGTAATCGTACCGGTATCGGCTTCTTACGAACATATGAACTGCAATTTCTGACTAATGTACAATTCTACTTATTAATGATTATGTATTTTAGTACCCAATCTTTTTGTACTATGATTTAAAATCGAGTTTCATCGTACTGATATAGCGATCGCTATGCAATCCTGGCATGAACTAGACATCGTCTTCGTCGCCAAATCAACTGCACCACATTACTTCATTGAGCAGCTCATAGCTCGTTTTTATGTTGCGTCAACTTATGACCTGGAGTCGTCCTCATAGACGCGCAAGTGGGTCCAGTTTGCATTTGCCCACTATCTCGCCCCAGCTGGTCGCGTTGTACTCTGTAGTCAATACAGGTCACCTGTATCGCCATCACTAATGACGTCTGCATCCACTACACTGCATGTCATACAGCTGTCCTGATCCAGAGGTTGGCTGAAGACTGACCGCGGCACACGACCTGCATAAGCGAAAACGTGCAATCATTACGAATGGTTTTCGAGCGCCATGATGGCGATGGCGATCACTTGGTGCACAATAGCTAGCAGACAACATGCGTCGCCTGTCGTCACGGCGTCGCTACAACAGCAGGTGTTATGGCCGCACACGTAATCGATCCGACCAACTCACAACAAGCCCTACTTTCACCGCTGTAAACGAACGAATCGACCAAGCTACATATCGGTGCACCACCGTCATTTCAACATCGATCGCGTCTCCTGAATCAATCGCGCAAGACGGTGACCCTCGTGCCGAACCCACCATACCGCCCCGACAAGTCTTCACATGATGTTCTTCGCTCGCACTCATAGTCTTTCCACGATACTGAACGTCAACGCATTTCCAGATTCTTCGCACGATACTGAACCTTGGCACTTTTCCACGTGTGTGTCAGCGTCTTGCTATTGACTGCCAGCTCTGCAATTCCATCTGCAAGGCCGTTTGTCCGAATCGGGCTCATCGTCTAGCAAGCAGCTCCATTTGCGCTCACGTGTAAGGGCACAAGCGGCACGAGCTTGTTTTTCACCCTCTCAGCTAGGACTGGTCTACAGCACGGCGCTGCCACGTTACAGCGATGCCCAACGGACGCACCATCGGTACAAACTATAGCGTTGTAGTCGTGACTTCCTCGCTGGCAGTCATGAGTTCTAAAGTGCCCTTGACGGACAGGTGCAAGAAACGTGCATGTCAATATCACCAGACCCTGAGCCACTTCCCTCTGACACCAACAATAGCTTTCAGCCAATGACTTGGGCCACCAAACGAGCAGTGTTGGGTCCTGTGTTTGCACCTGCGTGCACTGCATGACCTACTCGATGAGAACGGGCGTGAAATGCCACGATATTCGTTCCAACTGATGCGAGTCGGCGCGCTTCGTCATTCTGCACGCATGTATCCATTTGCAGATCCAGCTGAACAAAATTCCAGCTACCCACTGTCCGACGTTGACAAGCGAAAAGTCGTTAGATCGGTTGGCGAATGACCGTGTGTGTTGTCATTATCGCTTGCTCGGCCACTTTCAGCATGACTAGAGCGACGGTAGCTTGACCGTCGAGTGGACGTCGAATGGAACGTATCGCGACGAGAGAGCAGCACCAGACCAATGACGGGAGACACGCACACCAACACTGCAGCTCCAGATGCGATACCACCGATGAAGACGCCCAGAGCTACCAGCCCTAACGCGAGTACGATTGGAGCGAGCAGAACGTAACCGGATACACAAAAACACGTTGTGAACGCTTGCCGAAAGGTAAGGCGAGCGCTGACAGTGCACGGGAAGAAGCAGCAGCAGACAACACAGAACACCACAGCCATCACAAAGGCGGGAGGTCCAAACAGCACAAAGAAGAGCATGCGCGTCACCACCCCGACACCCTGTCGAGTAGATCCTCGTCCCTCGGTGTCCACCATTTGGTTGCCTGCGCAGCCACGGACATTCCACCACTGCAAGAGCGCACCACTTCAGTCAGTCGTCACTTTCGATACATACATCCACTGTAACATCGCAGTGACGGTACCTGAAAGTGCTCAGGAAAAACGCTGTCATCGATGATCTCGAGGCAGATCCAACAGAAGCTAGCGTCGCATATCACACATTTCATCTGGTTGCAGCCACCTGTCTTCTCCACGTTGTTCTGGCAGCCCGGACACTGTTTGGAGATCTCGCTGATCAGCGCGTTGTTCAACTTTTCGACAGCAAGCATCTTCTTGTCATACTCAGCACAACTGCGGCCTTGGTGGGCACTACTGTGCACGAAGCAGAACTCACGACTGCAAACCTCACAGATGCACTCTGGCTGATCACTGCCGGCACACAGTTGCGAATGATCGCAGTAGGGGCACTGGCGGGCAAGTTCATGATCCTTGTTAAACTTGAACTTTTCGTACTTCTGCCACACTTTGCCTGAAACCAATGCTTGTATATCGTTCGTCAAGACCTCCGCCTTGCACGCGGTTTTATCGTCCGGGTCCTCGTAAAAGCATCGAGGGTACACCTGTCCTTCATTGACCTTAAACTCCAAGTACTGTTTCAAGCACGTCTCACAGAATGTGTGTCCGCACACCGAGAGAGCGAACGACGTGTTCATCGGCGCATACTCATAGCAAATCTGACACAAATAGGTCTCCTCCATCGAAAGCCCCAAGTAGCTAGCCATGGACCGCAACAAAGTGGGCACCGGGTGTCCTAGGCTATTGCTCTGCTGTCTCCTGTGCACGCCCAACGTCTCGCCTTCCACGGCCTCCTCCACACAGATCGATGGAAGGTGGCTCGAGGCTGCACCGGCAAGAGGTATTTCTTCAGTACCATCGCCCACACCTCTCGCTGCTGTATCTGGATCGCTCAAAGTTATCCTCGTCAGCGGTAACGACCGTCTATGATCTCGAGGACGAGATCGAGTCGGGGTCCTGGACATACGTCCCGAAGCAGCACGTACAAGTCGAGGCATCTGATACCAACTGCTTCGTCCTGAGTCGTCCATCTCGTTCTCCATGATCGGAATCGACCCTCGACGAGGTGGCAGTGCGTCCAAAACGCGCTGGTCGTCTGCATCCTCCACGATGAGACGGAATTCGTCACACGGCGGGGCAGCTGCAGCGGCCAATCGACGCTGGACCAACTGATCACCACATTGGCGCGGCACAGTAGCAATGGGCTTCGCCGTTAGTGCCAATACTGCAGTCGAGTGACGGGTCCGAACAATTTGTCCCGCCGGCTGCTGTCCACGTTCGTCTTCTTCTCGTTGCGACCGGTGGGGCGTCAAACTTGAGCCAATGGGTCCGTCTCCATTGGAAGAGGTCGGTAGCCCCCGCACAGAGAGGGGGACGTCTGACACGTGCGCCGCGCGGTCGCGAGTCGAGCAAGCGGCGGGTTCCATGTGCAGGTGTGACTGGCGACTGACTGACTTGAATACAGAAGCTTTTCGTCGTGGTACTACTACTTCCTCGAGGGTCTGCCTGAGCTAAACTTGGGTTCTAGATGAAGCTGAGGCGGTTCATATCTCTACGGGCAGCAGTATCGACCCTAAAAATAGGTGCAAAACATGGCGATAATGGTGCTCAGGAATGATACATTGCGGTACAAAGGCAATACTGGCAACCCGTATGGTCAGCAGGAGAGAGTCTAGGACGAGTATGAACGTTCGCAGCACCTCTGTGTGTAGCAGACAATGGAAAAGAGGGTCGTCATAACGAGATGCGATGTATGTTCGTGGACGTGATCTTAATCGCAGTGCACGGGGACGCCGTGTTTTCTTTGCCCGAAAAGAACGGATGGGAGTGTTTAGTCACGACTTCGGAAGGATTGAGTCGCTCATCCGGTCGAGTGTTCGACGTTTTGAACCACTGCACTCAGCATGTCGCCCTACATGGAGATCAAAACCTTCGACTTGCAGCTGTTGGTCACGCTATATGACTTATCAGTGGTTGCGACTCTCTGCAACGAAACCATCGACACCGTAGCTTACCGATGGATGTGAATGTGCTACCATAAACTATGAAGAGACTTACGCTTACAACAGTGGTTGCTTACGAGGTGTTGTCTACTGCTGTGTGTGAGCTCGCAGCTGCATCCATCACGGGCAAATAGTGAACTTTGTTCTGTACTAGAGCTGCTGCAAAAGCGACTTCCAAGCATGACGGCAGACCGAAGGTGATGAGGTGCTGATTGACTATATCCTTGCAGATAGGCACTCGAGCATCTCCGATGTGGATCTGTGCAGTCGTCCAAAGACTCTGCAGTCTCTGAGTAAAAGCGCGGCTTGCAACAAAAAGAAGCTTGGTGGCTGAAGCTTCGATGATGAGCCATTTTCTACTCTGGTGTGTATCTCTACAAGCTGTCGTGGATTCGATAGTACGTGGTCATTCTACTTTCCACTAGTCTAGTGCTTTGTGCTGCCGAAGATAATTTATCATCAAGTACACTGCTATGCGCTTGGTCATGCGCAGGTGGGAGCTCGTTCCAAGCGAATGTGGGGGGGTGCATTCATGAGACCGAACTGTCTTCTACCTTTTCGATGAAATGCATACGTTCGAGTACTGTAGACCAAAGGCGATTGAGTTTGCAGCTGAAACGGCAGTGTATCTACGATATTTGGATGCCTTCGTGTCCATACCACACGGTCATAGCGAAGGTGCATGCACTGCAATGGTCGTCCCGTCGATGAGCAAGCAATCGCAGTACTGCAAACTGGAATGTTTGTCGAGAACGATCAATTGTGGACAAAACAACGGCAATCAAACGGAATGAGTGTTGTAAATGGAGACTGACTCGCTAGAGCAACGCCCTCGAGCGAATCAAAGCGTCAGTCGTACTTTTCATGGGTAAACATGACAGATCTGCCAGCATGTACTGAATGCCTGTATGCTACGAGGCACGAAGTATTGCACAGGCGAGTTGCACCACATGTTCGTATGCAGGTGTTTGCTATAAACCTATCGTCTTGTCTTCGATTTCTTGCTCGCTACAGACAAAGCCCTGAGGCAGCAGGTGTACCGCGTCAGATCTGACACGCAAATCATGCGAATACCTCAACTACAGGGTCTGGTACAGGTCAAGTGTGCCCGCGCCGGATTGGCTAGAAACAGAAAACGGCAATGGGATCGGACCACAGATTGAAAGCGACAAAAAGATGATCTGGGAACTAGTGACGGACAATTGAAGGTGCTCTACTCTGTATCCGTGCCGTAAGATATGACGATCAAGTGCAAATATATATCATACTCACACTGTGCAGTTTGTATTTGTTGCGCTATTTTTTCATCTTGTGGTGCATTGTTTCCTTTGCTTGGTCAAGTATTTTTTTTTCGTGATTGTTTGGTGCACTTTTTTTTATCGAAATGGTGTTCAAGAAACTACTACAATAGTTACCAGCGTCGTCCTCGCGGCGATACTGCCAAAAGCATTGACGCGATACGGCCACATTCGATACGGCCAATAACTTTGTACTTGCACAGAAGTTGTACGTTATGTACAAGCGTACAACTTCCACAAGTCCTTGCGTTGTCCCGTGCGAACTGATGGAACTTGTCTACACGGGTGCCGGTTTATGCCAATCGACACACATGCCATCTACTTTGCAAGCAGGTCGTCAAATAATAACGATACCCATCATTCCATGAGGCTTTCTTCAGCAAGAATGCAGCTCATTCGACAGTTGCGTGATCCTTCATCTTCATCTCACCCACTATCACCTACGACGGTACGTGGAAGACGGAGCTGGAGGCGATATTCTGGCGACAGATTGGGCACGACGGGCGCGGTAGTTGCTCTACGCAAGACGCGCAGTAGACGTGACCACACGGAATGAGCACGCGATTGACCTGATTTTCGAGACAGACAGCGCAAATGAGCGCGTCCAGTAACTCCTTCTTCTCACGCATAATTGAGTCGATCTGCGTCTCAGCTGCGCGGCGACCGTCTTCCGCCACCTCCAGACGACGCTGCGTTTGCAGGTTCTCGGCCATCAGGTCTTCCACGCTCATGTCCAGCGTCACATTCAGGCGAGACAGCAGGTCGTTGACGGCCGACAAGACATTGGCAGAGGAGACCGCTGGCGCTGGGATAACGACATCCGACATAAGTTCACTGCCGTCGGCTCCAGGAACAATCGCTACGACGGACGATGGCATCACAACAGGCTCACGCTGGCCAGCCACAACGTCTTCTGCTTGCCGTTCAGACGGCTCGCTGACCGCAGCATCGAAGCGGCTACTGGTCTGTACGCGGGCGGACCGGAAAAAGTACACTTCGGTAGCTAACATCCGCCGGGTAGCCGAGCTATCAACTCTTACATCATACTGACTCACACCTGCAATATCACTGGGTCCTTCCCGCAGAATTTTGCCGTAGTACAGAGTTCCGCCTCTGCCACCTATAGCGACAAGTTCGCCAGGCAAGCAAGAGCGCAACGGAGCCAGCTCCACATTAGCACGGTCTGCCTCACATAGAGACTGGCCCAATACTCCTCGAAGTTTTTCCTCGATCAACACAGGGTCTTCGTACACATCAAGCCGTTGCAGCACTTCCGGAATCTCGACTTCGTCACATGTTAATATGGACTCTAGCACGGAGCAATCTTGCAGAATGCCGCCGAGGACCTGATTGACGCATCGTGCCACCAAGTAACTCGCGCGCAGTCCCATATCGCGACGCCCTTCGAGCGTGCGCTTTGCAATGTAAATCCGTCTACTCGTTTGGTCCAAGAAAGATAAGCTGCCCATGCGTGTGGTCTTGGTCACGTCGATTCTACGAGGAGGGCAATCCAGCTTTGCGATGAAGCGCGAGCGCAGCTTTGTCACGCACTTGACTTCGAATGTCGCTAAGCTCAAGATCCGAAGATTCAGGTCTTCAAAGTCAGGAACGAACCCGAACGCATCATACAAGGATGCTTTTTGTTGTTGCGTGGTAATGATCGTCCGCAAGCCATCAGCGAACGGCTGCGAAGCCAACACACTAGTGAAGTGTGCGATGTCGTCACTAACCAGCATCTCTATCATGTTCTCACCACCAGCTAGCTCTTCCGTCACAACGGTAGTGGCTCCTGGCACCCCCAGTATCTTGCAACACCTCGTGCTTATTCGGGGATGAACCACAGGCAATTGTGTGAGATCAATACTTGAGCAAAGAGCCGCTGAGTCGTTGTAAGCCATCGCCAACATTGATCGCATCACTGCGTTTCCTGAAGGAAGAAAGATACTTTTTTTCTCATCTATGGAGAGGCGACGGTTGGAATCGTTCATGGCAGCGACGAGGAGATCGACTGATCGGGCAGCTGCAATGAGTTCGTTCAAGTTCAACGGAAGGCCACAGCACTCTACATTGAGATCAGACAGCAAACGAATATAGTCGTCCACTGTCGGAGATTCCTTAGACCCCATGCGACGAAATAGCGCGTCGTATGCGCCGAACATCCGAGGTACTTCATACAGTAGTGGAGCTAGATTTTCGCCCAAATGAAAGAACAAGCGAGAGCCCTTTACAAGCGTCGAGCCAACAGGGATGACCACCGCAGCAGTAAGACGCTCCTGTGTTTCTGATCCGAGTTTATCCCAGTTTTCCTGCAAAAAGCCAAAGATTGCCTGGAATACCTTCTCCACGGGCATGAAGAATTGCCAATTCAGAGATCCTGATGACGTAGCACAGTTGCTTTGCGTAATGGACAGCAAATGAGAGACGACCTGGTCTTGAGGCGGTGGAGACTTAATGCATAAGCGACTAAAAAGTACGCGTGGTGGTAGCGCTACGTTCGCCAAAATTGGCATTGTTGTATACACTAGCGCCTGGTCATCTGGTATAGCGCAATCAGAGTACTTGCGCACAACAGAACACGGTGTATAGCTTCCTGAAGAGTTTCGTGAGCTCTGATTCAACCCCGGCACGCCCGATGCTTCATACAAGATGGCAGGGACAAACGCCAGCGGCGCAATCCGCTCGAAAAATGATCGTGACCGGTCAAACTTATCATAATTCTGGACAAAAAATTGATGCAATGCTGTTGTGAGCCGCTCGTCGTCGGCTGAGAGAGCCTGCTTACCCGAGCATTGTCTATCAATGCGTTCCGCGCACTCCACAAAGATGTCGGCGGTCACTTCAGTTTGCAGCCCTATCTCAGACATGAGATCCAGCCACTCGAGCGTTTGGTAGCGTTGAGCAGGAAATCGTCCGGGGACACCGTGATAGATGGTGGCAAGGACACTATTGCGCGGATCGCAGAAAGAGCTTGCTGGATAACAGTCCCCGTCTTCACTCTCACCATCGCCAAACAAAGCCGACGTGCTAAGCAAGGAGGTCAAGTCAGCATCAGAGCGTAATGATTGCCACTTCCGTAAAATAATCTGCAATACCTGATTGCGCTGCGCTATCGGTAACTCACTATACATCGGTAGTACGTAGATCAGGAGCTTGCTATCGCTCATTTCCACCACGCCAAGTTCTTGGTAAAAAGCGTTCAAGTTTGGATTGCTTTTGAGAAAGCATTGCTGTGCATCAGGAGGTAGCGGAATGTCGGTCAAGTTGAGTTCCAGTGGAATTAGAAAATAATGTAATCCGCCACTAAGTGCGCAGAGTTCATTGCAAATGTTCACAAAAATCGGCAGCTGTTTCACCCTTTCAAGCTGAATACGGTTGTATCCACCGTGAGCGTTGCCATGGTGACAAAAGAACTCGGCAATCAGAACTGCACGTGCTTCACTCAACCCTTCCCAGCGCAGATCGCTCCATATCGAGGCAAAAATCCCGTCAAGAACGACTCGACCCACATCGGCACTTCGCGGAACAATGTCGTGCTCTTGGCCCTTAAAATACGCGAGCTCCATCATTGCCACATTCAAATCCAGGAGGACGTTATGGAGTGTTTCCCGGCTACACGACTCGTGTGATTCGTCTTCCATTGCGTACGCGGAAATAGAGAAACCTTCACCGACTTCAGCACCTTCAGCGTCATCGACACTGGCTTCGTCGTCATTTCTGACATTCTCCAACACCACGGACGTTGATTCGGCTGACAGAGGAACGACTTCATCAGAGTCTTGGTATCCTGGCAAGTCGTTTAGATTCGAAGGGAGTTCACCGTTTTGAGGCGAAAGCGGTGCAGTGCTTGCACTTTGTACGTGGGAGATCGACAGATTCGTTTCTCCGCTTGACAGACTTTCGTTAGAAACGGATACCATCTCATCTGCAACCTCATCGTTGCCGTGTTCTCCATCATATGCAACGCTTTCCTGCCCATCAAAAGTACTCTCATCCGCAACTTCGTCTTCATTGTCAAATTTTGCAGCGCTAAGCTCTACAAAACGTCTATGCTCAGCGTCGATGTCAGCCAACTTACTCTCTTGCTGTAAAGCAGAATCCACAAATGCCTTGGCAGCTTCTGCAGATATGTCTCTGTCTGCAGAATCATCCCATACGCAAAGAACCATGTCCATTTTACTACAAGAAATCAGCCGCGATCCTTTTATGGGAATCAATGGCCAGCGCGCAAAATACCCGAGAGAACGGCGCTCAAGATGCACTTCCTGCCAAAAGCGGTATAACCACAGACGGTCGATTTCAATCGGCGACCTCGGATCCCAGTCAACAACAGTTTGGTTTTTCCAGAACGGTGGCAATATTCGCTCGATATAATCCGACAGGATCTTGATGGAAAAAGAAGCCAGCCCAAAAACGGAGGCAAACCGACTTTTCGAGAAGAACTTGTGAAGCCGTCGGGATGCTGCCAGAGATACAAACCGGTGGCCCAATGGTCTAAGCAACTCGATTTGGTTGAACGAGGCAAGCACGTAGCTCGTGCGACGATGATTTACTCGTAGCACACCAACACTCCCATCTTCTAGAGGAAGTAAGGAAAGTCCATGAAATTCTGTCCATATAGGATCCGTCTCACATGGCAACGGAAACGGTAAATCACTCAGACAATACTCCAGCAAAGATAAGCAGACATCCGAGAACACCTCGGAACTGCTCACGCTTCTCAGAAATCGACGCATCACTTTTGGCGTTACCAAGGACATGCGCGAGGGAAAGAGATGCGAACAATCTTGCAGTATTCTTGTCGGTACGTCGAAAGCTGGAAAATGGAGTTGAGCAAAGGATGCCACCTGGGGTAATGATCACAACACGTTAGGGGCTGTTTTTCAGACAGGTTGAAGCAACATACCTGAATGTTCATGCCACTCGAATCTAGCTGGTATCCGCTGCTTAATGAGCGAAATACACCATCGGTGCAGAAAAACAACTCCCGCGTTGCAATTGAATGGTATGTACGCGTCTGCACAATCGTTCCGAGCTCCCTTGCTCCTCGCCCCTTAGTACAAATACATCCCTTGTCAGTGCATTTGTGGCCAAACAGTTTAGATGGCAGAGTTTTACCTTTTGGAATGCCGGCCATATATTGTAGAGTGCCCTAGGAGCATTTGGTGCGTAACGCCGCTTTGCAATCAAAAGCAGCTTCACGTACGCATCTGAAACACCATCTTCCAGTAGAATACAATTCCAACCCGCTGCAACCTCTTGCTCACTGCCGCTTGTACCCCTAGCATCTCCTCGACCACCCTGCCTTGTGGACAATGCCAGGGCAAGGTTCTTGTTCATCATAGTCCTCTTGAAGCAGCCATTGATGTGCACCGGGAGCCCCACCTGCTGACCAGTGTCTATGATATCGTACACATGGCCATGTAGATGCGGAGCTGGGCTACCGTCACGGAAGATATGGGTTGCCACGCTAACGTACGGAGTCGAACCAAGCATCTCGTGAGTTGGAGTGCATGCCAAATCGCGACTTCTTCCCGATCCGTTGTTATCCGCGAAAATCCATGTGTCTCGATATCGTTTATTTTCCACTTCAAGATTGACAACGAACTCCATTTGGTTCTCTGGAATCACCGCACTCTTGAAGAAGCTTTGTAGGAAAAATTTCTTCTTCCACTCTTCATTCTTGCGTGTCATATTGCGCTTTCGGAGAGTACGCTCGGGTACGTCAAGCGATACCTCGCCATGGCATTGAGATGCGAACTCAGATACTGCACCTAAACTCCAAAGTGAAAGATGGTGAACGGTCTCTGTGAAAATTAACGTCTGATACAGCTGTGACTTCACAAACGCAATCAGTGATTCAGCCTCCCCCGAATCGAATATGTAAGACGAAAGAGCCGACGCCGTTTTACGCCACGGAAATCGAATCAAAGTACTTCTTGTTCCCCGCGAGACATTGCCTGGACAATACGGAAGGGACGTGAACGGCAATAGCTGGTCTGGATACCGCACAAAGTCGTGACTAAGCACTTCATAGCGTCGACCAATACTTGTCGCTCGATCTGACGCCGACACCGATGCTGACGTTGGGCCGACAGACGACGCCTGGTAGCACGCTGTTGGGTCCAGGATGTAGAACCCCTCTCCACTTAGTATCTGCATGCAGTCCGACGCGAAAAACCCACATAAAAGTCCTGCGTGCAATGAATCTTTACAGGACAAATTCTCAATGTCGTATTCGCTCAGAACTACGTCGTGGATGTGGATGCAGATAGCTTCGGCCTGCAGAGGCTGCAGCGACGGCTGGATCACACGCTGTGAAGCATGGCGACGGAAATCCATCGAAAAGTCCACTTGCGTACCTCCGAGTTGCTCGGCTGCTCGAATCGTTTCCCACAAAAACCTTTGATGCCACTTTGATTGAGGTGGTAGCATTTTCTGTAGTGCAACGACGGAAGGACAGGTGACATTGACACTACTCACCGACGTCTGAGCCAGCTTCGAGTGTAGTGATGTGGCTCCAAGCAGACGAGCAACAGTCTCGGGAACTTTTTTTGACACGAATGTCACTCCCCTTCGAACCTCTCGGGATTCGTCCCATTCCATGTCATCGAACGTTAGCCGTGCGGCAGGGACAAGTTGGTTTGCCTGATCTAGTAATACCATTTCTTGTGACGCAAATGAATCAAGAGCTGACACTAATGATGGCGTGTCCTTCGAGACAATCTCATAGATCTTTAGACATGCTGCAACTTGCGTCGCCCTCAACACTTCGTGTCGTGGTAGCCTCATGATGGCTTCCAAGTAGTCGACCACAACAAAAGCTTCTTTGGCACCAAAAGAAGCTAGAAGCGATCGCGGGATGATATGCTCGCTTGGGCAGCAGTACAAAAGCGGCTCAAGGCTGGCGTCCGCCGTCACTGCAATTTGGCACGGGTACGCGAAACTATTACCAGTCCAGATCCACAAAGCATTTGCCAACTTGCGATACAAAGGTGACACCGTCCACCCCTCTTCGTCCGCCAGTCGATAATCTTCTAAGTCTTCATACATCATATGAACCTCCGATAAAGGAAAACGCCAGTTGGGTGAAGGAGGAGACAACAGCAAAGCTTCACTGTCTTTCCTTAGACAGTATTCTTCCCACAGCGCGCCGATTGCCTCGAGCTGCTTTGCAACTACGAAAGGGGCTACTTTCTCTTTCCACCCGAATGCGGCCATGAGTTGTTCCGAAGTCAATTCACCGTCCAACACATTCAACGACGACGAGCAAAACCACTGTTCAGAACATCATGCCACGAAAAAACAATAGTAAGTTAGGCACGCTCATTTCAGGGTTGATTCATAGCCAGCACGTACCGCGTCTTTAAGCGGGCGCATGTTCAAGGCACTCGAAAGAAGCTCCCGCTGGCCGCCACTCGAAGCTGAGCTTCTCCATGGCATAGCGGGGTTCGGTGGATCAGCAAGAACTGGCAGCCACTGGATTTCTTTTAGAGCTGCCACAACTTCCAGTATAGCTTCCTTTCCATCGTGACCATCCTGATCACTCGTCAAATCACTGCGTAAGCTGGACTCCCCCGTCATGGAATCAAAGTGCTTGTTGACAATCGTGAGCAGACTGTGCGCTTTGAGACAAGCACGGTCCACAGCATCTTCATCGTCCTCTCGATACATCGTCTCAATAGAATGTGCACTTTCCAGCACCGCGTGACACGATAATCCAGTACGAAGTCCCAGTGACCGGAGAATCTCAACGATGGGCGGGGTCGAAAAAGCGTGAGCAGGCAGGCTGTTTTCGCCTACCAGCTCACTCAGCTCGCTCACATTGGGATCATGAAGCTGGTTAATTGCTCGAAAGACCCGTTTTCTGGAAGGAATGATGGCACGAGTTGACACGATCTCGCGAAATCGAGTGTCATTTCGCTGATGAAACGGAAGCGTTTCGAGCGCACTGATGATCACTGAATCGACCAAGTCTTCACCTTGTCGATCGAACACTGACAAATGCGGGAAAACGTGATCCAACAAGATTGCCGTGTAGTTCAATTCTTCGATCCCGCAGTCACGAAGGAATTTCCTCGTTGCTTCGCTATCAGCACGAAAAAAGGAGCCACTAAGAATCCTGATATCGGCCTCCGTGTCCGGTAAATAGCCCCCTCGTCTCAGACTAACGAAAGACACACCGTTGTCCTGATCAGCACTAGCGGCAACCGACATTGACTTGCTGTGTACGGGAAATATCGGGAGCTCGAACAGGACTGGCTTGAAGTCTTTTGACACAGTATTGTACGCACTTTGCGTGAAAAAATTGCACAGCACTTGTCGATCAGCAGACGTCGCATGAGCAAATATCTCGCCAAAACTTTGCTGTTGATGGCGATTCTGGTAGCGGCTTAGAGCTGCCAGAAGACCTGTTGAAGTCAGCCTGTGCGCATATTTGTGCGCCAGCAACCACTGCGCACTCCTTTTGCCGCTTACGTACGTCGTATCGATAACATAGATGCCCACTTTTGCAAGCGTGTGTTGCAGCTGGTGAAGTTCCTGCGGCGGTAGTGCGGGCGCCTCCAGATGAGGAAGGACAAGACTAACAGTTGCGCCTAGACAAACCCATCGGTTTTCACCATCGCATGTAACGGGCAATAATGGCCAAGTCGTAAAGGCTTGAGGCAGATGTCCAATACTTTGTAACTGAGCCTCCGCATACTTCCACAACAGACGAATCCAATCTTTCTTGTCTTGAGTCACCTTCACCTGAGACGATGGCTGAAAAGTAAACACTCCCTCCTCAGTCTTACTCCAACAGTTACCGAGCACGTCGGGTAGAAAGAGGTTCGCGATCGCTTCGAGATTTACCACTCGAAGATTCGTATGCTCGTATACAAATGGCACTTGATCAAATAGATCTTTGAATTCGCCACGGACGACATATTGCGGAAAAGCGTCCAAAAGTCGTTCCTCTAAAGCACTCTCGAAACAGTAGGTCACGTGCAGTCTTTTGCTTTGCAGCTCCAATTCATTGCTTTCCATTTTCATGTCGTCGAAACGAATCTTTTCGAAGTTTCCATCCTTCAGGGGCAGTATCGGTTGTTGGTCGAGTGCTTCCGCACACAAACTCAGCGAGCCTTTGCAGTCCGACAAGCAAAACTGAACAACTTGTTTGAGAATGTCTGGCTTCAAACTAGGTAGGAAGTTTCCCTGTCCCGTCAGCTGCCGAAAGAAAGCAGGCGTCATCACTCCGTAGACTGCATGAACTTGAACCAATACGCTGTGCAGGGCCGCCGGAATATGCACCGTCACCAGTGACGCGGCATGCAGGGCAGCTTCGAGGACTTTCCAATTGTCAAGAGTATCATCAACCAAAACACAGGCGCTGGGAGCGACAGATCTTTCAGAAACCTCCACAGCTGCGTGATCCATCAGTTGAGTCGCGGACGCAAAAAACATCGGCTGGTCTTTCATAATTCGAAAGAGCTCGAGGGCGATGGCATCCCATGGAATGGTCGGTACGTTTGTGGGAAAAAACGAAAAATACTGAGAGCGATTCTCACACATGGCTTTCGCTTTTAGTAGAAAAGTCAAATACGCAGGAGCAACCGCATCTACTAATAGATTTAAATTCCACTCGGAGCGCAACTTTCCGTCGCCGCTCATGTCATCGCCTGTCCAAATATCGCGCCGATTCGAGGACAGCTCGAAGTAACCATTGATGTGAACGGGCAAACCAACTCGTACCGGAAGGGGCAAAAAACAGAATGCTCGCCCTTCAATAGCAACTCCATCAACGCGACCAGCAATGCCAACCCAAGGAATTAGCTTCAACGACTCGTTTTCAGCGGCGCAAGCCATCTCGCGAGCTTTTCCGCCACCAATTTGGTTACACACCAAATACTTTTCAACAGTCTCGTCCATCTGATTCTCTTCTTCTGCTTCCACCGTTTGAGTCTCAAGATTCCTTTGCTCGCCACTAAACCGATCGAATAAGATCGCCAACTCCTTTCGATGCAATCGCCGAATGCGTAGCACCTGGGTCACCGAAGGTAGCTTATCTGCGGGTGTGGATTGCAAACGCGCGTAGAACTCTCTCTTAGCGGTTAGCCCCGGCACACCGGCTGCATTTCCCGAAACTTCGTCATGTTGCATAAATCGATCAATGCCCCGCCACGACTCACCACGATCTTCTTCAGGTACTTCCGCACCGTAGAGAAGCGTGGGTGACTGGCCGATCTCTGATTGAAGATATATCTCCACTTTGCGAACGTTTCGGAGAAATAACATCGAGTCAATGATCGATCCCTGAAAGCTTTTGAACAATTCCACAATCTCGCTATGAGAGTAGCCCCGACGCTTGATTTCACTGGACTCTGCAAGAGTATTATTTCGAAGCGGGAATCGAAACAAAGTCCCCTTGTAATGCTGCTCCAAATCACATCCAAATACATCCTTGTACGGTGCAAACTGGTCCGGAAACTGTCTCACGATGCTGGATTGTGCAAAACGAATCTTGATTCCTGGGTTGGCAGCTGAAATTCCAGGCAAATGGGTGGCATGAGGATCAAACATAACTACGACATTCAAAACGATCAAGCGTAGTGTGTTAGTACTCCCAATAGACCGACATGTACACCTGAACTAAGAACACGTCCATATCTTTGATGACCCACCAATAGACTTGGCCGAAACAATTGAAGGCAGGTCCGTGAAATGGTACACCGAGTTGAATCCTAGTCCAAACCGTCCCGTTGTAGCTGCACGTTGCAGTTTGCTGGCTTGACCAATGCGGGCAAGGTTGATGAAATCCCCATCGCTGAACTCAGCATCGTTGTACTGTTCGACGCAAAACATAGATCGAGTTAAGAACGGTGGCGCAGCCAAAACAGAAGCTAGGGACTTACGCAAAATAATGAAGGCCCCTGCCACTTTGCCATGGCTGGACTCAACAAGGACGAAGTTCCGTATGAACAGCTATTGTACAGCACGCACACGCGAGTTGCCCCCGCGTCATCCGCGTTCTGAATGAGCTCGCTGATGATGTTTGGTCCGTCAGGATATTGCTCCAATATGTGCGCAATCCGCTTTGTCAGCACTTCCGTCTGACCAAATGCCTCCACACCACCCTCACTGCTAATTGACATCGCCTCATGACAGCTTTCATTCAACAACTGGCTCCGCAAGGAACAAGAACCAATTTTCGCAGCTACGTCATTTGAAATCTTAGGGTGGATAAATTTTGTAGATCTCTGTGAAGTTTCGCTGTCACACTTCTGCAGCCAAGGAGCGTCGTCATATGTTAAGTTTGCTGCAAATTCAAGGACGCCATTTCGATCAGGAGCATAAATTTCGTGATCGGAGTGATGCTGTAGCGTATCACTGATCAATTGGATCAACCCAATCACCATTGCCAACTTATCAGCTGTGAGAGGAGCAGCTTTCGCATTGTCGTCACCAATCGTCGTCGCCCCAGCCAAACATTCGTTGCGCATCGCTCCGAGAACATGCACATAGTCTGCGAGAGAAAACCGTTCTCGGACGCCAATCGCTTTCAAGAACGGTCGAAAATGAAGCAGTTCATTAGGGATCGTATACAAATAGGGCTCAGCATTTACAACAGCCGCTGTTGCCACATTGCTTGCCGAGACGAAGCGGTTCCCGACCCACACGTATTCGCCATTTCCTGACAGAATTCTTAGCACCGAATTGCGGTGTTTACCTTGCTTCGTCTCAAAAAAAGTCGATAGAAGCCGGTATATGCTGTAAACTGCCGATCTGACCATATGGGTATCCTCATCACTCATGGCTGTTGAATCCAGAGTAGTATCGCGTCGTGGGCCCCGGTTATGATACATGCGTGATATCTCCTTTAGCTGAGCTGCAATCGTGTCGATCGGAGGAGACTTATCCCACCCCATTATGTTTCGCAGTACATCCGAATGTACCGTGCACTTTATTATGTAAAACTGTGATGAGCAGAGCCACGAATGGTTTTTTGGACGGGATTGCAGCGGGGACGCAACAATTACCTGCTGTTCTTGGTTGTACCATGGTGCTGCAGAATGCGGCTTCTCCTCGCACACTGGGATCCAGGCAATGAGTCCTAATTTGGCTTTGAAATCGTCAATCTCGGCCTCCTCGATTGCTTGCTTCTCCACAGCTTCTGCGGTAGGCACGACGATATCGCGTGGTGCATCATGTCCACGCAAACGGTCGTGACCCAAAACGTTTCGCAAAAAGCGAATGCCCTTGACCTTTTTACCTTTCGTTGTACAAGTCTGCACTTGCATTTGGAGCGGTGACGGAGTCACCAGTTGGTCCATGTGCGTGTTCACATATTGGAACAAGTTCGCGGAACGTACGCGTAGCTTCTTACACATTTCATCGAACGCAGCAACTTGGTCAACGTTGGCACTAGCTGTCGAAATCTCTGTTTGCTTATCTTCCAACGAAACAGCTAGCGACAAAATGGACCGACGCGACAAAGCACGCTGCAGGCCAATCGATCTCAGCGCAGAAAGAGGCCGTGGGTCTTGAAGCTCAAGGGCTGGGAAAAATGACTCGTCCATTAATTCGGCAAACTCATCGATCTCAGGGTCGTACAAGTCGTTAATTGACTTGGTGCCTCCTGTCATTGTCGGAAAAATTGCCGCAGTCTCGATGACATTTAGCAAATCGCCGTCACTGTCCTCTCCTAGCAGAACAGGTAGTTCCACCAAGAGCTCGTAGACGAACTTGACGCGTGTTTTGGGCTTGACATAGTTGATACGAGGAATGAGGTGCTTTGCAAAAAAAGTCACTCGTGAAATCTGTCGAACACCAATATGCGACAGAAAACTTGCCAACAAGACATCACCTTCGCTCACATGTACAAAATTGTCATGGAGAAATTCGAGAGCAGTGCCCACACAAAACATTGGTTCCAGACGTCGCGCCTTGAGCCCCGCAACTGAAACAAACGCGGGAGAAACCCCGCTGTCCATACTTTCAAAATTATCGTAGCCGTCTACCAATCGAACGTCGGGCTCGTCGGCGCAAGTAGCATCGCGAAACCCCGGCAGAATTGGCAAATTGCAGCAAATGTGCTTGAGGTTCGGCCCGATCTCTTCAACTACGGCGGATATCAAAAATCGAAGCAGGTGCTCGCGATCCGAACTATCGGTGTTTCCAAACATCTCACTTACACGTGTCGGTATCCCTCCTTCACCGATGACCTTTTCAATACACGACAGCACACCGACAGCAGTAGGTTGATGGATATACTGCCACACGTCTGGATTCGGTTGGAATGAGGCAAACAACTCTGGTAGTAGTAAACGGACTTGTAGCTTATGCAAGCACCGGAGGCAACCATCAGGTATGCATTCGACACTCAACACACCTGCTGAAAGACTCAATTGCACTAGCATATCGGATGACGTTGGGACAATTGGCCACTTCTCCTTGAATGCAGAGAGATGCTTGCTTTTGCCAATATACTCCCAGAGGCGCCGAAACCATTCTTCGTTTGGCTCATCTCCGCCAGTCCAAGGCACCGATGGCTTCCCAAACCACGCTGCTGGCAAGACCATTGCCAGCATATCTTCAAACCCTTGGTAGTCCAGTTTTTGCACATTGAGGGTTTTTCCTGCTGTGTCGGACGAAAGAAGATTCATACCACTTTGCGATAAAGTTTCAACACTCACAAGATAACCACGCGCTTTCTCCAGTAATGTTAATTCCTCTCGACTAGGAATGAAGTACGTTACAGCGGCGCCTTCACGACACACTACCGATGGATTGGGGTTCTGAAGTAACCAATCTAGCGCAGTTTTCATACCGTCTTCACCCGCGACCACAAGCGCGTGAATAGCGTGTTGTCGCGAAAAACCCATTGAATGCAAGTATGCAAGTCCAGCAGGATCAAATCCGGGGCGGCTTTCAAATTTCCGAAGTGTGCCATCGGCGACAGGGAGAAAATTTACACCAACAAGAGCATTTAAACGGGCTGGCTGAAGATCGCTCAGCATGAAGCCCAACAAGCATTTGATAGCTTCTCGATTACCAGCATGGCAAGAATGCTTTGCTTTGTACGCCTCTCGCACGGTCTGCGGTCCAGCGTATGACGAAATCGTGGTTGTTTTAATCAACACGCGCTCTTGATCTTCTGTCAAGTTCCTGACAACAGGGAAACCGTCGTCAACCATCGACTGCTCGATCTGCTTTGAGCTCGAGTTGGCGCTGCTGAAGACCATACTTTCTGCAGGAGACACCCACCGACCACTTTCGACGTCACTGTACAAACACGGCTTGTCGCGAATCAACGAAAGGAATGCAGAAGCCAGCGTGTCCCAAGGTGCTGGCGGGAAAGTTTGTGGCAACAGCTGGACGTGCTGATCAGGATTCATGAGTTGTGTACTAGCCAGGTGCAGGATTGCCCGAGCATAGCACGGTGCAATCACATCACGAAGTAGCGCAATGTTCCACCGAGCTCGAAGCAGCCCTTCTCCACTTAACCCCTCACCAAACCAAATGTCGCGACGATTCGACGACAGCTCAAAGTACCCGTTGACCTGATTGAAGTCACCAAATAGTTCGTTAGTTCGTCAAAGTTGCGCAGATCAATCATGATATATGGTCCTTACATGCACAGGTAAGTGCGTATGCGCTGGCAAGGGCAAGAAACAGAAAGCCAGGCCAGACGCAGCACGAATCGTGGAATCGGCATTCGATGAAACAGCTACTCCACCCCATGGTATCAGACGCTGATCGACATTGGCTGGATTGCATGCGATCTTGGAGCATTCCCCACCACCGAGCTGATTCGTGATAAAGTAATCGTGCTCCTTGGACATATGTGTAGCACCATTGCGAGCTATGATTTTCAATGGGTAGTCATGCAAAGTTCCTGTGGTGAATAAACAGACATCGGTGAGTACATGAGTGTTGGTATCGTTAAGTTTTGCAGCAGCGCAACACTACCTTCAGCAGAGAAATTCCGGCTGGATTGGGCGGAAAAGGCCACGCTAGTATAGCGTAAGGACCGCTTCAGTCGAACCTCTGACGTCATGTCATTGATCAATGCTTCCTGCACGATGACAGGGGACTTTTCGTCCAAACGCCACTCCCAAATCGAAATTTTGCACACGTTACGCAAAAACAGCAGTACAATCGGCAATGTATCTGCAAATTCTTCGAGCATTTCTGCCGTTTGTGCAGGCGTCTGGGCACGGTTTGACAGCCTGCTCCGCTGAGCTTGCTCTTTGGTTCGTAGCGAAAGGCGAAAAATTGTCCCCTACGAAAAAAGTAACGAGTTGGTGCAACGCAACACTTAGTCACATTGGGAGGATGAGGGTAGAGAACGCAGCAAATTGCCCTACAACGAACGGCTCAGCAAAATTGCACCCGAAACATCGGAACGGTGATACTTGGTCAGGAAAGTTGTTCACAAGTTCGGGGTGCGCAATGTAGTCAATCATTTTGCCTGGATTGCTTGGGTTGACGTTTGGCAAATGACAAGCCTGTACAATCAGGGACGTTACATAGCGGGAACAATACGACAGATTGTCATTCCAGCCTTGACTTGTTCCTCAGCCAAACGGATGGGCTCGACGCACCTGAGGGTCGAAGAAAACTAGTTGCCGACCGCTGACAAACGAAGGTAGATCGGTCAAGTGATATACTATGTAAGTACAAGAGAGCGAGCGCGCAAGCGGCCACGTTATCTAGCTTAGGTTATTGATGTCAGCCCGATGAAACCGCAGAAAAGTGGACGTACCAGAATTGAAACCAACACCAAAGCGTCCAGTCTTCCACCCCATCGACTCGTCCTTTTTGAGCGAGTTACCAATGCGCTACAAGTACAAAGTCGTAAACAACAATCCAGTATGATGACATGCGGTAAGCCACGTCAGGCAGACAGCCCAAAGTTTCGTCCCATTCTTACCTGGATCGACTGCAAATCGGCGTCAGTGAAGGTGGCATTATTATGCACCAGAAGGGCCGGGCCTGCGACGAATGAAAAACACATACGACACTTGTTAGTTATCGTTGTCTCGACCTTTTGTTTGGGCTACACACAGGTCTTGACGAACCCTGGAACGGCCCAAGCTTCTCGTACGCGAGCCCCGTTGATGCATGCTGGCGATAGTCCAGACAGAAATTCACCTCCGTAGCCCCCGCATCGTCGGCATTCTGCACCATTTCCTTGAACATCGACGTGCCCTCTACGCAGCGTCAGCGTGTCAGGAGGAAGAGAGATCGACAGCCGTTTGTTAGGAGAACTGGGGGCTCTTGTGCGCTCGTCAAGAGGTAGCGCGTACCAGGATAATTGCGCAAGATCTCGCGGATACGGACTGTCAGGTCGATCTTCTGGCCGAAGTCATCACCGAAGTACACGTTTGCGTCGGCCATATTGCAGAAGACCGAGTGCGGTGCGCAGGACGAACGAAACGTGTGCGTGTTCAGTATTGTATCAATGACCTGCGGGTGTGCCGACTTTTTCGTCTTTGCTTGTTTGGCAGCAAACGAAAAGCTAGAAACAGGTACGTAGTCCAAGACGTCTATTTTGAAGTTTGGAAATCTGGCAAGGAATACGACGACGGAGAACGCTAAGGGCAGCAGGTAAAAAAGGAAGGGTAAAAACAGAAGGCACCAAATAATCACAATACTAAGAAATATATCAGGACAAACGATAATAAAATGCACGACGAGATAGAAATAGTAAAGGGGTACGAAGAGTACATTGGGATGAAGCGATGATTATGCATCACGCGATAGAAATATGAAAGAGTGGCAAAAAAACAAAAAACAAATGCAGTAGAACGTAGACTATACGCTCAGACATTGTACAATCATTCACGAGTTGGGGATCGTACAAAAAGATAGAATGTGGCGCGGTCGATGATATTCGTACAAACGTCGTGGCAATAGAAAAGGGCATATCGCATCTAAGATTATACTGTGGAGTCACGTCGATTTTCGTACCCGTTGACAACTTGCGAAAACACATTAGGGAATAAACGACTTGCATATTCATTGTAATGACCGTCTATGACGCCTTCATCCGTATCTGTGTCAGCGCATAGAAATGGCCTTTGTCAAGAATGTCGCTGATCAGTTGTCAGTTTACCGACCTATACGTTTGATGTGAACCGAGAGAGACGAGGCACCTATGCTGCTAAGTATAATGTCCCCAACCGGGGATAGCAATACTGCATTCATCTTGGCAGCTTCCCGACACCGCGGTCCAGATCGACGCCACGTTCACTACCGCTATTGGCATGGTCATTGTGGCACCATAACGCCTCACCAGCATCTTGCGCTGGTCCGCGCGTTTCACTCTTTGCAGGTCTGCGAGCACGCGTCATTTATCAAAAGCAACAGAATAAACGCATCCATGACGTGCAGCCGGTTGCTTTATCTTCAATTGTACGACCTTTCAGCAGCATGAGGCGACAGACGCATGGAGCAGCACGTCAAAAGTGCTTCTCGCCGATTGTTGTTTGTCCGGGGAAGCAAACGTATCCTCAAAGCTATGATACTCAGACGCAATAACAAGTGAAAAGCCGACTCTGCAGTGTCAAAAGACAGCATAGAACGCTTGCATATATCTGTCAGTCACGAACGATCTAGAAAGAAAAAATCGTCATTCGTATCTTTATAACAGTAAATATTTGACACCACCATCATATCACCATACTAGAAAGTTGGCGCTACCATCATCATAAGCATTACCACCTGACATGCTGGCGATACCAGCGGCATATGCTGGCGACGCAAGCATTACAGATGTAGAGCTCTCACAGCACAGTCGTAAGATGCATCCTCCTAATACATATGATTCATTCCCAATCGTACCTTCGCCGGCAGAGGCTCCTCTCCAGCACAAACCCTGTAACACACACCACACCCCAACTGCGGGCGTGTCATGTTGTTGTCTAAAAGCTTGCTAGCCACAGTCTTCATGTTGTTCGCTATCAACGACGACCTGACGTTGTCGGTCAGGCCGAATGGATTTGTAATCCTCAGCATACTGCGCGGAGTCTCTATGTCCAGGAAGATAATCTTGCGATCAAATGACTTGCATGCATTTGTATGATCTCTCGCATAAACATTCGTAAGCCGCTGCGAGCTCTCGGATTGTTGTCTTCTTTTGCTGCTAAATTTGCTCGTCGTCTTTTGCTGCGTGAAGCCATTTTAAGCCATCCTCCACAGTTTTGTACAATGACTCTTCACTGCTTTTTTGTTGTCCAACTTTATGACACCGCAGAAGGGACAGTTGCATGTGCACCAACCATATCGGACCAGTTGAAGCTGAATGGAAGAGATTATAGGATCGTGGTATCACAGAAGAAGGAATGGACGACACCGTGGGATTACGCTTGAAGCGTCAGGAACCTGCTTCCCTCACATAGTGGTTGTCGCTGGAACAAGTGGAATTGTTAGTAATTGTCGAGGTAACAGACAAATACAGTGTGACGAGACACGTGAATTACGAATGAATGATGTTGGGTATACGTTGTCGATTGTCAAGATATGTGTACGTGTTATGTGTATTCAGGATGCATTCTTCCAATTTTTGTGTGTCTTCTTCCATCTTGCAATGTACTTTTTATCGTCATCACTTTGTAATCAAGTTGGATCTATTAACGAAATGAGCTAGCGCCAGGTATTTTCGTAACGAAGCTGACTTTGTACTCATTTATCGTGCAGCAGTATTGTTCCTTAATGATGCACGATATTGTATTTCACATTAAGGCGACAGAAGAAGCAGTGATGATATTAGTATAAACTGACGTACAATGAGACAGCACCAGACCGAATTTCGAGTTATCTCAGTCAAGAGCTTGCGCAAAGTACATACATCTGGATATTTTGAATGTTTTGGAATAGCGTTTTTCTTCTTGAAGTATGGTACCTGCATGCTGGCAAGTATTTTTCACGCGAGAATGGTATTATGACGTATTCCAGGGCATCCGAAGCAAATGTAAGGTCTCTTTGAAAAACACAGATTGATGTGACGACATGAGCCCGTTCAAGACGTTGACGCTAAGTTAATTGTTGAGATGAACAAAGATCTGATTGGATTATCGTCAGTAGTGCTATCCAATGAATAGCAATTGACAAGCGCGCGCAATGAGTGGTGACCATGTTGTATGCATATTGGAAGTACGAAGAAGCATGTAGCAAACGCAAGAAAATACATCGTATAATCGATTTATATGAATTATGCACCGCAAGATGATGATACGAGTAAGTGCTCCGCTGATTTATACTACACGACCGAAAACACACATGTTCAAAATTGTATCGATGCGTTTACGCAAATTCTTCGCATTCCCCTCATACTACGTCAATTAGGACCCTCATCATCATTTCTTGTCAACAGTCATTTGAAAAAAGAAAAGAAAGGTGAGCTGACGCTTTGAGCGTGATCTGAAGTATTGCTAACGTTCAATTTAATGTCCACGTTGCCCCTTACTCTCATCGAGAAACTTATGGTTTGACATTGTGAGAATGTGCAGCTTTTGTCTTTGGGGTAGATTGATACTGAAATAAGATGACATAGCGCCGTGTTACATGGCGCGTACACAAATCGGCGTAAGATCGCTACGGTAAGACCCGATGCAGCAAGAGATCGTGGATAGCTGCGGCAATGACTGAGGTCGATATCGTAGATTGCGTGTACACTCGATGACACATAAGGTGGACTGCGCGCTACCAATACACGCAATGCTGATGAGTTGCTACGGCCGCCACACATAGGGGCTGCTTTTGGTGGTGTTGTTGGTGGTGTTAGTGGTGATCTGTTTTTATTGTAGCATGGATGCCATGATATTGATGCAATATTGCTATCTGTAGCGCGGAGGACATGATACATGTAAGCAAAGCAGCTTGGCCCTCTCGGTCCACATCAAACACGTAGCACAATATTACAAAACTACATGCAGCTAGAATCTTTACTGGTCGCCCTGCCTATGAGGGCCTCGTTGGAAATGATGCTCGTATTATAAGTTTAATGTATAATGTGGAAAAGGTACTATGCGTGTCAACGACTTACATCATCAAACAAAAGGTCCATGGAGATCAATGACTGCACCGGCATTGCCACCTCGACGGTACTTTTCTGTTATGCAATCACGGACGACACTATATGAACAGCATCATGCATATCGCTAATCATCCATTGATCCCTCGCATGCATGTGATCTCGATTGTCAGACCACTGGAGTACATAGACTAGTAGTGCATTTCTCTTACATTTCGGTGCATTGTTTGTTACCAGAAGGTGATGCAGTTTTATTTATTTTAACATTTGACACATTTTTTTCTGCCTGTAGTGCTTTTTTATTTTCTGCTCATCGAATGCAATACTATATACACCCTTTAAGTTTTTTGCTCAACTTGTAGTGCGTATAATCAATGAGTGGCGCAATTTTTTCATCTTGTGATGCATCATTGGTATTTGTGAACATTTGATGCTTTCACTTCTTTTCTTGCACACATAAAAATATGTGTGATTAGAAATGAATAGAGGACGCTATGCGTCAGATATCTGAAAAGGCCGGGGTCATCCTAATCAAGCTTGCTTTTGTTTCGTACGAAACATTTTCGCTTTATTTTGCTCTACGCCTCTTTTACACGAAAGTGAATGTGAGGTTTCGTGGCACCTGTCCGCAGTTGTCGGAGCAATTTGCAGTTACTGTCATCCGCGTAAGTGTAAGGTGTCCCGTTTCTCCTCGAATTTGTAAATTTAAGAGCCAAGGAATCTGACGCTCATGCATCTGCGCACAAGAATGCCACGGACAGATAAAGAATCGCTTTATCGAAAGAGAGAGAAGACAGACGGTGCCTATTCGGCCAGTCTGCCCGCTGACAGACGTCGTCACAGATCCTGGCTTGCCAATCTGCTCAGAGAGAGATGAACGAATACTGGACTTTTACAGACGTGTGTATCAAAGCAGCGGTCTTTTCCTGCCGGATACGTACCAGGCATATTGCTAAGTACGCGTTCTTTGCTGTCAAGCAAAGTTATCAGTAAAGAAACGAACAGGTACCAGTGCCGACGGTAGTTGCGCAGCTAATATACCAATTCGTCGAACCTAGATGAGCCCCACCAATTCCCACGCGTCTTCCTGATCCATTATATTGAGCGAGAGCCGCACTTGTGTAATAAGGCGGAAGCGCCATTCGTCTCGCGAAACTTTTACCCACTGCTATTCGGCGCATCCAAGATTCGGCTGGAGTCGTTTCGACCAGGTCGCTAGAAATGCTTAGTCATTCTGTCGAAGACTGTACTATCGCGTCTATCACGTTGTGTCGTTGAAAAGATCGTTAGAGCATATTGTCATCGGCTTACATATCGCGCGAAGTGTCAAGAGCGCCCCACAGCAATGATACGGTCGCGCTGAGCTATTGCTAATTCGTTTTGTAGAGGTTGGAAGTGATAGGTGCCGGTTCCACACATCCATCACTGCCATTCCCATCACAATGTCGTTAAAAATAGGAACGCATTCCAAACGACTTGTCAAAACTGTGTGTTTGCGAACAAAGTCGTTGTCTCGTAACGTCAGGTACGCTCGCTCAGCGTCCCGCATCGTGAGCTGCTGGTGAAAGATGGACCCACACAGTCGACATCCGTCTCAATCGCGCTGCTTGGCTTCGCAACAGCCATCGCACGGCCCGGCATGACTAGAAAAGCCACTCGTTCCATCGAAAGAGCTAGAAAAACGCCACTAATTTCTGTTGCACCGTGAGAACCGCCAACGCGCATCCCGCTTTTCTGGCTTTGGCCCGTGCATGCCCACACGCACGCAGACCCACGTCAGCGATCGGAGTCGCACGGTGACGAGCGGGCGTCACCGACTGCGCAACGAGCCAATCAGAAGGCCGCCTGCCGCCACGGGTTTGGGCCCCGCAGCGCCTCCAGTCGTACCGCCGCGTCGTCGAAACCCGTGGCAGCTCGTTGCGCCAATCAGCGCTCAGCGAGATCTTGGTCGAGAAACCCCCACTTCGCGCGCGCGCGCACCCGTTTGACTTGATCCGAGTATGCCCTCGACGCGCCGGCCTTTTTCCCGCCATCCCCTCGACCGCCTCACACTTTTTGATGCCGACCCGCTGCGCACAGGAGCGCCCGAGCTTTCCCACCCGCGCGCTGTCCCACCCCCACCCCTCCTCCGGGTCCGGCACCCACTGAGCAAGTCAAAACCAACATTCCGTTGCGCGCGCAGCCCCCGACCAAAATGGGTTCAACCGCCACTCGATCTTTCACTGCCGAGCCACGCGCCACCACGACGCCCCACGGCGTCAAGCGCGCGCTCCTCGACGGGCCGGGCGCGTCGCCATGCGACAAGAAGAAGCGCAAAGGCCGCGACCCGCCGCGCGCCGACAGCGCGTCCGACCAGAGCCGGCGGCGCCGCGCTGCGCTGTCGCCTCTGAGCGTCGCGTCGGCCGCGCAGCTCCGGCAGCACGTGCGGGACGTGCGTCGCGAGCGCGTGCTCCGACCGCTCGCGGCGACCGTCTCGAAGCTCATGTTCCACAAGGCGAATCACGGCTTTTTCAACGTGCGCGTGGACCCCCTCGTGTGGAATATTCCCCACTACTTTGAAGTCGTCAAGCACCCGATGGACCTCACGCGCGTCAAGACCAAGTGCTTGAACCTCGAGTACGCGAGCGCCGACGAGTGCGCGCAGGACGTGCGGCTCGTGTTTGCCAACGCCTGTCTGTTCAACCCGCCGGGCCACGTCGTGCACGAAGCTGCGGTCGCACTGCTGAAGGAGTTTGAGACGGACTATGCCAAGTACCGGACGAAACTCGACGCGCTTGCGAAGCGGCGCCGCGAGCACTCGTGTCCCTACTGCCTCGACAACGTCTGCAGCATTTGCGACGAGAAGTGCGTTACGTTTGAGCCGCCGTTTGTCGTGTGCTCGGGCGCCTGTCGGCAGCGCATCAAGCGCAATGCAGTGTACTACAAGAGTCCCGATGGACACTACCAGTGGTGCGCCAAGTGCTATGCCTCGCTGCCCAAGGTGCTGGTGTTGAAGACAGCTTCGTCGATGGTGGCGACGACCAGTGAGCCACCACCGGCGGTCGGGGCAGAGTATACAACGTCGAAGCTTGAGTTGCTCAAGGCCAAGTTCATGGATGAACTCACGGAGCCGTGGGTGCAATGTGATTACTGCAATGGTTGGGTACACCAAATTTGTGCGCTGTTTAACGCGTGCGAGAATGCTGACGACGACGAAGAAGTGATGTACACTTGTCCGCTGTGCCGTCTTCAGGAGCTGGATGCGTTGGAAAAGAACGACGAAAGTGGTATGTCTCCGATTGTTACGTCGGTCGAGGACTTCCCGGTGAAAATGCAGCACGAGGGTTCGCGACCGCATAGCCCTGCGCTGGAATGCGGACCGTATAGTACCGTTTTTACGCGAGCGCTGGGATTTGATGGCGAGAGCAAAGGCAAGGCGTTTGACGATTTGCCGCGAATAGATGTAGATGCTGCAAATGCCAGCGCCTCTGCGGAGTTTACGAAGAGTGAAAGTCTTCGTTCGTGCGATTTGTCGCGGTTTATGCAGAAGTGGGTACGGCAGTCCCTTGAGGTGCTTGGTGAGCAGGAAGCGGCTCAGTCGATCGTTGTCAAGGTGGTATCTGCGATCAAAGGTTCTTGTCACGTGAACGCAACTGTGCGCGAAAACTTTCGGTCTGCATTTCAAGAGGCAAGGAAAGTATGTTGTTATGACAGAGTGGCTATCATATGGCTGACTGGTTTATGTTTGATGTTGCTAGTACCCTCAAACCATTGGCTACACGTCGAAAGTCATCTTCGTTTTCCAGATGATCAGCGGCATCGAAGTCTGCATATTTTCCATGTAGGTGCTTCACGCGTCTCTAAGACTACCACTTGCACGTTGTAGCGGCTTTTGTTCGTCAGTACTGACTTTGTTGGTGTCGTCCAGGTATGTCCAGGAGTACGATAAGCACTGCGAGTTACCTTCCAACCGTAACCGGACATATATTGCGTATCTGGATAGCCTGGTGTACATGCGTCCGCGGCACGTGCGGACGAGCCTATTCCACCAGACCCTCATCTCCTACCTGGCGTTTTGCAAAAGTAAAGGGTTTGAATACGCGCACATCTGGGCATGTCCGACCACGCGCGGAGGTGATTTTATCTATTGGTGCCACCCATCTTTCCAGAAGAATCCTGGCAAAGAGCGTCTTCTTCAGTGGTACCTGAGCATGTCGAAAAAGGCGAAGGAGCTAGGCGTCGTTTTTGCGTGCGATGACTTGTACGCTCGCGAGTTTGAGATGTTGGAAGACACTCTTGACACGCATCTTCCTCCTTATTTTGACGGTGACTATTGGCCTAGTGAAGCCGAGCGAATTGCTGCGTCTCCTCCGAAGAGAGGGAGGAAAGAAACTGATACCGGGAGCGTGTGTAGTGCAAAGTTCCGCAAGCGAGTCGGGGAGCTGGTGAAGGCTGCTCGCGAGTCGCTGTTTGTCATCGCTCTGCAGCCAACGTGCGCTGCCTGTGAGCAGCTGATAGTCAACGCTGCGTATTGGCGTGCGAGCGAGATAGGGACTATAGACAAGTACTACTGCGCGAATTGCCAGGTAGCGGCAGCCGCAGAAGTAGACGCTGCCGGGCAGGCGATGTCACTCACTGAAGTGGCTCCGCCCGATTTCGTCGAAGCATGCAGCAGCAATAGTGAGACGGGGGAAGCAGAGATTTCTTGCCAGTTTCTTGATCACCGTCCAGATATGCTGAAGAACTGCGAAGAGCGCCACTACCAGTTCGATAGCTTCCGGCGCGCGAAGTATTCGACGATGATGCTCGTCTATCAGATTTCCACGACGCAGCGTGTTACTTAACAAGCTCTTGCGTCGAGACCTTTACAAGTAGCATTCGTGTACGAAAGAAAGCGGAAAGAATAACGATTCGTTATGCGTACAAGACCGCTCCGATTGCCGTAGTCAGAGATATGTGCATGTCTCGGTTAGAGCAGTGCAGTAGATAAGCCGGTCACTGAAACGAAATGGGAAGCGGTGCCGCATCCGCATTCAAATCACGGGTCAGGCACTCGGTATCAAGCCACTTCTCGTACTGCTTGCAAAAGTTGACTGGGTCGAGCTTGATACCGATGTACATTTTCGCCAAGCGTCCACCATCTGGGACGAACGAGTCGGATCTGAGCTCCTTGTAATTCTCGCAAATCAACGAAGCTCCGCTGGAGAGCAACTTGCCGCCGCCGAATAGAGAATCAAAGTAGTGTTTGTGGTGGTACGCTTGCATCTCACCAAAGACAATCCTTTCCACCGAATCCTGCAACGGAGGCTTGTTCAAATCCTCATCCTCGTAGTGCAACCAGTCGTCATCCAATTGCGGTCGCACGTGCAGATACACATCTGTCAGCATGCTGAAGCATGTGTACTTCTTTACCCACTACGCACAGAGCAACAACAGCCAGAGTTACCAACTTGCGTACGTACACATTCACCAGATGCCCATACGATATATGTACACGGTGTTCACAAACGAAAGCCGCAACGACGTGACAAACCTGATGGCCTAGGTATTTTGCCTGCGATTTCACCAATTTCAGGGCATACAGGCGTGGCAATGGAATCTGCAGAGACACCACACGCTATTTTCATTCACACGGAAAACGGTCAGCAATACACAGGAGCCAGCACGATAACACCACTTCGTACCTTCAACCAGACAATTGTCTGTCCTCGACACAAGGCGTTCTTTATGATGTTGGGTTTTCGCTTCGTCAGCTTCTGCAAAATCCTCAATATGCTCGTAATCGTCCGTGTCGGCTGAATAGCGTACTCGTTCATGTCTTCCTCGAAACGGATAGTGTGCTTGTCCAGCTCTTTCTCAAGTGCATAGAACCCTGTCTTTAGTTCGTCCGATTCTTGACGAGAAACTTGAAGATACGTGCCAACATCTTTGTTCATGAATTTAGTCAGTGTCGCCAGTACATTGGCCTCCAAGAAAAACTGCATAAAGTATTCCGCCTTGCACGCATGACTGGCACGGAAGTGCTTGTAGATGAGCAAAATGATCAGGTTGGACACATCCAGTACAATTGCTTTCTCGCGGAGAATCCACTTCCAGAATTGATTGTCGTTGCTATTCTCGCTGCCTGGAGCAGAAAAGTCAGCTATGCTGTACTGGTCACCTGTCGATGGCCGTCGTGAGTAAAACGTATTCTTGTCGCGCGCATTCAGTGCACTGCCACATGATAGCGTCACGAGGTTTCCCAGAAACGTCGTGTACTCGCGCATGCAGGGCAAAAGAAGCTGGTACAAGTTTTCCACACGCTCTTCCCATTCGTCATCGAGCGTGTCCAACGGCTTCGTCGCCAAATCAGCGTCACTTGACTGCTGACTTTTCAGCTCATAGTTGGCTCGATGCAAGTACTTGTTGTGAATGTCTTTCCGCTTTTTTGCAAACCTCTTCTTTTGCAAGTAGTACGGGTCCTGTGTATCCAGCTGGATCGTGTCGACATAAGGCTTGGACGTCTTGCAATGCAACACGCCTTCTGCGTCGTCCTTCAGAATCGATACATCGATGTCACTCCGTTCGCGACGCAGTCGCTTAAGTGCATGTAGTTCATCAAAGCTACCCATGACGACCGAGAACAGCTCATAGAACAGTAACAGCAGTCGCTTGATCGGAAAGCCAGGGAGCACATTCAGCTGACTCAGACAGTCGAGAATCGACACCAGCGAGGACGACGGATCCATGATCGCAAACATCATGAGCTGGCGGTCAAACACTGCGTTTCTCTTGTGCGAGTTAAACACGACCAGTAGATACACGAGCACCATATCGTCCTGCAAGTCTTTGATCAGCGTGTCAACTTGGTCCAGATCCAAGTGCTGGAAATTCAGTCCACGAAAAGCGTGGATCGAGCGCTGTAGCCTCTCAGTAAAGACCGAGAGGGCGCCGCACTCCTGCAATAGCTCGTTGTTTGCTCGAGCGACGTCCACTTGCGCCAGAGCACCTCCACGTCCAGACGAAGCGCAGGACGTCGTACGTATTGTTCCCTCGGATATGAGCAGGAGCTCGCGCTTGGCGCGGTAGCTTTTGTCCAGTGTGCGCACGTTAACTGCCGACGTGTTTTCCATCTGGTTCAGCAAAACGCACACGCGCTCACGGGACTTGCGGCGGGACGACACGACTTTCTCCCACAACCGCACGGCATCGCCGTCGACGTCCGGATCGACGGCCTCTTCGTGGACGTATTGGCAGTAGAAGTACGTGAGCTTCTCGTGGAGCGTCAGCCGCTGGAGCAGCGCGTCTTTGTTCTCCATGGCGGTTTTTGTCAGAGTGGTTTTATGTTGCGGACATCACTTTGTAGCGGTGTGCGATACGTCGAAGGACGAGACGCGAGGGGTACACAAATTAGGCTTTTCGAAAGTGCGCGTCGCTAAGACGCGTCATACCATCTGTGCAGCTCTATACTTTATCACACGTTACACCTAAATGCTCCATACTTAGGGATACGTTATGGCTGACTGTACGCTATCGTTTGATACAAACGACGTGACAATTCGTGCCCATAAGCGGAATTGCGGTCGCAATGGTACGCCGATGCGGATGCTTGCAGCCAGTGTCAGCAGATGTGTCATGCGGGAAGCCAATTGCACATAAATGGCCGACTTTTTGCGAGGTCGATCACGAACTAGATACTGGCTGCGACTCAGCTTGATGTTCGATTCACGAATCTGGTTTGAGCATACGTCCACGATTTATCGTCGTGTATGAGATGCACGCAGCGAGCAGTGAGCAGAGAAGCGGTAATGACTATTGTGTTGGTCCTGCATGAGCATAATTTGAAGTATTTCGATTGGTTTCTTATCGTCGCAAGCAAACATATTTTAATTTTGTTGCGTGCTTCCTACCCTGCTAATGTCAGTCGGAGAGTTCCATAGACAAGCTACTTGCGCTGTCAAGAGCGTATTTGTTTCACCTGATTGTACTTTGTCAGTTCAGTCTTCCAACGATCTCAGACACATACCTGCCATGGAATCAGCAAATTTGCAACTTTCTACACCTCATATGCATTTGTTTCCCGTTTGAGCAATCGTCAGAGACGATCGATCGAGCTTCTGGACCGTTTTTCACTGCGATATCGCTGTCAATGCCATGTTTCTTTGTTTTTGGTGGAAACGCTATATGCCTTCCGATCGACCTATGCAGGAAGATGCGAATAAGCATATTCCTGTCAGATTACGAATATCCCTTGAAACGCGCAACGTTGATAGAAAAGGCACCTGACAAAGTACTTATCGATACAGGGTTCGTATGAGTCAGATCATTACAAGAACATCAAGTGTAACGGGGTGATCCCGTTACATAAAAATTGATAGAAAGTATTATTTTTTGAGTATTATCTATTTTGATAATATTCAATCAACTAAACTCGAGATTGGTGTTGTTGTCGGAATATTACTCCCAAGGGTAATATGTCTTTGATGGGTTGCTCCACTCGATGGTTGGTGTAGCATCTACGTCAACCAAATTAACTACTAATCGCTGCTGGACGCACGCAATGGGTAGTGAGCAAGAAACCCACATAGGAGATTGTAGTTCAATATAGTTAGCTCACGACAAAAGACGGTTCATTACGAAAACAAAACTATATTAAATAACAGTTCTACTTTTTCCCTTAGACAGAGCTTTCGAGTTCTGCCTACTTCGCTGCGCTTCCTCATGCCACGTGTACGTGACGCCGGGTGCACACAACCTTGTGTTGAATTGACGCAAGGCGTGCCCCGTTACATTTATGACCTACTTAAGATACATATAGACTTCGATGCAGCATGCTAAGTGGTGTCGTGTTGCACACGTCCAGTCATCGCTATCGCTGTTCATAAGGCTGCAAGACAAACACATGATCCAAGTATGCGCAAATAGAATCATGCTGATCGCATCGCACGACCCCTACAACAGGGGATCAAGATGCTAAAGCTGCCCATGATCGCTTTAAGCATTATTTATCCGCTATAGCTTTCGTCATATATTAATCCATGTTCTTCATCGGACAAGACAAATCGCAAGTCTTTGACTGAAGCAGTCGTCGTGATGGATGACATGCTTTTCAACTGGACGTGCAAGGCACAGGGTGATACTTGGTAATCTACGATGAAATTTTACTTCCGTCACTGCTTCTGATGCGACAAGAGAGCTACTAGGTAACCGCGAACTGCTGCAGGAGATGTGCTTGGTAATTGTGGACCGCTGCTAATGATGATTGACAAATAGGCCGCAATCAAGAAGTCAAAAGATAAGTCATCACCTGCTAAAGCAAAGCACATTGGCATAAAAATGAATTCTGTGTGTGACTAAGCAAAACGTAAGGTTGTTGTGCCACATTACGTACCTTCGGAAAAACGGATCGCCGACATATTGACAAAACAGGCGCTTGGTTCCCGCAAAGTCGCCCTTCTTCGCGCACTGATAGGCTTGCAATAACCACAACACGGCTGAAAGGGGTCTTATAAGGTATTCGATATGCGTTCCACGCGGGGCTAAAAGAGGTCGTCTATGGCGACTGTTAAACGCTATTAACATCATTGTAACGACCGCGCTGTGGTTGAAGTGTGTGATGTTGTACCTCGTGTGTGAAAGGAAAACATATAAATCATGTATAAATCAGTGACATTTCTGCATTTACACTTAAACATAGAGGCAGGTTTATTATGTTAAGGGCGCTATCAAGGCTAAATACTGCGAGTTAAGATGATGCCGGTGAATTCGCTCGCCAAGAAATGCGCTGCTCCTTGGCCACGAAAGAGCCAAGTCATTTTTCTTACGCAAAAACGTTTTGGGAAGGAGTGCTGGAAGGACGCGAATCATAGAACGGTGCGACTCTTAGGATACAGCGACTGCTGGGTTGCAATAATTGTTGAAATGCAGCGACTGTTCATGAGCGAGGCGCATGTTGGCTGCGTGCACAAGAGACGGATTGAAGCGTGATAAGACAATGTCGTTTGATGTGATCTTGTATAGGTTCCTACCTTTTTTGGCCGCATTTCGAGCCAAAATTACAAAACGAAGGTGCTTAGTACAAATAAGAAGCAGCACTGGATTGTTGTAAAGATGCTACTTATTACAAAGCGCCTTTCTATTTCTACTATGGCTATAATAAGCTATAAATATGCAATCAGGCTACTTGTTCACCATAGTTTGCGTGCGTTTGGCAGCGATGGTTATTTATTGATAAAATGGCGTACTTCTTTCAAAGAGTGAAGCAGTACTCAATGTTGCCCTCAACTTTTATTTGAAAAAAGTGCTTACTCATAAGGGTTATTATTGTGTAATATAACAATTGAGGTAATATTCGTTTTGACTCAGTTATCGTGTCGATGACACAAAAAGCGCTTCCCACTTTAGCACAAGACTATGCTTTTACATAAACATTAAAATTGTATATCTGAATAAGTAAAGCACCTATATATCACTATATAACAGCGTACGCTACGCTTGACTTCGTATTTGTAAAGATATAGATTCTATAGTTTAATGAGATTTTGCAATGAGCGTCTAGATGATTTCACGTTGGTAGCAGCCGGCATCGAAATCTCGCGTCCCCCTCAGCTAACCAAAAAGCTGAAATATTCTTTTTTATTTGTGGGTGAGAAACGTCGTCCTTTACGTCATTAATGATCATGTCAAGATGATAAGGCAAGTAAATAAGGCCGCAGCTAATCTAAAGACCGTGGATTTTTGCATACCCTTCATCTCGAACAATTGTGAATTTTTATTTCTGGGCCTACCCTGTCGTTGTTATTTAAGCACGCTAACAGTGGAAAGCAGTCATGTATAGAATTAAGTGACACAATCTTATTCGACAGCTCGTCACGCAACTAGCGTGTTGCTTTCTTTCTGAAAGTTACAGATGCCTGATGGCATTTACCAGGCGATCTTGCCTCGTCTCTACACGAGCTATATTTTGCAGAAGCACATATATACTTTACATGTGCCTGGAATGGTGCGTACAGTCACTTCAAGATCCTAAGCAAATGTGATTGCAGTGTATACTACGAGTCTGATAACAATATCGGCTGAATGCTTTCCGCATCAAAACGACAAAGCATGACTTTGTTAGACTCGTCCCATGCAGGATAATTTCGTGCAAGAACTTGACGTTGTCTGTGCGATATAGGTAGTGATGTTCGGATGCCATAGTGCAGATTTCCAAGTCGCATGTGCGTATCGATAACTTGTGTTTACAAATTTATCAATTGCCGTTGAAAAAAGGAATGTTGAAGCGCTGAATCGATCGTATCATGTCTGAATTTGGTGGTTGAGGAGAATGAGGAGGCATACGGTATGTAGATTGACCAGATTGGCAGACGCATTGAGTCAGTTCAGCTTTCTTCACGTCACAAGGCATGGCACCTGCACACGCCTGATGCTAACTGATCGTCCACCATTGGCGGCACGGAGTGGCGTAAGCTTTAGTGAGGGAAATCATGTTTTGGCTTTACAACCTTATCACAGTTGATGCCACTCAGCCACGAACACAAAGATATTTACCATCATACAATCGATTTTATAATAAATTGATTTTACAAGGCTAAAACCGTTATTCGATTCATGACAACAAACATGTTCGTGGTAAGTTTGCACTGCACATCGCCTACACAATGATAGTTCCCACCGACGCAAATTACACTACTCTTGAAAAGTCATGATATGATGCGGACACAATTCCATAAATTAAAAATTGGGGTTCTGAGTTCATATTCCACGAATGTTTCACGTCACACCTCGCACGACTCTACTGTCATTATCCCGCGAGTTGCAGCGCTTAAAAGTGCTATTGCAACATAATGTCCGCGGACCACGTCTTCTGTTGCTCGCATAAATTACATGTGTTTGTGCACAAACCGCTTATGCAGTTTAGGAGCTGTTACTATACGATCTGCGACGGACGTCGTTCCCTCGTGCCCGCGAACAGCTAAGCCAAAAGGATCACTACTCATTTGCGTTGGCCGCACAAAGACTTGATCTACGAACGGCAATAAGCGACTCGCGATAACGTTCAGTTGCTTTTTGCAGAGAGCTCGACAACGTCAAATAACGAGCTGCACGGCGTCACTTGTTCACACGTTTCATCCCTATGCACTCCTCGCTGTGCAATTGGGCATTTCGCCAGTACACAAACAATCGCATCTTCTTGACCAGTTGACTCAGTGTAAGGTAAACTGTACACCCACCAGCATCGCAAGCCAAAGGCATCTTCAGATTCTATCAGAATGTCAGCAACAGGTCTCCCTCTCTGACCGAGTGCTATACGAAGCGTCGCTGTACGTACAAGCTGCACAGTGCAGCACAATGCGTCACTTTCTCTGCTTTCGACGTCCAGTACGTTCGTACAGCAGACTATCCGAACCGACGTGACGACATGTGCGATAAACGGCGGTATCCCCTCAGACGGTTTGCGATTCGCGACGGCAGTTCGATTGCGTTTGTACCGCCAGCGAACTCTTCTCACTCACTCGCAAGTTCTCTCCCACAAAGTGTCGGGCGCTTCAGCTCCAGCCGCAGCTCTGCATCGAGAGAGATTTTAGTAATCGTAATAGTAACCGGCAAAAAGCGTATTGGCAGCAGAAAATTGTTACATTCTGCGCACTTGTGGCCAGCGCCACTCATAATCACTGGACGTTGTGCGGCCCCGCGGCCGAATAAGGTATACACATTGAGGCGCCACGCCCGACGCTCTTCTCTCGCCCACTCACATACACACACACATAGTTCCTACTCACTCCTTGATCCTCACCACGCCGTCCACATGGGCGCGGCACACTGGACACGAATTGCTCTCCTGTGTCACCGCTCGCGTGCAGTCGTAGCAACCGGCCACGTGCCCACACGGAATGCACACAGCATCGCGGCAGTTCTCAAAGCAGACAATGCACCTCCCTCGCACCACTGGCTCGGGCGCGTTTGGGTCGCTACTGATCGTGACGACTCTCGCCACGGGGAACGTTCGCCTCTGCGTGCGTGACAGACGCGGGGCTGGCACCTCGCCCCACTCCTCGATAAGCCTGGGCGCAGAAGGGCGCAGCAACGACCGGGCTCCATTGCAACCACCCTCATGACCAGTTGTCCCACAGCTTCGAGCGTCTCGGACCGGCGCGGGGCGCGCGCCATTGCACGAAGCGCGCGCGCCCATGTCAAAGTCCCGAAAGCTTTGCACTGGTGGCGGCCGAGCTCCTTGAGTCCTCCCGTCGCTGTCCGTGTCCAGCCGTTGATAGCTTCTGTCTTCTGCCGGTCCAACCGCCGTCAACAGCAGTGGTCCGTCCGACACAACGGGTCCCCGGGATCTCGAGCTCGACGTAGGCGGAGAGCCCATGTACGACGAGCTGAACGTCATGTTCGTGCAGTCGCTTTCGCGCTGGCGGTTCTCCAGCGCGCGCAGCCACGCGGCGCGACTGCCCGCCGACTCACAGGCAAAGACAAACTCCCGGGGCTGGACATTGGCCTTGTGGACGTACGTCCGACCTGACGAGATGTAGCGACTGTAGCGGCGGCAGCGGAGCTTCTGGTAGGCCACGCGCGTGTCCAAGTGGAAGTCGTGTGCCTTGTCGCCCGGCCGCACGCCGTACTGCTGCGTCGATTTGCTGTCCTGCCACAGCACCGCCTCCGGGTGCACGCGCGTGGGCGACCGGAAGACACAGAGCTCTGCCGTCGAGCGCTTGGCGTTGCACGCAATGAGGACGCACCACCGGCGCTTCCAGAACCCCATGAGCGACTTGGACCGGAGGCGGAGCCAGCCGCTGTAGAGCTCGAGACGGGCCGTGAGCGCGGCGGCGGCTTCCCGTCGGCCGCGCAGTCGCGCCACGTCCAGCGCCGTGTGCCCTCTGCCGTTGAGCGCAAAGAGATCGGCTCCGGCCGCCAGCAACAGCTCGAGCGGTTGCGTGCGGTTGTGGTACGCCGCGTAGTGCAGCGCCGTGTTGTGGTGCGCGCCGCTGTCCGTGACGTTGGGCGCCGCGCCAAGCGCCAGGAGCGCCCGCACAGTGGCCGCCCCGCGCTTCTTCGTGGCCGCCACCATGAGCGGCGTCGTCCCGCGCTCGGCGTGCGGCTCGTTTACGCGCACGGGGGCGTCCACGCGGCGCACGAGTTGCTGGAGCTCGTCGACGTTGCAGCGTCTGGCGGCGTCCCAGAGCGCCGTGTCGCCCGTGTCGTGACGCATCGAGTCGATCAGTTGACAGACTGACGGACTAATTCACCAATTGACCAATTGACTGACTGATTGACTGACGGACGGACTAATTGGCCAAATGACTGACGGACTAATTGGCCAAATGACTGACGGACTGATTAACTGTGTGGCGACTGCGCAAATCCAACACTGACGCGAGCAGAGGGAAAGACTGGACCGCTTGCGGGATGGGACTCGCTATGTGCGGAAATGTATGGACTAGTAAGTGTGTGTGTGTGTGAGTATGTCTCTGCTTCTGTTCTCCAAAGCGATATCCAGTCAGATAGACACTCGACCGACCGACCGACCGACCGACCGATCGAAAGCCCCACACGCAGCTCTCTGTCCTGGAGTTGCGCCCTTCCAAGAAATATCCTGCGATTTGACCGACCCGTACGGTTGGAAAGGTCACTACTGGACACGACTTGCGGTGCAGGCGCTTGACACCCACCACGTGGTCAGCGGGCAAAAGGCCCAACGGCAGGTCGTTGGCTCGCTGGCGGTTGATATGCGCTCACACGTACACAACGCTACAAGTTCGTTTGGCGCGTTCGGTTGTTTAGTCGATTGGTCTTTTGGATATCCGCCTCTGTCCGGCCGATTGATCTTGACGACAGATGGGCAGATGGACAGGTGGATGGACGTTACCGTCTCCTCGCTTGACGTTACAGTCGATGAACTGCAACGCGCACCTCTTTCGGTCTCCGTGTTCAACGACGACACGCGCTGAGCGTTTTCGATTGTCCACACTGCGCGATCGCTACTGGGGCGACGATCGCGATCGTCAGAGCTCTCTTTGTTTCCCGCTGTCGCCAGTCCACACGTGGTCTCCCGGCCGCTCTCCTCTGAGCCAACCGACAAGAAGGCGTTGTCTGCGACACTACGCGTTGCCGTAATCGCCGCCTGATCAGTCCCTTTGTCGCGATGGAAACTACAACGCTCTGCTGTATTGTATACCGCACGCCACGCCACGCGACACAAACATTCTTCACTGGATGCGAACAACGTCATGACGTCAAACGACTCGTCTAGTCGATCGTATCTTCGCTATTCCTCGATGGGACGCTGTAGTCGTTTGCTGTGCGTCCGATGCTTACGTCGTCCATGGGATCCGCGATGGTAAGGAGCGGTGAATGGACAATGACGGAACGACACACAGTCGAGCGGATTTGCTACAAAACGGAAGCTCCTGGACGTCGAGCTGTTCGGCGGCACTTTGACATTGGTGGCTGTGAGCTGACTTGTACTTCAACGAGGTTGGACTAGTCAGACGTGGTGGAAACCGACTCGGCAGATCGCGTCCTACACTGGTCGTGTGTGTCCTGCGATTTGTCTCCAGTCGTGCCTTCCACTCTGACTTTGACACGGTCTGCCCGGTCGGTCGTACATGGCCGCTGAGGTCTACGAGACTCAAGAGACGAAGGCCACGCAATCAACTACAGAGCTATGAACCCCTTCTCGCTTGATCGCGCAGCACGGTACCCGATACTGCAAACGGTCTTTCGTACGCGACAGGTGGCGTCGCGATGGATTGTTGTTGATTCCTCCTGTCTGTCGTTCGTGCACTGGTTTCGCGTTCACTCGGTCAGATACAACACCACTACAACGTAAACACACTCGGAGATTGCAGATGTCCGCTGCGCCTCGTCGCGTGAGAATCAAGGGCCGTGGATTGTCCGTCATCAATGCCGTGGAGCCACTGCGGTCCGTAAAGGAAGTAGAGCTTTAGTTGCAATCAGACGACTCGGCAGCGAATCTTCGCGCAAACATTATCGACCAGCTGCGTGTTTAGTCAGCACTGCTGATTTGCCAAAGTCAGGCCAACCAGTCAACCGCTTCCGCCGAGACGTCACGCTTTCTGCAGTCTCATTTGGCGCTCGCTCGTGTCAGCTGTGACGATGCAAAACCTGCGGTCACTTTCTTCTTCTTCGTGTGTGTGTGTGTGGATATGGTAGAGAGCAAGCTCGAGTGCTCGTCACGGAGCTCGCTCGTGTATCATAGTAGTGGTGGTCCAGTCTAGAGACTCGATTCGAGTTGGGTAGTTCACATCTCCGATTCGGATGGGTGGGGCTGGCGGCTGGACATGGGGCTGTGCGTTGTGCGATGTACTCACCCAGTGTTGCCGTGATCGGCGTGTGATGAGGCAACTCGTTGGTGTGTTGCCGATGTATTGAAGAGAAGGATGCGAGCAGAGAGTGACGACGGTGGATTTTGCCCCGTGCCGCAACCATATGAAAGTATGACCGATGGCAGGAGATTGACTGACGGATAAGAAGAGGTGCGCATGGAGCCTCCTCCTCTGCCGCCGAGCGAGAAGAGTAGCCATCAACATTCGTTGACGCCATACGTTTTCGTTTGTTGAAGTACTACGGAATAAGGGTACATTGTTTTTGCATGTCGATGTTGCGTTGCTAGTGTCACTCCGTTCGGTTGTCGTTGAGCAGTCTCCATGACGCTACCTTTGCTCTGTCGTTCTTGCTACTTAGCCTCGATTCGTGCACCAAGTAGTGGTGATCTCTTTTTACAGCGTCAGCATCGTCCAGCTACACCCTGCCTAGCGATGATGGCCAGCTAGCTGACAACTGTGGCCAACCAACAAAAGAGTTGGTGCTGAGTGTATGATGTTCCTCACGAAAGAGTCTGCTTGGCCAACTCACGTACCCTCAGCTCGCTCTTCGTTGGCGACGCAGGACTCATTCAAGTCCTGATCTTGTGGAGCTTGTCGTACGCGGGCACACGATGACAGACCCGACAGGACAAATGTCCTCTGACGCGAGAGCTTGTGCACGGCGCCTATATGGACGACGCCAGTTGCTCCTTGGCGTCGCTGCGAGCTCTAGCGTGTGCACAGACAGCAGTCTTGACGCAGCCTTATTCGTATAGCTGCAGCCTTTTCCGTGTTGGTACTATCCCTGGCAGAGCCGCTGCTGTGGGTGGTGTTGCTGCTACTATTTGGTCGCGTTTCTTGGTCACGAAGGCGCCCTCGACCGAAGTGCCAGTCGGGCATAGTAGAAGCTGCGAGCTTGAAGGGCGTTTTCCAACGATAATGTTTACCCGATCGGTCGCTCTTCTGTAAATGCGTCGTTGGTGGAAAGCACATATCGAGCTCGCTCGCTGTGGCTTGATACGCTACCGCGGCCAGCCCACAATTGCACCTACTTGCTCTACCGTCTCTCCTACCTTCTCGTCAGTCACAAACTGGAAGTCAGTGCGATCGCACCGACCGATGCGCTTCACGCACTAACTTCTAGCAGCTATTGCTGCTGATGTGGTGCTGAGATGCTGGTGCCGGAGGGGCGCGACCTCTGCTGATGCAAAGTGCGGGTGTTTGCTTGTTTGGCACGTTCATCCTTGGTCGCGTTCAAGCCGACCACGTGCGTGCGTGTGTTTGTGACTTGCACACAGAGATAGACAGCGAGTAGCTGCCGAGAAGTTTGGCAGTTACTTAACGCGCGACCACAAACAGCTCTGCTGTTCGAGCTTGCAAAAGACACGACCGGACTGAGCATATTGACTGCATCAATGGAAATTGTAACTTCATCGATGAAGGTACCTTCGGAATTGGGCTCGCATCATGAAAGGATGCGTGCAAGTTACTGTTGTCCTCGACGGTATGCATCGTCGACAAGAAACTCTACTTACCACATGCTGAGGGAAGGTCGCGGATGACTCGATACGCACCTTGATGCCTACTTCTCAATTGATCCATAATGGCCCAGGAGCGTCATCATGTAGATCGTCCCTCGTCTCGATAGCAGTGTTTGCGGCGAGTGACACAACCGCAATTGGTCTGCAATCAAGACAGTATGGAGTCAATGCAGCTGACGGCCGCCCTCCTCGCTCGGCGGCAGAAGAAGCTCTACACTCACCTCTTCTTACCAGTCGATCTCATGTCAGCAGTCATACTTTGATGTCGTTGCGGCACAGGCAAAATCCACCGCCGTCGTCAATCTCTCGATTCGCTCGATCGCGTACCCCATCCTACAACGCAGCGGATATTCAACGAGCGAAGCGGACGCTGAATTGATACTCACTCCACCGGACACGCAAACGAAATTGAGGACAATCCACGCGACGAGACCACTTCATGAACACTGGCCACGAGCTGACCCCCTCAGTATAGAAACGTTTCTAACCGTCTTCTCGCTCGTTATCCACATCACGCGTCGAGTCCACGTAATTGAGCGAGTGAGTGGTGCCATGTTCACTCTGGACGCGCCGCTTGCGCCAGCAATTGACGCGTTCGTGGACCCCGAGAACGACGATGCGACGCAGAAGACGGGACTGAACACGGTCGTGATGCAGGTGCACCGCCAGGTCCCGATCGAGACGCTCGTCCAAGCGCTGGGCGCGTACTTGACCCATGACGACGACAAGAAGCGCTTTCGGGCCACGTTGTTGCTGGCCGAAGTGCTCACGCGTCTGCCCGAGTTGCCGCTCTCGCCCAGTGCCGTGGAGCTCCTCGTTAGCTTCTTCTCGGACCGTCTGGCCGACTTTTCGAGCGCGCCAGCCTGTCTCCGGGCGCTGGTAGCGCTCGAGACGCACCACCGAGCGCAAGGCTCGTCGCCACGCACTGCTGTGGACCTCGTCTTGAAGCTGGGGAGCTCGCTGCACATCCCGCAATTGGGCCAGGCCATGCGCAAATTGTGCTTTGAATTGATGCAGCTCGCGCTGGCCCAAGAGACGGTCGTGGAGCTGCTGCTGCTGGAATCAGTGCCCAGTACTACCCAGAACGATGAAGACGAGGACGGTGATGGTGCCGTAGCTGCTGCTGATGGCGATGTTAAGCCGTGTGGAGGAGACGAGCTTGGCCGACAGTTTGCTCAGACTTTTCTGAGTGCTATGGAAGGAGAAAAGGACCCGCGCAACTTGCTGTTGTGCATGCAGGTGGCACGCACGCTCTTGTCCAAGCTGGAGCCAGTGTTCTCACGCAGTGCTGCGTTACTGCAGCAGTACTTTGACATCGTCTCGTGCTACTTTCCGATCATTTTCACGCCACCACCAAACGATCCATATGGCATTTCGTCGGAAACACTGATCCTGTCACTACGACATGCGTTCGCAGCGTCCGACTTGTTGGCTCCGCTCGTGCTGCCGTTCTTGCTGAAGAAACTCTCGTCGACAGTGGTAGAGGCAAAGCTTGATGCTTTGCAAACGCTGGTGTTTTGCGGCGAGCGATACTCGGTGAATGCAATGCTGCTACAGATGCATGAAGTGGCTATGGCGCTATATAACGAAGTGCTGGATGGGGAAAAGCAAGAGATTATTGCTGAAGCTCGTCGAGCAATCTCGCGGCTATCTGGAGTTGTCGCGCGCGCGAAGTCGCATGGCATGCCGGGTGCGACGTATGCATGGAGTAAATTCGTGGCGGACCTGGCAGCGCGTGCTGCGGACCAACTTCGTGAACATGCTGCCGACTCGATGGTGAGCGTCTCGGCTGGTCAGATATTGGCGGCACTAGGACACGATTCAGCGCTCAGTCTTGCGCATGTTCTCGACGTCGCTGTACCGCTGCTGGTGGAGCAGCTTGGTAACGAGAGTTCTGGAAGTGAGAGCATTCCGTCAAAGTATGAAGCTACGCTGGCGCGCACTCTGCTTCTAGTGGACATGATCGACCGGGAGATTGATCAGAGTGGTCAAGCGCAACCCATGCGTCCACACGCACCTGCTCTGATTGACGCGCTGGTGTCTTTCCTTAGTATTGATCAGGATTCTCAGCTGAACGCCGGCAGCAGCCCGACCGCACGTTGCATAGCAGTGAGAGCGCTGTGCCATCTCCTCACTTTCCCGCCGTCACCTATCGTGGCACCCACGCAGGTCAAAGCGCTTGTCAACTTGCTGACTCGTCTGTTGCTTCTCGATCCTGCAGTGGAGGTTCGAGATGCCTGCTTACAAAGCTTGAAGGAGATCTCGACCGTGTCGGTAACATCGGTGTCGACGATAGGTAGTACGGAGGGTTCCGTCTCGTGTGGGTACGCCTTGTTTGTGGTAGACATTTCGCTAGCAAGGCTCATGGCTGCGATTAACCAAGGAAGTGACCACGAAGATGACGATGACGAAGATGGTGCTGGAGTATCTGCAGTTCTGACTGCGTCCAACCGCACGTTTGATTCGTTCTTCGAAGAGGCATTACTGGCCATCACTGAGCTTTGCCGCGAGTCGTGTATTTTCCAGGCTACCATCTTTCTCCTCATCGATTTGTGTGTGGAGAAGATTGACGGGAAAGAGAGCGGTGTTCGGTTCTGTGGAGCGGATGGTGACAGTGCCCGCCAGCGTCGTGTAAACTGCCTCCTCGATGCGGTGGCCAAGATTGTGGAGATTAATGCAACCGACCGCACCAGCATGGAATTCTGTGCTCAAGCGTCGCTGACGAATTCCATCATTTTCAGGTTGCTCGCAGCAGTGGAGACGTCTGCCGCTTGTGCAACCAGTTCTTCACGTGGTGGGCAATGTGGTCTCGTGGACGATACAAAGCTTGCTGCTTGTGTCCGGATCTCCCGTGCAGTCATGCAGAATGTGTGTGCAGCCACTCAACAGCGCTTGATCGACGCGGTCGTGCCAGCGTTCTTGCGCACACGTTCCTCCGAGCCTGCTAGTCTGCAACTTGTTCCGCTTTTTTCTGCGGTCATCGACTCAGCAGCTCGTGAGGTGGCTCTGCCGGATACGTCTTTGGTCATCAACCGACTACTCGAGCTCGCACAGTCTAGTGCTGCTGCAATGTCCGAGACTGTGCCTCGCCGGCTCCACAGTGTGCACACGGAAGCTGCACTATCAGCGGCTAAATCACTGGCCTCAATTGTGAACAAGATGCCGGACGGCGCTGAGCTCGATATGCTCGTTGACTCGCTGCTTTCTCAACAACTTGCGGGTGTGATATGCGGTCCCAGCGAGGCTTTCAATGTGCGGGTGGCAGCACTGAAGATCTACGCCTGGGTTGCGAAGGCGCTGCTTATTCGAGGCCACAAGGTTCATGCGCCAGTGTGCTTGCGCTTCCTTTGCAGGTTCCTCACACCCGGGAACGAGAGCGATCACGGTGACGTGAACATGGAACAAGAAGGGAACGGCCAGGAAGTGTCTGCCTTACAAATGGAAGTCGCCAAGACCTTCAAACTGCTGGTATCGGAGTACCCAGATGTGCTGAATCGCAAGTGTGGGGCGTACATCACGGTAAGAACCTGGTGGGTGTCGATGCTTTGGCCTGGATAGTAACCCGTGTTGTTGTTTGCCTGTCTGCGTGCAGTTCCTTTACAAGCAACGGATGTTTGATCTAGTGTTCCCGCTGCTGTTCCCGTTCGTTCGTGCCCACGCAGACGAGGACATTGGCGTGCCAGCTCTTATCGCGTTCGCGCAGGTGATCGCACATTCGCCCAAGGCCGTCTACGTGCCTCATTTGGCCCAAATCTTCCCGCTCATGGTGCGTGCTCTCAACACGGACGACCGCGAGCTAGGTAGCGCTGCTATCCAGACATTCAAGCCGCTGCTTTTGGATTCTGTTGAGAGCGCAAAGCCGTTCCTGAAGGACGTGTTTCCGGGACTGCTCAAGCAAGCGCAGTTTGGGTATGTTGTCCTTGGCGCTGATCCCTTACTTGCGTACTGAGGAATGGCTTGTGAGCTGAGCTGACCGTGTGCTTACCTGTTTTGCCCGGATTGCAGGCCTGGTGCTAAAGATCGGTATGCTGCGCTGGAGTGTCTTGCGAAGCTGGCTACGATCCCCTACGAGCTTGTGCACCCCTATAAGGACACTGTGCTGCGAAAACTCGTCCTAGTACTGGATGATCGCAAACGCCTCGTGCGTCACATGGCCGTTCGCGTGCGCAATAAATGGAGCATCTTGTAGAAGAGGGACGCCAACAGAGGTCTTGCGGCATGTACGCCAAGACTGATACGCAAGCGACTCCATTTCCGATTGCACGAGGTTTGCCATTCATCATCCGTCTGTCTTATACGGCCAGCCAATGCTGTAGACGCTCTTTGTCTACCGACATCTTCACACAGTGTTGAGGTCTATCTCCTTAGCTTCGAGAATCTTGGCGATCTCGGCAATGGCGCCATCGGTCACCTTCTGGATGCGTTCCTTCTGCACTTCCATGGCATCTTCCGAGACAGTTTCCTTGAGCTTCTTTGCATGATTCATAGCGTCTTGTCGCACGCGGCGCACGTGCTGTCGGGCCTTCTCTGCCTGCTTTTTGGTAGCTTTCAGCAGCTCAGCCCGCGTCTCCTTGGACATCCTACCGCCAGTCTTAGTCAGCCATCATCCATGCACGCTACGACCTCGATCAAAGCTCATGTACGTACTTGGGAAAGGAGATCTCGAGGCCACTTGCATCTTCTCGCACCAAATAGACTGGATTGGTGCCTTCGATAGCTTTCTTCACATCCTGCAAAAGCTACAGAGGCGCCGAAAAAACAGCACACACACACCAATGAGTCCACAGAACCCATCCTCAAAGCCCTTTGTCCAGCCACTCAACGCTCGCTCCCACCGATGGGTCATAGACCGAGACGCTCAGAGCGTGTGACGAGACGACCGACACCTGGGCCACTTGAGCCAGAGGGACGTGCTGGCCATAGGCTTGGACGTGCAGCTCGTCAAAGATGCCGGCGTCTGCTCGCCCTGGCCGCATCTGTCTCAGCGTTCGTGTAAAGTTGACCACAGCGCCCTTCATGTTCTTCTTGGCCTTTCGAAGCGCCCTGGCGGCTCCTCCATCTTCCTCTTCATCCACATCGTCTTCTTCCTCGTCGTCACCCTCGTCGTCAATATCCGGCATAAAAGCTGCAGGGACACTGGCTTTGCCCTTGCTGTCCTTGTTCTTCTTGGCCTTCGCAAACGACCGCGTCTGGTATCGAGTCGCTATTGCAACCGGAGCTACATCAAGACACAGCGGAGCAGAGGGCGCTGCTGTCGTCCGACCTACTGGACGACACGAAGCAGAAGCGACGCGCCCAGCACGACGACCCAACACTCGAAGCGCCATCGCGACTGTGTTGACCCACTTCTGAGCTCGAGTGGCGATCATCGATCGTGTGGTGCACCTTAATTTCGGCGCTATTCACGAGACCCTCCTTGGTGCATGACCTCTTTGTTTGCATACATTGCCCCATATGATCTCAGGTAGATCGAATTCCACAGGTCCACCCTGCACGCACAGCATGCCGACGCCACGCCCGGCCAAGAGCTACTCGCTGTTCCAGCGCGCGGTGCGCGTCGTCCAGACGTCGATCCGCCGCGTGGATCGCTGGGCTGCAGTGCGTGCGCCCGGGCTGCCGAACCCGCCCGACGTCGAGGCCCGCGTGCGCCAGCCGCGCTTTGCCGACCTCTGGGAGTTCACGCTGGCCGACCACTATCGCATCTTTTTCGAAGTGTGGCACGAGTACAAGTCGTCGTTCAGCGGCGTTAGCGACGAGGAACTGGCGCAGAGCAAAGCAGAGCTCAAACGTGCGGTCACTGCCGTGCGCGGAAAGGTCGCGGACACGGCGAGCGCCAACCTGTCGTTCCTCGACGAGAGCCTCGAGGGCTCACAAGTGCACCGGAACTTGCACGCCCTGCGCGACAAAGGGGCCGCGAACGTGGCGTACTTGGCGAAAGAGGCGCAGCATGTGGTGGGACAAGTGGACGCAGACGCAGTGCTGCGCCGCGCACAGGACGTGGTGGACCAGACCCGCAGCGACGACGACGTTGCGACGACGTTGAAGAAGAACGTCGCCGGGCTCCGTGAGCTGGCGAAAGAAGGGCGGGACGCTGCGTTGCAGCTCGACACGAGGGACGTCGAGCGGTTCAAAACGAGCGTGCAGTCGTGGGTTGCTGATAAGCTGCTGGTGGGGCAGTCAGTGTTGATGGCGTTCATTGATGGATACCGCGAGGGCAAAGCCATGGAGTTGGCACGTGAGGACGCACTGCTCATTACGTTTGCCAAGCAAGCAGCAGAAGATCACAAGGACATCATTGGCAACCAGATCAAGAAGCTGATGGACCAGCAACGGGAGAAAGTGCGGCAGGAACGCGAGGACGCAGCAGCCACGTCGGCGTCTGCGGCAAAGGCGGAGACAGCACCGACAAGTGGGAAGCCTGAGACCGGCATGACCGCTACAGAAGGCGCAACGACGGCGGTCTCGGTGCAAGAAAAAGCTGCACCGCCAACGACACGAAAGGACAGCGACGCGAGACTGGATACGAGGCAGGAAGACCCCAAGCAGCAGTAAATTATGGTGCACGATCGGAGATGATCGCTTGGCGCGACAGGCGACAACGCAGTCGCCAAGTGGTAAAGACGAAAATGCACTTGATAGCTGAACGAACGAGTGTGGCGTACAAGACGCAAGTCGAGACACGAGCTATCGTCTCTTGCGGCAGCTGAAATGGATAGCAGCATCAGTAGATGCCACTTCTTGCATCGTATTCCGCAGCGGCTCTAGTCAGCGTCTGAAATCGCTCGACAAGGCGCAGCACTATGCTGCTGCGTATGCTTCCGCTACGATGTCGACCTCAGCAGAAGAGAGCAACGATAGTGCTGCAACCATACCTCTGGGCGTGGCCACTTCGACGGCTTGTGATGCAGTGCAAGACCATGGCAAAGAGGCCAGAAACAACGCACAGCAAGTCGAAAAGCGACGCACTTGCCACAGGTTGCATACAGCTCGACTTGACACCTCACGTCTATCAAGCGCGAATGTAGCAAGCAAGAGCAAGACGTCTGGCACCCAGAGACTCTATTGCTGCTACAGCTCCTCGTCCACATGACTCACAGCTGTCTCAAACGGTATCGGTCGGAAAACTCTGGTCCACACTCGCCAAACAGCTTCCACTGAGCACTACATGCCATCCTTTTGGCTGGCAGGAGAAGCATACACTCCATTGAAGCGCACATGCTCCGAGACGACATTGTCGAGCTCCGGGATTACCACTTGTTCGCCTGCTTTTTCTGGTCGTTCTCGTCCTCTTCGGCGGGCAGTTTTTACCTTACAGCGACTTCTCATACGTGCCTTCATATCGGCGATGTGGCAAGCTGTAGCTCAGCGTCAGATACGCGGTGGCGGATAGCACCCATTCGACAACGTTGCATTCGATCGTCGTGCTAGACACTCGCTTCTGCTAGTAAGATGCGACCAGGAAATCCACGTCATGATGCGAAAACTCTTGCGCTGGAAACAAGAGCTCACACAGATCCAATCCAGCTGCGTTGTGCCATTTACAGTTCACTTCTATGTACTCAACAGAATCTCAGCGGGCCCGTCTTACCGCCCTGTTTTTCGTATCGACTCCACTCGATCGCAGCCGACAAAACGCCATCCGTCTACGTATCATCCATGCTGCTGTGTCGACAGTTGTTGACCTCAATGGCCGCTTCTTGGCGTTATCGGCTCTTTGCCGATGTGATGATCGCAGCATAACGTCTATTGACTGCCAGAGAAGACAGGCAATTTGTAGACCACTCTCGGACCGCTGCTACTGCTCCGTTCGATACAGCTGAACTGCAGCTTTGATACACCACAATCATACTGTTCTTCGTGCAACACGAACTTCAGCCATCCAGACACCTCGCGTCGACATGACACGACTAGAGACTTCTCAGTCGCTCCTTCCTGCCACCAAACTCGGCGTCGAGCACGAGACGGTAGTATTTGACTTGCCAGTACGTGCACAAGAAGATCGACAGGACGATGGAAAATAGCCGCCATACCACGTTCATATACACGTCCCATGAGCTAAGCCAGACCACAGTGAGCTCGAATGCCGCTGTGATAGCCACGTACAACCAGAATCGAGTCACGTACAGCACGGGCGGTATCGATACTCGCTGATGCGGGTCCCAGAAGTTCGATATCACGCTGGCAAAGTAAATGTGCAAAGACACGTTCATGAAGATCATGAGACTGTAGCCATAGTGCACGGGAGCTAACGGATGCACGCGAGCAGGTGCAATGCGGAAGGCGAGCACTACGAGCGCCATTCGGAACGCCATGTAAGCATACCGAGCCTGCTTGTTGTTGCGCATCGTCAAGACCGCGCAACGTTTCTGGATTTGACGCATCGGCAGCGTGATCTTGAGTGTGTACAGAGCTGCCGTAAGCAGCGCGAGCGAGCTGAAGAAACCCAGCAGTGTCTTGACAGCTTCTTCCGCTCCATAGCGTTCTTGCGATCGTGGCAGTGTCGCTCGAATATCATGCCATACTTCATGCAAGTCCATGACAAATCCAGCCCACCAATACCACGGCTTCAGGACAGAAGCCATGGGGTATCCCACCGTAAGTGCCGGAATGCTACGCGCTGACTCCACCACGACCTTAATCGGACTAATCGGCGACGTCATGGACGCAAACTGGCGCAAGTAGAACAGTTTCCAATGATACTGCTCGTAAAAGTACTTGTGGTTGATGTTGTAGCCCACTGGCAGTCGCATGCCCTTTGGGTGCACTTGCGCCTTTTTCCGGCCGTCCAGCTTGGCTCCAGCCAGCGACGCTTTTCCAGGCGTAAACAACTCGGCTTTCCGCAGCATCTCGCTGTACATGGACGACAGAAACCCTTGGTCGGCGCCATCAAAGCTCTCGAGGTAGTCCAGGGCTTTCAGTAACCGCTGGTACTCGGCCGCCGACGGCGTAACCACGAGTAATCCCGTGTGAAAGTGACAGGGGTTCATAAACACAGCACAAAAGTCGCCACATAGAAAGAGCTCGTCGGCGTTCCGGACCAAGACATTGTCCGCGTCGAGGTACACCACGCGCTCGTACTCGAGCATGTTCCACACGTGCAGCTTGTTCAGCGTGTAGATAAAGTTCGGGTTGTGCAGCGTGTTCCCGACGAACGGGTTCTTAATGTTGGGCACGTCCAGAACGCGGCACCCCATGGACCGGAACAGGGCTTTGCTCGCCTCGGACACCGAGTCCGACGTCAAGACCACGAGGTCGTAGGGCGAGCCGGTCAACTTGATCGAGTGCATCATCACTTGGACGCCCAAGACGTACTCGGCGTCTCGACTCGTGTCTTCGTAGTGGACAGTCACGTACGCAAAGCGACTGGTGGCCGCCGTGGGCTGCACAACCACACTGTGCTGACTCTCTTGTGTCGCGGCAGCATGTCGCAGCAGCAGCAGCAGCAGCGACAGCGCTGCGATCGTCGTCCGCCCGCGCCAAGTCATACTGAGCTTTTCAATCGCAATGGTCATGAACGACCGAGGGCGGGGCGCGTGTATGCTGTATGACAAGTCGACAAACGGAGCGCTCGAAGTCTGGGCGGACACGCGGGGTGGCCGACGGATGCTGGATGAGAGTGCGTTGGTTGATGTGGCAGACACGTTCGCCCACATCGTGAAGGTTGCGCCAAGGTCGTCCGAAGCGCTGCGCGCACGCGGCCAGTGGTTTTCATCTCTCGACTTCGAGTGGCGCGGCAGCTGTCCATCATCCGCGTACCTCCCGACGACGCAACGCTCGCTATGGACCCGTTCACAGAGCTGCGGCAGCACGCGCATGGCACGCACCCGCAGAAGAAGCGGCTGAACGTCGTGCTCGGCGTCATCACTGACGTGATCTACGACCGCCGCCGCAGTAGCAGTAGCAGCGACGCGCGCGCCACCACTTCGATCTCCCCCACGGAGTACTTTGCAGCGCTCATGACGGCACTGGACGCAGCGTCGGACTCGCACCGTCAAGAGGTGGCACAGCTGCTGTCGATGGTGTTGCCCGAGGTCCCGCACGCAGTGCTGCGGTGCAAGTTCACGGCTGTAGCCACGTGCCTCACGACGGTACTGCAAGAAGCTGGAGACGATACAGCGCTCTTGCGCTCCGCCAGCGCCTGTTTGGCTCGGACGCTGCTGGCGCAAGAGCCGTCGACGACGGTCTGGGCCCGTCCAGAGCTCATCCGGAGCTTCCAGTTGCTGCTGACGCTGGCTATGGACACGCGCCCCAAGGTGCGCAAAGCGGGACAGAAGTGGACCATGGACGTGCTGGAGCTCCATGCTGCTCGCGGGTGTGACGCGCTGTCGACGCACATTGCGAGCTTTGGAGAGAACGTGCTGGCCAGTGCTGGCACCAGCGGGAAGGACGACCAGAAACTCGTGCTGCTCGTTGCGTTTCTCAAAGTGGCGCTGCCATTGCTCCAGCGACAGGTTGTCGGCTCTCTTGTTGCAGCGCTGGCCAAGTTTCTCGATGCCAATTCGAAGACGTTGCGCTTGGTCACGTACGAAGCACTGGACGCGCTGAGTGCTGCACCAGAGTCGCAGTTGACAGCGGATACCCTTTGCAAGCTCGTGGCGGCTGTTCTTGATGCACAAAGCAGCGAGTCGCAGGACGCTGCAGGAGGGCCTGTGGCTATCTATGCTGTGCGCATCCCGTCTCAAGCACTTGTTCGGCTTGCGTCGGTGAATGCTGAAGCGGCCCGTGAACTGCTTCCTCGCGTGGTTAGTGCCGTGTGCTCTCACATTGCCGGGGACAGCGACCGTGTGCAGCGCCAGGCCACGCGCTCGTTGCTGGGTGTTCTCAAGGCGATCATTACGCCAGACGTGCTCGAGACCGAGAGTACGTTCGAAGATGTCGCTCGTGTGCTTGCCTCGTTGCAGAGTCTCACTTCGCTGCGGTTCCAGGGTGCGTGGAAGCACGTTTTCCCACTCCTTGCCGAGCTCTTCCGCTTCTACGGCTCTGCCAGTCGACCCGCGCTGGAGCCCATTCTTGTCACGTGTTGCGAGCTGCACGAGGCTGCCGACCAGCTTCCACAGCAGCAACAAGAAGGTCGCAGTGCTCAGACACTGTCGGATTTGTTTGCACTAGCGGCCGGTGCGGCCGTTGAAGCACTCGGCCCTCGCGCCTTCCTCGAAGTCGTTCCAATCGGCCATCCAACGGAGATCGTGAGCGAACATCGTGCGTGGCTTCTCCCGGTGTTCCGAAGTGCGCTGCGATCGACACGACAGGGTGGCGAGCTCAGCTTTTTCGCGGACGTGATCCTGCCGATGGCCCGTTCGTGCGAAGCTGGTGCCCGTGAGCCAAGTGCGACTCCACTGCAAGCGAAGAAGCTGCAGACGTGTGCCATGCAGCTCTGGTCGCTGTTCCCGAGCATTTGTGCCCATGCTGTTGACGTCGACACGCACTTCAAGAAGATTGCGAAAGTCCTGGCGAGCGCCATGGCCGACAAGCGATACCCCGAGCTACGTCTGATTGTGTGTCAAGGGCTCCAGGCGCTTGTAAAACGGACCCGCGCTCTGCTGCGGTCTGTTGCGCGCCGCTATCACTGCGAGACGGACGACGCAGCGATGGAAGACGATCGGGCGGAAGAGGATGAGGAGGAACAGGATGACAAGCAGCTGGACGAAGCCAAGTTGGCTCGTGACCGTGCAGCATTGGCCAAATACTCGGGACGATACGTGCCTCTGCTGCTCACATTCTTGGAGGAGCTGGACCCGGAGAAAGACACGGATCGTGCCCAGGTGCTGCTTGATACGCTCGAAGGCTTTGCCTCGCTGGCCGAGGCTGAGCTGATTGGCACAACGTTCAAGAAGGCGATGCAAAAGCTGTTGGAGGCGACGACAGAAGCGAAGCGCATCGAGGCCGGCGGTGCGAGCACTCAACTGAAGCGTGCGACGAAGCTCCGACAGGTATCACATGCTCAGATGGCGCTCGCATTGGCCCTGCTGGCCCACGTAGACGACGTCAATGTAGCGTTGCTGTATCGCGTGATCAAGCCATATTTGCTGGACGATACCGACGCTGCAATGCAGAAGCGGTCGTACGCTGCCCTGGTGGCTGTCTGTGACCTGCACCCGACGTTCCTGGCGGAGGAGGCTCAACTGCAGGACCTCACACGCGCAATCTGTGAGTCGCTGCTCACTTGCTCGGTGTCAGCGAAGAAAATGCGTCTGCGCGTGCTCGCCCACTTGATCCGAGCGCTGCAAGCCCAGCCTGCCAGCGACGGACTTGCAGAGAAGGAGCTGGTGCCGAACCTCGTTGGGGAGATCATGTTGTGTACGAAAGAGGCCAACGGCAAAGCTCGTGAAGCCGCTTTCGAGTTGTTGGTGGCCATGGCGATGCTTCTGCGTGCTCGTGCCCCGCAGACTGGACTCATGGAATTCATCCAGATGGTCCTTGGTGGTCTCGCAGCTCGAACGCCGCACATGCGGAGCGCTGCAGTGATCTGTCTCAGTCGATTGGTCTTCGAGTTTGGCCGTGACGAGCCTGCGATTGCACAGGCCATGCCGGCGCTGCTCAAGACAGTGCTCCTGCTGCTGCACGAGAAGGCCCGCGAAGTGATCAAGAGCGTGATTGGGTTCATGAAGCTCGGCATTGCAGTGCTGCCGAAAGACGAGCTGGACGCGTTCCTGCCGGATATCATCAACGGATTGCTGGTCTGGATCGGGGAGAGCAAGAACCGCTTCCGTGCCAAGACGCGCATTATCCTCATGAAGCTGTGTCGCAAGTTTGGCTACGAGCACGTGGCTGCGCTCGTGCCCGAGGAAGACCGGGCGCTCATTCGCCACATCAAAAAGACAAAGGAGCGCGAGGACAAGAAAAAGTCCGAGCTCGCTGCAGAAGCTGCCGAGCGTCGTGCTGCCAAGAAGAACCGCGACACGTTTGAAGAGTTTATGGCCGACTCGGATGATGACGACGATGAAGCTGGAGCTGCTGACGATGGTGACGATGACGCAGCCGCAGCAATGCAAGTGCTGAAGCGCAAGAAGGACTTGCACCGGAAGCACAAGGGCGGCAAAGTGATCCGTGAAGACGAGGACGAGATCCTCGACTTCCTCGACGACAATGCCGCCGTGAAGAACATCCTCTCGGCCCACGCGAGCGGTCGTCGGGGCACTGCTGGCGACGACGACAGCGACGACGGGTTCCAAGTGGCAAAAGACGGCCGGCTGATTGTGCCTGGCGACGACGACGAGATGAACGGCGGAGGCGACAGCGAGGCCGACGACAATGACAATGACGTCGACCGGATCAAGCACGACGTGGCCTCGCAGCTGCACCGCATGGGGCTCGCGAACAAGCCGAGCGACAAGAGCGGGCGGGCGAAGCGCAAACGGGGCGGCGAGAGCGATCCCACCAGCGAAGGCCGCGAGTACCGCGCGAAGAAGGCCGGCGGGGACATGAAGAAGAAGGGCAAACTCGAGCCGTACGCGTACATTCCACTGGACCCGAAGCTCATGGCCAAGCGCAACAAACGCCAAGCAGTGACGCGGTACGGCGGCAGCGTCGGCAAGAGACGGGGGAAGAAGTGAGCGCTGCGTGGACGAGACGACGACGGAGAGCGCGCGAGACGTCATCTCCTGTGGGGGCCACCGGAGACGGACGAACTGCTGGGCGTGTGGGGGACAAGCGCAGTGCTGCAGAAACAGAGCGGCAGCTCTTGTGTGACGACGACCGGTCGACCGGTTTGGTGATCGCCCGAGAGGCGGACGCTCACCGTCGAAGCGCTACTTGCAGTCGCGTCGATCGGTTTGGTGCCACTGATGTCGGTGAGACTCGAGACCATTGCAGACGGTCGTTGACTGTGGCTACCACTTGACATGGATCAAACTACACGGCGCTCTGTTCAGGTCCTTCTTTTGCCAGTCTGCTACAATTACGCTCGTGATTGCGCACGTGAACGTGGCGATGTGCGTTCGTGCTACTTCAGGTGCACAGCTGTTTAAAAAAAAGAAGAACTCGTCGACCTCTTTTCTACTGTGGTGTGCGCGTTTCGTGTCGGTTTTTCGCACCCGCTGCGGCCGTCCTGTTGAAACGTTTAAACGACTTTATCGTCAGGAACGCGACAATCCTTCTTCTCTCCCGATAAAACGGCCGTCGTCTTCGGCGCTCAGCAGCTCGTGACGCCCCTGCGCCGCTCTCCCTCGCGCCGTCTCCTGCGCCATGTCCGCTATGAACCTCAGCCGCGAGCAGCAGAACGAGCTCCTCTTTGCAGGCTTCAACCAGGACAGCGGTGCGTGCGCTCTCTCTCTCTCTCTCAGTCGCTCTCTCTCGCTCGCTCTAACAGTCGCTCTCTCTCGCTGCCTAACTGTCGCTCTGTGTGTGGTGAAACTTGTGTACATGTTGTGTGTCGCGCAGGCTGCTTTGCCTGTGGCACGGACTCGGGTTTCAAGATCTTCAACTGCGACCCGTTCAAGGAGACCTTCCATCGAGGTCCGTCATTGGCTCTTGTTGGGGAGTACGAGGCACTTGAGGTCTCCTCGCCGTCGTCTCCACGTCTAACTCGCTCTATGTGTTTCTGTGTGTGTCTCTCTCTCACACGTTCGATGTCTGTCTGTCTGTATGTATGTATGCCTGTCTGTGTGTGCCTTTTTGTCGTTGGTCGACAGACTTTGCTAATGGCGGTATTGGCATTGTGGAGATGCTCTTTCGGTGCAACATTCTGGCTATTGTGGGCGGCGGACGCAACCCGAGATACCCTCCTAACAAGGTGTGTAAACGCAGCAGCTTGACCATGTCCACGAGGAAGGGTCGAGACGTGGAGGACTGACGTACGAGACCCCTGCTACTGCTGCGTTGCCAGGTGATGATCTGGGACGACCATCAGAGCCGCAACATTGGCGAGCTCAGCTTTCGTAGCGAGGTGAAGGCCGTCAAGCTGCGGCGAGACCGGTAGTGTGCTGTCGTGATGCATCTGCTGCTGTGTTGTACGTGACGCGCGGGAGTTCTGTGGTGCTCTGTAGTGTGGTGGTCGTGCTACAAAACAAGATCTACGTCTACAATTTCTGTGAGTCGCTGACTTTGGCTGCCGCCGGCTGCATCGTTCGTCGCCTGACGCGTACGTTGTCGTTGTCTATGCTTGCAGCGGACCTGAAGCTCGTGGATCATATCGAGACGTTGGCGAATCCCAAGGGTCTGTGTGCGCTGTGCCCGAATCCGTCCAACACGGTGCTGGCTTGTCCTGGTGTGACGCGCGGCACGGTCCGCATTGAGCTGTATGATCTGCGGAAAACGACGCTGATCACCGCTCATGAAGCCGAGTTGTCACAGGTGGGGAATCGTGGGGTCGCAGTGTGTTGTAGTCAGGAGGAGCTCATTTGTTGTGTCTGTGTAGATTTGCACGAACCTGGACGGCACGCGCCTTGCGACAGCCTCGGACAAGGGGACTCTGATTCGTATATTCGACACTCAAAGCGGTCAGATCATGCAGGAGCTGCGGTGAGCGGTGTATAGTGGTCACACGAAGTTTGTTGTAGGTCGCGGTATCTGACGGGTTCGTATCCATGTAGTCGCGGAGCCGACCGCGCGGAGATTTACAGCATTTGCTTTAGCCCGATCGCACCCTTGCTCGCGTGCTCGAGCGATAAAGGCACCGTGCACGTCTTTTCGCTGACAGCAGAAGGTTCTGGTCAAAGCTTTGCGTCCGATCCGACTACGATGGGAAGTGTGCCGTCGCAAAGCGTGCCGTCTCATTTCTCAGCGGGAAGTACGCCTCGCAGCGGAGAAGATGACGGTACAGAGAACTCGAAGTCCAGGTACCCATCGTTGTGACTTTGCGTGGCGTTTGCTCAGGTACCAGTGACATGCTAAGCCACGCTTTTCTTCTCGGGTGCATGCTCGTAGCTTGTCCTTCATGCGGGGATTTCTTCCGAAGTATTTCAGCTCAGAGTGGAGTTTCGCCCAGTTCCGCGTACCGGAAACCCGAACAATCTGCGCATTTGGCACGGAGAAGAACACCATTGTTGGTACGTAGCGCTCTATCATCGATCACTGTGTGCCACGAGCGCTGTGACTGACTCGGTCTGTTTCCAATTAGTCGTGGGAGCCGACGGGTCTTTCTACAAAGCTGTCTTCGACGCCAACGGAGAATGTCAGAACACGTCGTATTCCAAGTTCATTCAGTCCGACGAGGATGAATAGACTCCGTGTGGTGGTTCTGCACTTCTTTATTGAAGCCGTCGAGAGCGCCAGTTCCAGCACGACATGACTAGTTGTAGCTGCGCAGTCAACAGCGTCTGCTGTTGATACTAATGGCTGTATCATCTCTTACTTCCGTTGCCGTTTGAACATGCATTAGGTTTTCACATACGAGTTCGGGGTTCACCAAATGACCAATCGAAGTATATTTGATGGACTTCGCCACGGATCAGTGCGCTAATCTCCACGGATAGTGTACTTCTCGCGGACAACATTCGGATCGTACTGCACGCATCATACATTCGTTAGACGTCCGCTCGAGTATAGACGTGCAAAGCTTCTCACTCACCACTTCCCACCGACTGGCAGGGAAGATATGCTTGTTCTTCTCGTACCAATGACGATCCACTACTTTGCCAGGATGCGACTTTTGACACACGAGAACATGTCAAATTAGTGAATGCTTCGTGTGTGTGACGAGTGGCATACACTCACTCACCTCATCTTTCTCGACACGTCGGTCCTGCACGAGACGGACGTCATCGTGCACGTCGAAGCAGAAGAGTGGCCCGCTCTTTCCGCGCGCTTTCGTCACGATCAAGTCATAGAATGAGTAGTGCTGCAGGCATCCAGCACAACAGAATCAGCAAGCACTTCGACCCCAGCATTTTCCACGTCACTCACGTGCGGAATGATCAGGTCCTCTTTGATATAGATCAGATTCTCCGCACCGACACCGCGCAACTCTGCAAACTCGGACACCAGCTGCTGCTTGACAAGCTCCAGATATTTGCCGATCGTGGTTTTCTTAGGAACCTGTCCAGAACATACAGTCATTCGATGAGCCTGCGGACGAGCCCGCGCAGTACGTGCAACAGCGGCTATACGGTACGCACCGTGATTTCCCGACGATGGCCAGAACCATCCCAGTAGCTGTAAGTCACTGCAACGTTCTCATCTGATCAAGTAACGCGTTCCACCGCACTACCGTAAGTCCAATTGTAGCCCAGTCCATCCGACTTCTCATAGCACTACATGCCACGTACTCTTGATGATTTCTTGCTCTGCTTCCCACTCTGCACGAAGCCGTTGGCGCTCTCGAGCTTCTTCCTTCTCCCGCTCCTTGTCCGGCAAAAAGTCTGTGTCCACGTCGGGGTTCTTGATACTCTTTTTCATCCGTTTCAGCTCCACAGCCCCATCCTCCGCTTCATCGCCACTGCCATTCAAATCAAACGACAGCGGACCCATCTTCTTTGCATGTCGCTTCTTCTTCTTCTTTTTTCTTTCCGTCTGCTGCTTTTCAGGCCTTCAGACACCGAGCAATAACACCACAAACTCACGTGTCAGTCCCCTTTCAGTGCACCACCACCAAACCAGACGCAAACTGTAGCGAAACGCACTGCACATCCACCGAAACGCTCTTGCGATTCTGCAGGTCCTCCCGCTTTTTCCGAAACTCTTCCGCGGTGACTAGCCCCACTGTTTGGCGCTGCACACCGGTAAACCAGTACGCAAGAAGTGTACAGTCAGCATACAATGCAGCGAGGACCTGTCATAAGTGGTACTTGCAATACATGATAAGTGCCCACGCCAACGTGCCTTAAACTCGCTCTCGTCGTTGTCCGTATGCGACTGGAAGTTGTCGTCAATGCGCGTGCCTCGTCGATTCGTCGTCTCGATCTCCTGACGCTTGGCCTCGTACTCCTGCTGCTGCTTCTCTCGCTGCCTCGTCAGCTTTGCGGCCTTGGAACCAGCGACGTTGCCCTCGACTGTGTGCGCGCCCGACGATCCATAGCGCTCGATGCCCGTCATTGTCACTGATACCAATGACCCGCTCGCGCAGCAGGATACCGGTACAATGCAAGTACCGGTTCAGCTGCCCATGGAGCTACTTCAGCGATGCTGACGAAGTAAGAGGCGACCGGATTGGTTTAGAAATGCGAGCACGAATGGACACGTTGAGATTTAGAAATCCGACTGGACAGAAAGACCGAAAGCTCTTATGCTGCGGAGACTCAAGACCCCATCGGACGCGTACGTGCGTCCCCTCTTGCGGCGTCTACCAGCACTCGTTCCCTTTGCAACTAATCATTGCAACCACTGACCAGTCAACACGTCGACGTCTATGTGTGTATGCGACTCAACAGCTCGCAGGCGTCTACGTCGGACGCGAATGACCAGCAGAGCGGGAGTCCCATGTCGTCGCTCCAGAAGTACCGGTCCCAGACGATGCGAGACTATGGCCTCATGATCGAGTACAAGCACTTGCGTCACCACGTCCCGAGCAGTATCTACGTGCTGCCGAGTTTCGACCAGTCGCGCGTATGGTATGGAGTCGTCTTCATCCACGCGGGGCTCTACCGCAATGGCATTTTCAAGTTTACGATTCACTTGCCGGAAAAGTAACAGCAGCAAGCGTGTGGTTTTTTGTGTGGTACACATACGGAGGGTCAACAGTCGTACCTATCGTAACTGACCTGTGACGTGGCTGCGTCGTGGCAGTTACAATGGACCTGGAACATATCCTCGCATCGTGTTCAACACGACGATCTTCCATCCGTATGTCTACGAGGAGACGAGAGAGCTGGACCTGAGCCCCAAGTTTCCAGAATGGGACCCCGAGCTGCACTATATGGTGGCCGTGCTCACGTATCTGAAAGGGATCTTTTACATGAAAGACTTTCCCGAGACCGACGCGGTCGCGAACAGCGAGGCACTGGACATGTACGGCCAGAGATTGGTGTGAGCTGTTTGCGTCATGCTCTGACTTCTTCTGTGCCGTATTCTTGCGGCCTGTGGCGATCAACAGGTTCCGCCACGATCCAGAGAACTACTTGAACAAAGTGGAAGAGTGTGTGGACGAGTCGCTCACGAGCGTGTACAATAACGAAATGGGCTCTACGATTCGCTTTACGAAGCACAATCCAGCGCACGACAAGCTGCGACAGGAGCTCTTTGCCCAGCTAGACACGGCGCCGGTACGTCTGACTTGATACGGCTTTGTGCGTCATTTAGTGTTAGTGCGGCCGGTTGTCTCGCTGTTTGCATCAGAGTTGTCGGATGACTTCCGTGCGACTGACTTTCGTGGATGCTACTTCAGGATGCCGCGCCACAGACATTCGAGGAGAAGTTCAGCACGGAACCGTCGACCCGTTCGTTGTCCATTGTCACGGCAGCTGCAGCAGAAGGCGCGTCAGGCCAACGTGCGACAGGCTTTGCCGACGAGCCAATGCCCGACACGTTTTTTGACTGAACAGAGGACCCCGCACACGCATGTGTAGCTCAGAAGCGTAAAGAGAGGAGACGCGCATTGCAGGATGTAGCGCCAGCGCTGTGGTACGCCCACTCGCTGCAGAACGTACCACAGTTGACGCCGTTGAGCAGTGAGTTGGTTGCCTTTTTGTGCCGCATGTTGAAGTCCGTGCAAGATCACAGACGACGTGATTTCCCCCCTCATTCCGCAACTGCAAGTGTTTCCTTTTCGCGTTCAATGCGCAGTCGAGTTGTGTCATCCGTGAGTTTTGTTGCCCAATGAGAAGAGAAACCAAACAATCACTCTCACACGCAAAGGAAACCCAGTCGATCGATTGCCCAGCCACTTACATGCCGGCCGTGCCGAGCGACGCGGGACTGGGCTCCAAGGAAGAGGACGACGCGCAGCTGAACGAGCGCATCTCCAAGGCGCACTCGGAGCTCTCGGAGCTGCACCGGAAGATCATCACCGACAAGAGCGACCGCGGGAGCGACGGACCCGCCCGACGCACGCGCAGTCGCACGACGCGCCCGTTGCCGCTTGACGTCGACTATGGCACATCCAGCGAGCGGCCACTGCAGCAGCGCCCGAGCACGAACGACCCGATGCGGTCGGACCGTATGCGGCTCGCCGAGCTCTCTAACGAGCAGCAGCTCCAGGGCATGCGCAGTGCAGAAAAAGACGCTACTGCTGTCCCGTCTGCGTTGCGTCGCACCCAAGCGCCACGACGTCCTGTCGACCGTATCAACATGGCTACATTACCGCCGCCGCTTGCTGCTGCTGCAAACGATCTGCGCGACTGTTCGACGGACATTGGACAGCCCGCGCTCCCGTTGGACGACGTCACGGACACGGACGACGAGGCGCTCGTCACGCCAGCGCGCACCGACGCGAGCAGGAGGACGAAGACGAGGGACAACCGACGCGTACTGGACGATACGGTAGCTGTGCGTTATTGTGACGAGCCACTCGGAGCGAGAAGAGCGGGCGGCGCAGACGGAGGATCGAGGACGCACGCGGAGCTGCACACGTACGTGCGGCAGATGGAAGAGACGATCGCGCAATTAGTGCAGCAAAAGGACGAGCTGGTGCAGAACCAGACCGAGTTTGACAAGCACGCGAGCGGGATCTTTCCGTCGCTCGAGCACTTGAACCAGCAGCTCACGCAGCTCGTGCAGGGCAAACTGCTGCACTCGGGGCAGTCGCGCACGTCGGATACGGACCACGACGATCACGACCACAACGACGTGGCGACATTGCACGATGATATGCTCGACGAACTCCGTGTGCAGCGCGAGCAGCTGAGCGAACTCGAGGCCGACAGCAAACGTCGGAAGTACGATGCCGAGCTGCAGGAGCAGAGCCGCGCGATTGAGATCTCGCGGATCCGAGCGGATGTGATAAGTGTCGTTGCGAATGGGAAAATGCGCGACGAGCGCACGGAACTGGTGTCGGATTCCCTCAAGAAGGTGCAACAGGAACTGCAAGAGGCAGTGAAGAGTATGGTACAGCGCTACCAGCTGCTGGACAAGCGGGTGAGTCAGCTCCAGGTAGCAGTGCAACCGCCCCAGGTCACGACGGTACGTTCGACTGTGTCTGCTGCCCACTTACCGTTTACGTGTCGTGGACGTCGATGACCATCGCCTGATACTGATTGTCTTGACGTACACAGGAGGGACGCAAGACACGATGGAACACGTTGCGTTTCTTCGTCACAATGTTATTATTGGGGACAATGTCGGCAGCAGTCGGCTTTCTCGTCGTGAGTAGCAGAGAGTGTGGGGTAATCGAGCGGTGTCGTCCGCTCATATAGGGCTTTCATCCATTGACGCGTTTCTCTTCCATCCACAAGCTCCGTCTATCCTGGCAGCTCAACATCGCGTGCTTCTCATCTGTCTGCACAACGCTCCGTGTTTGCAGCTTTTCTGCTATGTGTGGTACGACAGCTTTACCCCTGCTTCACCTTGAAGATGTGGATACCAAGGATGGCGGCAAGCTCCGTGGAGAGGAAGTAGATCATGTGCACGTAAGCCAGCAGTGAGATCGTGAAAAAGAGCTGCACCACCGAGCTCTCGTGGCCCTGCACACAGCAACGATACGAAGCAGAGCGTTCGTCAGCTGCATGTTCAGGTGCGTCGCAGTAACGACCAACGCACCCAAGGCACAATGCCAGCCACCAGCAGGAAAGAAACGACAAGCTGGATCAAAAACGTCTTGCGCAGCAACCAGTACGGCTCTTCGCACATGTGTGAAAGCATCATGTGCATCACCATCTGCCGTTGCGAGCACAGCGTATGAGTGACGAGGATACGTGAGTCAGCTACAGCGCTCTCAGCTCAGCAAAGTGCTCGACGCCGTACCTTTGCAAATACGAACCCCACCGTCCAAATGAGAAGACGTGGATGGTCTGATAACACGTCGGACGGAGACCAGAGCACCCAAAGCGCAGACAGCAAGACAAGCGCGACAAACGGCGTCATTCCGATCAATGCCGCTGCGCCGTCTTTCGCCTTGCGCTTCATCGACCGGATTGCGACGACCGCTGCACAATGGACACACCACGCATGAAACACTCCAGCACGAAAAGACAAGTCGCGTTCGCACGAAACGCAACTCACCGCTGCAAAAGCACTGCACGGTTGCACACGTGATCGTGAACAAGACGAAGACGTGATTATTATTCAGCTGTGGAATCACGAGGTTCGGCTGCATCCACACCGACGGTCCAATGATCGACGTGGCCACGTAGGTCGAGTACATGATCAGCAAACCTTCATTGGGTCCATTGATCACCGGAAGCGCCAGTGTGCCGGTATAGTACTCCTCCCATGTTGCCATGAAGAACACCATGGCGGGTGCAAGAAAAAGCAGCAGCGACTAGTACGACCACACCCAAAACCGCCAGCGACAGCAACGACAGCAACAACATGCACATCAAACGAAAAAAGACGACCTCATGAGCACGTGCGACCATCAACACTTGCAAGCGAACACCCAATACCCAATACGTCGCTCCGAGCCGTATCGTAGACGCAAACGTGCACGCACTGATCACCACATTCAGTGCATCACAGCCGTGATCGAACAAGAGGCCGAGCGGAGACGAGTTGCCGGTTTTGCGCGCTTGTTTGCCGTCTGCAACGTCCAAGATCTGGTACAACAGCAGCGACAAACCTGCTGTGGCGTACACCCATCGCGGCGCCTCTTCTTCCATGTTGGGCGCATACCTATATCACAACCAGCAGCGTCGGCATCCAATCGTCAGTGGTTTTCGCTGCACATGGTACCCATTCGACGCACAATGTCGCCATGACTACTGCACCAGAGCATGATCAGGTGGGACAACACCACGAGTGAAAGCGCGCCAATGGTAATCGCGTTCGGTGCCAGTCGCGGGGACAGCACGTGGTTCACGAGCCACTGAGCCAGTGGAGAGATCGCGTGATTGTACAAGAGCGACGCATCGCTGCCGCTGTAGCGGTAGGCCAAGATGTGCGCAACGCCGTCTTCGGTCACGTAGCGATACGACGACGTCTTGGCCGCGTCTGCACTGCTGACAACGGTGACCATAATTGACGAGGCGCGTGTGAATGCTTGACAGGTCACTACTGTGTTGTGGCGAGAATGTGGACGATGCAAACGAAGGGCTATTGTCACACAACGTTTGCGTGGGACTTGTGTGGTGAACGCTACTGCCACACAACGTTTGCGAAGTGTGTGGTTTCGGATCTTGAAGCAACGCGAGCAATGAACATGCGAAAAGCGCGACACGGCACATAATTGCAGTGGCGTAGAGCGATGAAGTCATGCTGCCGTCAATAATCGCGTTCGATCTCGTCTTGCTGGCGATGTGTACCTTCGAAGCGTACTCGCCTTTCGTTGGATTGCATGTTTAGTGCCGAGATCCGACTCGTGTGCATTTGAGCAGCAGGCCTCAAGTCAATCGTGTCGAGAAGTCGGCTGCTGCGCGTGCCACACAACGATGGAGTCGGCCAAACAACGGACACTGGCAAGAAAGCTCATCTCCCGTCTCGGGGCTCTTTCCAGGAGGTACAATTCCGTCATGCTGTCAGGCTACTCACGGTACCGTATATGATGTGTCGCGTAGAGACTGCAGCTTCGATCACTTCACTCACCATCGATCACCTCGTGACGAGGAAGCTCTCCAGCTGCACATGACCGATTGTACATCTAACGCTCGTGCATGTCTTTGAGGGACGAGTGAGCTTCATCAACGCCACATCCGACTTCGATGGTCACAATACGTCGGATGCCAAGCATTCGATTCGTCACGACAGATTGGGTTGTTGTGTTGCTGTCTGTGTGTGCTCTATGCAAAAATGGAGGAACCAAAGCGAGGCAGAAGGTGTAAACGATGCTGTCTGTGCCACCTGATCGGAGTTTACGCTTCAGTTGGTCAACCGGTAACCTCAGGGGATTTGCAGGCCAGTGCTGTGCTGTCTTACAAGCTTCGTCGTGTCCAAACGACCGTCAAAGTGCAAGTCAATGCCTCTTGATTCGGCGCTGTGGATACACGATACGCGTACTGGCGCATGTTCGTCATCACTTTTGTCAGACTCTTCGGGAAGAGTCTGCCGTGATACATACGGTTGTTGACGTGCACAGCGCAGTCGGAAGTAGCAAGCGGAGGTACCAGTTGGCGCAACTCGGGTACGCCTCTTGTTGGTTGCACAGCAGCTTCGACTTGCTGCTTTGATCAGGAGAAGAGGCCAAAGGGTCTGGCAAAGTGGACGCGCTTTTGCTACATACGCAATGAGATCCTCACCTATGCACGCGGGAAGTGAGCTCGACGTTCTTCAAGTCCCAATGTTTACTCCCCTCTCGGCCGTCTCGTTGCGAGGTGCCAACGAGTGATCGGGCAGGTAGTGCTGCAGCTGCTGCAATTACTTTGCTGAGAAGAGGGCGACAGAAAACGACAGCAGCTGCAGTATCTGTACGTAGCAGTGCTACTGCACCCATTGCAGAGTTCACTGAAAAGCTCGAGCTCAACTATCTGTCATATTGGTCGTTCCCACGTGACAGAACGGACACAGAAGCCGCTGCACGACTTGCTCCAGCCAAACGTGCAGCCAAAAGATCAATACGGATTGCAAGAAGAAGAAGAAGAAAAAGAAGAGGAAGGACAAGAGGCGCGACAGGAGGCTGCGAACCATTGACGCATGTGCGCGACTGACCCCATGGCGCTCATCGGAGCTCGGCTACATGTCGCAGACTTGGCCGACCATCCTCGGCGATCTTTGCGTGTGCACAACGTGGACGTGGACGCGACGGTTTCGGGATTTGTGATGCTGCGGATGCTGCTGATGATGGCAGGTTTCCCTCCGTGCCGTCCCGTGCTGAGTGAGGGGACGAAGGAGGAGGGGGGACATCCCTTCTGTTGTGCCATTGCAAACGGGCCAGCGACTCCTGGCGAGATGTCAACGAAGGAGCGACAGTGGCCGGGGCCGCACGTGTAATAGCAATCCCTGCGCTGAGAAATGACTGACCCGAGAGGGAAAGAAAGGCACGAGCTGCCCATTGTCATCCGACCTTGGAAGAGACATACCGACAGGTCGGCCGGTCCCGAACAGCTGCGAAGCGAGCGCGTAGCTGCTGCCCACCGTGAAGAAACGTGAGAGGCCCAACACAGGCAAAGAACTGGGCAGAAGCCGCCGCCGCCGCCCGCGCGCCGCAATCGGACGCTCTTTGTCGCGTCGACCGCGAGCCCACGCTGTCAAGACATGTGGACCGGTGGGACACTCCATCGTCAATTGCGACTCACGCGCCGTCGCAGCAGCCCCCGGCTGCTCTCTGGTAAGTGAATGCTGACTCGCGCACGCAGCAGCCGACAGCGCAGTGTGTGTGGGGGTTTCTCAAGCGTTCGTTCGGCTTGCGCACCATTGCCACATGGTGCGCTGTTGACCAGCAGATCTTTTCGAACGCGTCGACAGCGGGTGCGTTTCTTTCTCGCTTGCTCGCTCGACTTTCGCTTCGATCGAAGGAGATGGCGGGAACGGACGGCGTGGAGGAGAGGGGTCGCCATAACTACCTGTACACTATTTCCGCGAGACATTTGCACCAGAGACAGAGGCGCTGACTGACGCGGTCCACTTGGCTCAAAGTTGCACCTGTGGGGGCTGCCACTGCATCCCATCGATCGGACTGTGTCAAGCGCCCGCGCTGTGTAAATGGTGTCATTCGTATCGCGGATCACACACACACACAGGCACTTCCGCTCGACTCGGCCCTCTGGTCCTTTCTCGTCAATGAAAACGACACGGCGCAAATCAGTCCGTCCGCACTCGAACACGTCGGATGGGTCGCAACCCCAGTCAGACGTCCTCGCTCTCGCCATCAACACCGTCGTCGGCCCTATCCCCACGTCGCCCCCCCCCCCCCGGCGAGGTTTTTTCCATCCCATACAAAACATACGTCTCTCGCTCTCGGTCTCGCGCGCGCTGGCGTCCGTCGAGCCATATCGACTCAGTCGTCGTATGGGGCTGTCGTCGGTGTCTCCATTCGATGCGACACGCCGACTCCCCCCACAAACACTCACACACTGACACGCACTCCCTCACTCTGTACCAACAAAAGCGCCCGACGGACACAACTGTACCCGCACAAAGGAAACAACCGATCGATTGATCGATCGATCGCCCGCTAGCACTGTCACTTCTCAACTCGACCTCACACACTCACACACACACACACACGCGCGACCCCGTGCAGTTGGGGGGTACCCTCTTAAGTGCGACCGCCCCACCATGCACCTCGAACCCGAGCGCTACGGCGCAACGAAACACGTCGGCAGCAGCGCACCGAAGCACGTGACGCACCGCACGGGCGGCTCGCGGTCCAACTCGCCCACGAGCAGCGACGACGAGCAGACGGACGACACGCTGAAACTCGCGCCCGCGTTGCGTTCCAAGTGGCTGTCGCCCGCGCCGGTCGCCCCCTCGACGGCGGCCGCTGCTGCAGACAGCGCCAAAGCGCGTGTCGGCCTCCACGAGACAGTGCTCGAGCGCTACCACCGCGCCACGTGCACCAAAATGTACGACGTCGAGGAGCTCATTGACTACTACTGGCACCGGCGCCTCGCGGCCGTGCCGGCCGTGGTCGTGAGCTACTTGCCGTTCGTGATTACGCCCAATCAGATCACGCTCTTCGGCCTCGGGCTCGGCTGGGCCGCCGCGCTCTGCCTCTACGACGCCGAGTTCCACTACCCGCTGGCCTGGGCGCCCGCGCACTCGCTGCTGGCGGCTGCGCTCCTCATGTTCGCCTGGATCGTCTCGGACTGCACGGACGGCCAAGTCGCGCGGCTCTGCAAGCGCGGGACGCGCACGGGCCGCATCTTGGACGGCGTCGTCGACGGCCTTGTCATTGCCCCGCACTGCTGGATCATGGGCGACATCATGCAGCACCACTACGGCGGCCACGCGCTCTACTTCCACTTGGGCTTCTGGTCGGGCATGTCGCTCTGGCTCCACGCGATCGTCTACGACAAGATCAAGAACGTCTACATGGAGAACGCGCTGCCGCAGTCCGAGTGCGACGGCGAGACAGTGGCGAGCGTGCGCGCCGAGTACCACGTCGCACGCGACCAGTCGGCCTGTGCGCTCGACACGATCCTCCTCGGCATCTACACAGTGTACCTCACGGTGCAAGCGAGTTTCACGTCGGACGCTGCGTCGCAGGCCGAGTCCGACCGCCAAGAGCTGCTGGCGACGTGCTCGAGGGAGTACCACACGGCGTACCGGCAACGCTTTAGCGGCCTCGTGCGCCTGGCGTCGTTCTTGGGCATCAGCGCGCACATCACCGTGCTCTACGTGGCCTACTTCCTGGCCATCTTTTACTGGGACGTGATCTTTTACGTGCAGTTCTACTCGCTCGTGCTGCTCAATGGCGTCCTGGCCGTCGTGCTCGTGCAGTACCAGCGGTCCGGCATGAGTGCGTACATGCCGACCAAAGAAGGGACGATATGAAGGGACGTGGCCGACGGACAGATGGGCGACGACGGGCTGCAATGTGCACGTCGTGAGCGGTCGCTGTGAACTGCGCACCTCTCGAGGCGCATCTACCGTACGAGTTAGGGAAGCGGGTAGCAATGTAGATATCATACTTACGAATTCACGTATCATTCATTGAAAGCCCGTGCGGCCCCGTTCAAGTCCGTCCGTCCGTCCGTCCATCGCCTGAGTGGACAGACAGCAGCAGGTCAAGCTGGTCCATCGGTGGAGAGAGGTACACGAAAGCGTGTGTTGTGGTTTGTGCCCGGTCGAGGACGACGGCCCTGTCCATCACCGCTTGCCCCTGCTAAAGAGCACGGGGAAGTTCAAGCGACTCGGGACGGCAATGGAGAAGCACAAGAGGAACGCGAGTCCTAGCGCCTGGACAAAGTACAGCAGACTCTGGTCGAACGGGAACGCCTGGTCGAAGTAGCCCAAGAGCGCAAAGAGCGCGGGCGCCGCTGCGCTTGCGACAAAGTGCGCCACGTACCGCACGCGTTGGGAAGCGCGGTGCACTGCCAGCCGTCGGTCCACCACGACCGAGTTGTCCAAGAGCGCCATGATCCCGTGCAGCGCCACGCCTGCAAGCAGCTGCTTGAGCGCAAGCACTGCGACCACCAGCACATACGCAAACGGCAGCACGTCCACCTTGAAGCGATGCAGCAGCGGGAAGCAGCCGAGGATCGGCACTTGGACGAGCAACCCAATGCGCAGCGTGGCCAGCGGCGTCATGACGTTCCGCGCAGACGAGCAGATGAACGCAGCCGCTGTTTGGCCGAGCAGAACCGCCAGCGACAACGAGGCCAGCGAGCCCGACACGAGCAGCGTGATAGACGACACGGTCGAGCGCAACGACGGCGGCTCAGCGTGCACGCCCTCGTCAGGTGCAGTCGCGTTGTGCTTGAAGAACCACAGCGGGAGCATCTCGTCGAAACTCAGCTGCACCAGCGACCAGAAGAAGTACAGCAGCAGAACCAGACACGTCAGCGGCTCGCGCGTGATCGCGAGTTCAGGCGTGGCCAAAGGTGCGGGGTTTGCTGACGGTCGAGCTGCTTTCACGGGCTTTTTCGCCAGCGACTGGTACGTCCCGGACGTTGCAGCGCTGCTGCTGCGAGCAACGGCTTCAGTCTTGGGCGAGACGGTGGACTGCGAGACAACGACCACTGAGATCTCTGGCTCCTGGTCCTCCACGTCTTCGACGCCTTGCAACCCGTACTCCGAGCAGTCAAAGAACGCCTCTTCGTCGCTGCCGTCGTCGTCACTTATGATGGAGTGGCCAGTACTGGTCTGCGAGCGGCCAACGCTGAGGCGCCGCGATCGCGGAGTGCCGACGATTTCGATCGTGCGTTCCAGCGGCGCAGTCGTCCGCTTGAGCAACGCGTCCAGCGAGCGTTCCTGTGCGCTCTTACCAATCTCCACGCCATTGCGTCCCCCGTAGCGTTGCGGCAGACTGTCGACGCCGATGAGCGCAATCAAATCTCGAGTGGCGCTCTCCGTGGACAGAAACGACACTTTGTCCGCTGTGCGCTTCGCCAGATGCGGCCGGATGCGCTTCATGACCTGCGAGAACCATACGGGCGCATTGAGCACTGCAAGGACTTGCAGGCGGTTCGGCAGCTCGCGCTGCAACGTCTTGATCACTGCACAGACGCCGTCCACGGCGCGTACGTCGGCGTCGCCGAGCGAGAGGCCGTCGAGGTCCACGACGTAGACGATCTTTTGTGTCGACGTGCGCAGCAACATTTCCTGCGCAAAGGCCATGAAGAAGTGGTAATGGTCGCGCAGGTCCGACGTCGTGTAGCCCGCAGCATTGAGTTTGTCCATGTTGACTCGGCCCACAAAGTCCCACACGACCAGGTGGCCGTCCGACGTGTAGCCGTGATAGTAGTGCGGCAGAATGCGGCGGATGAGTCGAAAGTGCGGCTGCGGCGTTGCCAGCATCGTGATGGCCGCCATCTTGGTCGGCGACGCCATGGCCTTCTTGATCCCCAAGCTCATGGCCGTCCGTCCAAAGGCCTCGTCAAACACCGACTTGACGTGCGCAAGCGTCGGGCCCAGCGGACTCCCACCGTCACTGCTGCACGTGCTGCTCGTGATGGCACTCGTCGACGAGCGCAGCGCCGCCGGTGCGTCGCTCGGGCCCTGCGGCATAAAGTTCAGAAACTCGTCGTCGTCTTCCGCGAGCTGCGTGTACGACGTCGTCCGGCCCCGCAGCCGCAGCGCCACGAGCATGACGGTCACTGCAATCCACGCGAGGATCGACACGGCGCCAAAGGGGTAGACATACAGCGCCGCGTCCCGTGCTGCCAAGTCGTCGTCTTCGTCTTCCGAGCGCTTGGACAGTCTCGTGCCGAGCGTAATCAACGCAAACGTCCCCGCAGCGCCGAGGCCAGCGCCGAGTGCTTTCGCCACGAGCGCCAACTTTGTCTGTCGACTGCCGCAGATGTTGTCGACCTCAATGAGCGCCACGGGCGACGCGCCGCTGCTGAGCCCCGTGGCGAACCGGACGAGCGACATGGCTACAAGGCTCTTGCACAGGAGCAGGCTGAAGAACCCCGCGCCAGTGACCGCCAACCCCCACAGAATGACACCTTTGCTGCTCTGGAGCGACCGCGCGGCGTTGATCCAGAAGCTGCAGCTGAGCGCGTGGCCGAGGAAGCCCGAGCCCGAGAGGATGGCCGTGTAGAAGCCGAGACGGGCGAACGACGTGTCGGGGTAGAAGTGCAGCGCTACCATTGGCGCGAGCACGAGCACGACGCTCTGCGACAGGTACTCGATGATGGCGCAGGCGGTGAGGAACAACAGACGCGCGCTGACGCCTTCGCAGCAGGTGAAACACGTCATTGGAGCGACGCCAAGAGGACGCAGACCGAGAGTCGGAGCTGCTGCTGATGCTGCTGCGTGTGTGTGTGTGGCAGCGTCGCTGGTCGTGTGCGGGCGAGGCGGGCGGCAGACAGATCGATGGATGGAGAGGTCGACACCGATGGCGGCTACAAAGGCGTCCGCGCGGGCGTGAGAGTGGTAAGTTATTTTTGTTATCTTACTGTGGGTGGTGACGTCGGTCGACGCTGCGGGTGGGTGGAACACACCCTTTCGAGCCGAAGCAGGGGATGGATACCGGTAATCGACGGCTAGCTACCGTTTCTAAATTCGCTCGTTCAACATGTGGTGCACACAACACGCACGCAGTCGCGTCACGCCCCTCTGCTGTCCGTCATCACGACCGAATCCTGGACCAATTGCGTCACGTGGGACACGTCTGTACCACGCAGAAGCGGCTCGTGCAGCGGAATAAACAGTCGCATCCGATACTGTCGACACAACGACACACCACACGTGCGTACGTACGTACATGTCGGAAAATACAATTGCCATTCCATCCCGCGACGTCGCAAGTCCAGCGCGCTACACTGAACTGCCACGCGCACTTGCTTTGTCTCACTACCGACGCTCTCTATAGCTGCAGCTCTCCTGCCAAGTCGCTGCTCCGACGGCCGTCTTCTTCGTCGACTGCAATTTCCTGATTGCTCTGGCGTGAACGCGGCTGAGGGACTTTGCTGTCTGGTAGCAGCACCGTCCCGGACGCAACCTCTGGGCCAGTGGTGGCCTCGGGCTCACTCCCGCTCACAATGCTGACATTTGAGCTCGCTCGACCGTGTTCGCCCGTGTGCAGATGTGGTGCCGCTGCCACGGACGGGACCTGATCACCAGCGTCGACCGGATGCGGAGACGCAAAGCGCACTGCCGCCGATCGGCCACCTGTCTCACCGGCTGCAGCTCGTTCAAGCAAGTCGGGCGGTGCTTCGTCCTCCTCCGACATCCTGTACACCGTAGAAAGCTGTGCTGGTGCGCCTGCAGGTTGGTCAAACGTACCACCAGCCGTTGCAACCGGAAGGCCATGTTCTGGTGTAACACCGAGTTTCTGCTGCTGTTGCAGCTCACTTGACCCTTGTCGCTGTTGCTCCTGTTCTCGCAGCACTGTTGAGCGCAGGTTCTCGACCAGCTCTTGCGGCCAGTAGTACAGCTCGCCGCTCTGGGACTCGATGAGCGACGACCGGTTCACGGACGACCGGGCCTCGCGCGGGTCAAAGTTGGTGCTCTGGAGCACGCGCCGCCACTGGGTCAGGTTGTTCAAGCTGTCGGCGGCAAAGACGTAGTGCAGCGTCCGGACGTCGTCCAAGCTCATGGTCTTTTTGCATATCGGCGAGCGCGTGAACTTCTCGCGCTTCACGCGGTGGCACATGACGGGTTTGTCAAAGACAAACGCGTAGTTGCGCTGGAGCCACGAGTAGCTGTCCGTCGACGGGAACTGCGTCATGCGAGCAGCTTCGTCAATGAGCATAACCACAAGCGGACGGAGGTCGCCTGGCTGGCGGAAGACGCAGAGCTCCGTCGACGTGCGCTGTTTGTTGCAGGCCACGACGACGCCCCAGCGCTTGTTCCAGCGGAACTTCCCGCGGAGGAACAGCCACCCGGCGTGGACTTTCATGGCGTTGAGCAGCACCGCGCCAACAGCTTTCCGGCGCTTCTGACGCGCAATGTCCAGCGGCATAAAGCCCTTGCGGTTCACGGCGTAGGGGTCAGCGCCCGCTTCCAGCAGCGTCTCGACGACCAGCGGGTCCCGGTTCGTCTTGGCGGCATAGTGGAGGGCCGTGTTCTTGAGCTTCGTGTCGTCCACGGCGTTCACGTCGGCACCGGCGGCAATGAGCTCCGAGACAATGGGCTCGTTGCAGCGGCACGCCGCGGCCTCCATGAGCGGCGTCGTGCCTTTGCGGTGGTGCTTGAGGTTGAGGAGGTTGCGCGCGACGGCAGCAGAGTCCTCAATGAGCTCTCGGACTTTGACTTCGTCGCCAGATCGCGCAAACTTCCAGAGCATGTGGAAGTCGTTGCTGTGTGGAGTCGGCATATTGGCTGCTGTTTGCTGCTGCTGGTGGTGGCGGTGGTAATGGGCAGACCGATGGAGCGAGAGAGGAAGACGAGAAGCGGGTGGCAGGGAGACGGGAGATTCGATAGTGGCAGTCCTTTGGCCGCCGCGGCGAGCGCGGGACAAGTCGGTGGGCCACTCTACTATTGCTGCGCAATGGTGGACGCGCTCGGTTAGCGGCTATATCCAGCGGCTTTCGTGTGATAGGCGACTTGTTCTTCCACGTGGTACAAAGTTAGACTGTCGATTCGCACCTATTACTGCGACTGACTGTCATCACGCGGCACTCCCTGCGATGAGTTGCTGTACCTGCACTTCTTGTTCTTGGTACGGACTGACGTTCACTTGGCACAAATGAAGGCGTCCGACTTCTCACCCACTACAACTGCTCGTCGAAAGTAGCGACAAAAACGTGGGATGCTGATTCAGGAGACGACGAACCCGTTCTCTCTCGTATGCCGACATGATCCTACTAACAGTCACTTCATCTGCGGCGGTGAACACTGGCAGCGAAACTTGGCCGTTCACGGGCGTCGGACATGGACTGAACGTTCTTCTTCCATCGGCCGCAATGCTGAGCGCTTTCTCGCAGTCCTTCCACTTCGATGTGTATGAAATCGTCCACATTCTTTTTTGTCTCAATTATGTATGTAGCAAGCACTTTTTTCGTCCGCCGTGATGCACTGTTCAGACAGAGAAGTCCAGTCCAGTGGTGACAAAAAAGCGTCGTTCGCACACCGAAAAAAGCAGGAGTAGTCTGTATAGCACAAACACGAGATACCAATTTGGGACGAGTGTCTTGCGGCGGCGGCGGCTACGGCGGCAACAATTGTGTCTGCAACGTCTGCAGCATCTGTATACCTAATTGCACAATGTCCGTACACGACCTTCAAAGTAAAAACACGGTCCACATTCGTTTATCACATCGTCCTTTTATTTTGACAACGTTACTTTACTCAATTGCCACCGCGCAGACGGAGCACCAGGTGCAGCGTCGACTCCTTCTGGATGTTGTAGTCGCTCAGCGTACGGCCGTCTTCCAGCTGCTTGCCGGCAAAGATCAGTCGCTGCTGGTCCGGTGGAATGCCCTCCTTGTCCTGGATCTTCTGCTTCACATTGTCGATCGAGTCCGACGGCTCCACGTCCAGCGTGATCGTCTTGCCCGTCAACGTCTTGACGAAGATCTGCATACCACCGCGCAGACGGAGCACCAGGTGCAGCGTCGACTCCTTCTGGATGTTGTAGTCGCTCAGCGTGCGGCCGTCTTCCAGCTGCTTGCCGGCAAAGATCAGTCGCTGCTGGTCCGGTGGAATGCCCTCCTTGTCCTGGATCTTCTGCTTCACATTGTCGATCGAGTCCGACGGCTCCACGTCCAGCGTGATCGTCTTGCCCGTCAACGTCTTGACGAAGATCTGCATGCCACCGCGCAGACGAAGCACCAGGTGCAGCGTCGACTCCTTCTGGATGTTGTAGTCGCTCAGCGTGCGGCCGTCTTCCAGCTGCTTGCCGGCAAAGATCAGTCGCTGCTGGTCCGGTGGAATGCCCTCCTTGTCCTGGATCTTCTGCTTCACATTGTCGATCGAGTCCGACGGCTCCACGTCCAGCGTGATCGTCTTGCCCGTCAACGTCTTGACGAAGATCTGCATGCCACCGCGCAGACGAAGCACCAGGTGCAGCGTCGACTCCTTCTGGATGTTGTAGTCGCTCAGCGTGCGGCCGTCTTCCAGCTGCTTGCCGGCAAAGATCAGTCGCTGCTGGTCCGGTGGAATGCCCTCCTTGTCCTGGATCTTCTGCTTCACATTGTCGATCGAGTCCGACGGCTCCACGTCCAGCGTGATCGTCTTGCCCGTCAACGTCTTGACGAAGATCTGCATGCCACCGCGCAGACGAAGCACCAGGTGCAGCGTCGACTCCTTCTGGATGTTGTAGTCGCTCAGCGTGCGGCCGTCTTCCAGCTGCTTGCCGGCAAAGATCAGTCGCTGCTGGTCCGGTGGAATGCCCTCCTTGTCCTGAATCTTCTGCTTCACATTGTCGATCGAGTCCGACGGCTCCACGTCCAGCGTGATCGTCTTGCCCGTCAACGTCTTGACGAAGATCTGCATGCCGCCGCGCAGACGGAGCACCAGGTGCAGCGTCGACTCCTTCTGGATGTTGTAGTCGCTCAGCGTGCGGCCGTCTTCCAGCTGCTTGCCGGCAAAGATCAGTCGCTGCTGGTCCGGTGGAATGCCCTCCTTGTCCTGGATCTTCTGCTTCACATTGTCAATCGAGTCCGACGGCTCCACGTCCAGCGTGATCGTCTTGCCCGTCAACGTCTTGACGAAGATCTGCATGCCGCCGCGCAGACGGAGCACCAGGTGCAGCGTCGACTCCTTCTGGATGTTGTAGTCGCTCAGCGTGCGGCCGTCTTCCAGCTGCTTGCCGGCAAAGATCAGTCGCTGCTGGTCCGGTGGAATGCCCTCCTTGTCCTGGATCTTCTGCTTCACATTGTCGATCGAGTCCGACGGCTCCACGTCCAGCGTGATCGTCTTGCCCGTCAACGTCTTGACGAAAATCTGCATCTTGAAGTAGAAGAAGGTCTCGCGCGGGTGTTGGTGGTCTTTCTTGTGCTTGTGGTCCAGTTGGGAAATTGGAGAATGAGGTCTCCAACGGTAGTGGGCGCTGAACGGCCGCAGTCGTCAAATCAGTCAGAAAACGCCGTCTGGGACGTGGGCGTGCGTCGTTTCCCGTTGGCTGAATGGATTATCTTCCAGAAGGTTCCCTACATATCCCAGATGGCGAGTCACGTACAGCCCGCCAGCTGCGTGTTTGGATCAGAAGATATTCTTCCTAATCGACCATCATTCCTTCGCGCAACTGAACACAAGGATAAAACCCATGGATTTTCGGCACCTTCCTTCCACACGTACCCCTTCGAGATTTGCTGTCAGCGCTGTGGCGAATCCTAGCAAGTGATAAACTATGACAGCTCGATGATCAGATCCGCCCTGTCGTGCCTTTTCCTGAGTCCATTACGTACGAACGAATGACTGTACCGGTAGTAGATACATAGCAGTATAATTATCGGGTTCATTGACAGCTCTTGCAGATGCAATTAGATCGATGACTGCTTGACGACACCAGCAACGACCCAAAGAAACATTTGCGCCCATATTTGACCCATTACATGTTGCCGCAGCTTTACAAGTCGGGTAGACCGTCCATTTGGGGCTGACTCGGCGTCACTGTCTTCGTCGTAAAGTACACGAATCCCTGCAGTGTAGCGACCAACAAGTTGTACAACACAAAGAACTTGGTCCAGCCCGCGTACTCGTACGTCTGGGCACACAACACGGCAAAGAACAGAACGGTCGCAGCGCGGCCAATGTAGTTGCCCAGGAACGGCAAGTACATCTCGACGCTCACGCCATTTACCACCGACTTGAGGTCGTACATAATAATCGCGGTACCTGCCAGATGCACAGGAATGCTGCATGTGAGCCCCCTTCTTCTTCGAGCTCTCCCTCTAACAACACAGTGAGCAACTTACCGAACGCCATCGTGTACAACCCCAGCGACACTACAAACAATCATCAGACCACAGGTACATCATGAGCACATGTACGATCCCACACACTACCAGCCTATCCACGCGGCAAAGTGCTCACCCGAAGCGTATGTGAAGTGAATGAGCATGCCGAAGCCCTGGACGATCGTAAACACCGCGGCCAGCGTGTACAGGCCACTAAAGACAATGTCCACCAAGACTCCTTGGTCGCCTCTGCTCTCCTCGCTTTGGCCACCGCCCCATCCATTGCCAGCACTTCCACTGTAGCCACCATGGGGATCGTACTGAGGCACAGCATATGGATGAACACTCGGAGCGGCATATGGCATCTTGTGCGGCGGCGGCTGCTTCTGCACGTGTGGGCGGCCCGTCTGACTCGGCCCTTGCGTCTCCTGCTTCTCTTCTTCGTCGCCCGCATCCACGAGCGGATTGTACATGGCGTGACAGCCATTGGCGTTGCCCAACGGCACGCGCGGGGCGTCGTCCACGAGCGGCTGCTCGAGCGCTTGGGCCGGGCCGTCCATACTGTCAAAGGCAAGTGAACGGGGTGATGGACTGATGAATTAATTGTGAGAGGTTTTGTGCGTGTTAGGTGTTTTTTCGTCGAAACGTCTCAGGTACCCACGAGCGAATCAGAAGCGAGCGAGCTTCCCCTTAGCGACATGTGCGCGTAGCTTCTCGCTCGCTCACGGGCGCGCGGCAGACGGGGCAATGCCGTTCAGCTGCTCGAGCGCGAGCATGAGCGCGTGCGTCCCCAAGCGGCCGTGGCCTTGGGCCTTCACCGCCACGTACAGCTGGTTCGCGAGCGCGAGGCCAGGAAGAGCGAGGTTCATACTGCTTGACAACAACGGAACACGAGACAGTGGCAATAGCGTCAATACAACCCCCGAGTCGAACACCCGCGTGCGTGCGCTGCTATGCTCGTGTCGTACCTCGCGGCCTCTTTCAGCGCGATGCCCATGTCCTTGACAAAGTGCTCGACAAAGAAGCCCGGGTCGAAGTTGCGCTTGGCGATGCGCGGGCCAAGATTGCTGACCGACCACGAGCCTGCAGCCCCTGCGCTCACGGCGCGAATGACTTTCTCCGCGTCCAAGCCGCTCTTGTGCGCATAGAGAAGACCCTCGACGACGCCGATCATGTTCGTGGCGATCAGGATCTGGTTGACCATTTTCGTGTGCTGGCCAGCGCCAGCTCCGCCCATGTGGCAGATGTTCTTGCCCATGAGCTGGAACAGCGGCCGCGTTGACTCGACAGTGGCCGTGTCTCCCCCGACCATAATGGACAGCGTGGCCTCACGTGCACCCACGTCGCCGCCTGAAACAGGGGCGTCCAGACTCGAGACGCCCTTTTGCTTGGCCGTCTCGTAGATCTCCTTGGCTAGTGACGGTTCGCTAGTGGTCATGTCAACAATGACGCCTCCTGCCTTGATCGACGACAACACGCCTTGCTCCGGGTCCAAGAACACCTTGCGAACGTCGCTCGGGTAGCCCACAATGCCAAACACAATGTCTAGTGCAACCATAAACAAGCACGTCCAGCAATGAGCTCTGTCAGCAGCAGAAAAGTCGCACTTGTGGTGCGACGCACGACACAAGTTTCGACGCACCGGACACCTTTGCCACTTCGGCGGGGGAGCTGGCAACCTGCGCGCCTTCCTTCACCAGGTCTTTGCACTTGGCGGGTGTGCGGTTGAACACCGTCACGTCATAGCCGTGTTTCTAATCTCGGTCCACGAGTCAGTCCACGAGTCAGTCGAGAGCTTCCGATGTGTCCTGTGCCCCATCGAAAGTAGCTGAGCTATGCTGGACGAGTACCTACCAGGATATGACCGACCATGCTCGCGCCCATGACGCCCGTTCCGATCCATCCAACTCTAGATCCAGTCACAACGTCCGTCCGTTATGTTGTAGCGCTCACACCATTGACAAGACCCGCATTGCAATGGACGAGATGCTGCACCTGGGCTTGACAGCGACGACCATCTTTCGAGGTGCGTTCGGTCGACTTTTTTGTCCTGGGGCTCTGGGAAGATTCGCGGTCGAGCGAGCTACTATTCGAAGCGATTGACCGGGACGCCCTAGCCTGCAATTTGCAGATTACGACTCAGCTCAAGAGGCGGTCCGTGTCTCCTGCAACTTCAACTGGCGTGGGAATCCGCTTTAGCTCACGGTATACCGGTCAGAGCGAATCTTACTGGTAGAAATTCGAGGTGTGTGCGGGAATCCCGAGCGACCGTCGTACTGGAACGGGGGACCCTGTTTCATGTATTTGACACTACTTTCGATGCCATTGTGAGGATCAGCGTAGCCTGTATTCTTTTTCACGACGATCGTAGCAAAGAATAGGCATCGGAATGACCGAAGCGGGTGATCGATCATATGCGAATCTTGCAGTCGATGGGGAGTATTCGACAGTAGTTGACGCTCGTTGGCTCAAATAGACCATGACGTTACGTTAGTCAACAAAAAGCACCAAATAGTGTCCGACGCGCGCCACCAATGGCGAGCAACAAGTTGGCATACACTTTGGTTGCTCGAACATCATTGAAGTTGCTTGCAAAAAAGGTCGCATGAAAAGACTGTAATCTTACTGAGTACATATCTTTTGCCATCCAACGAAGCGCTACGTTTCGTTGCATCCGCTTTCTACTACATAACGGCGTTAACGAGGTTTTGATGCATCTGACTAGTACTATCATCAACGTGGATCGCTGAACACGACATCCGTGTGAGCGAAGCGTGCCCCGTGACACAGAGCTTTTCATTCTCATGCCTACAGATTTGATGATGTTGTGTACTGATGAGGCTTCTACGATTGTTCAGGTAGTCTGCAAACAGGCAAGAACTGTCAGATCAAAGCACGGCTTCCGCAAAGATCTCAGGTACACGAAATAGAGGAGGAGCCGTGTCTCGTACCTCTACACACGTGCCAAACCTATCCAGGAGCCTGCAGATACAGTACCTTGTGGGCAATCTGAAGATCAGAAACCTTGAGGTTCATTATCTGTCTAATGTTGATCCACTTCGACTTGTTGGAATCTTGGCGATCGTTCAGTCGCTTAGGCTGTTTTTTGACTGATTGCGTTCACCCAACTCTTTGAATGCAAAGTGCACACGAACCGAAAAGCTGCAACCTCCGCTAGTTAGTTAACTCTCCATCACTTCTGGTCATTACTTGTCAAAGAGAGTACTGCAGTTAGCTGGCTGCAACAAGCTATAAGGAGCACCTGGACGATTCATCCTACTGGCCTTCATTCCTGAGCTATCGATAGATACCTGCGAGAGATCCCGTCGTGCCAAACATCATTCAAAACAATGACTACCACGACATGAGTTCCATTGCCAACACACAATCACGAATAAGCCATATCCCATATCTCTACGATGATGTGCCAAGTTGATCAGCACTTGTTGCCAACGCACGTTCTCGATAAACAGCGACCAAACGTCTCTACTGCAGCACTTCTACGTACAACAAACGTTTTGTTTGTCATGGACATCCGACACCAACACCGACAACGACCACTGAAATGCCCAGCGATCGAAACACAAACAGACACTGACGCATCGGCAGAAGATACTGTAACTTCTTACTGATAAAAATGAGGCCGTCAAGTATTCCGCATCGAACCAAGAAACCGATTCGGGCGGCGCTCGACTGAGTCCCCACTCACGCGCGTCAGTCGACTGGAAAGCTACACCACCTCCACGTTGTCGACTTTCTCGGGATAAATACCTGAAACAGCATACCGCAACCCGGGTTAGTCGAGGCACTAGCCACCACAAGCTGTCTCATCCTAACGTCGTACCGTTCAATTGCTCCAGTGCAATCATCAATGCTTGCGTCCCCAAACGACCGTGACCTTGCGCCTACACACGCAATCAGCGCCGTAAGCCCCCAGACAACTGCAGTCGAACTTGACATGACGTAGACATACCTTCACAGCAACATAGAGCTGATGTGCCAGCGAAAGACCGGGGAGGGACAGGTTCATCCTGCAACAGCAATAGCAACACTAGCCCAGTGAATCTCCATCGACACAATGAATTGCAGAAAGTGACAGCGCAGCCTACTTCTTTGCTTCTTTGAGAGCAATGCCCATGTCCTTGAGGAAATGATCAACGAAGAAGCCAGGATCGAAGTCTCGTTTGACGATGCGCGAGCCCATATTTGAGACTGACCACGAACCTGCCGCGCCCGCGCTCACGACCCGAATAGCTTCTTCGATATCCAGTCCACTCTTCCTTGCATACAAAAGGCCTTCGACAACTCCTATCATATTCGTCGCGATCAATATTTGGTTCATCATTTTCGTGTGCTGGCCTGCTCCAGCATGTCCCATGTGGCGAACCGTCTTGCCCATTACGCTGAGAAATGGCATTGTGACGTAGACAGGATCAACGTCTCCGCCAACCATAATGGACAGCGTTGCATCGCGAGCACCAACATCGCCTCCCGACACGGGAGCATCGAGAGTGGAAATACCCCTCAGCTTGGCTGCGTCATAGATCTTCTTTGCCAGTGCAGGTTCACTGGTCGTCATGTCCACGATAATACCGCCAGCCTTCATTCGCGAGAGCAAACCCGAGTCCGGGTCAAGCACGACCGACTTGACATCGCTCGGATAGCCGACCATGATAAACACGATGTCTGGACATGAACATGGAAAAAGGTGAGCCTCAGATACGCCACATTGTAGTAGGGCGACGACAAGACCAACCGGCGTTTTGGGCTACTTCAGCTGGTGAACCTGCGACTCTTGCCCCCTTTTCTCGTAGCTCGTCGCATTTTGAGAGCGTTCGGTTATACACAGTGACTTCGTAGCCGTGGTTCTTTAGATTCAGTAGCAACGAGTAATGAGTGCACTAGCTCGTCTCCAACACACTATGCCACGAACAACCTACCATCAAATGGCCGCACATGCTCGCACCCATGATACCTGTTCCGATCCAGCCCACACTGTAAGACAACAGTCGTACATCAATCAGGGGGCTCACACACACAAATGTCATACCAAGCGCGTACCGAATTTTGACGCGCGACACAGACACGAGGTCAAGCGGTTGTGCTTGAAACAGTGCTGCAATTGAAACACGAACAGCATTAGCAAGCCGCACAAGAACGCTTGCTGGTCAGCACAAAACGGTGCGTATCGTGCAGCATCCTACAGCTCGTCTTCAACGCAGAATCTTCCAACTCTGGATGGACCGTGGCAGCAATCTCTTGTTCGACGGGTGCAATCGTAGCTGGAGCAGGAGCACTTGCAACTTGCTCTAGCCGCCGCTGCGAGTTCGGTACCACCAGCTCATCATCAATCACCACGCGACTTTCCGAGTACGACTTGAACAAGTGTTCACTCAGACGATGGTTGTGGCGATTGATCTGGGCCACGACCCGGACGACATATTTGCTTTTACCGTGTCCTTCCGGGTCATTCGGCTTGCGTTCCGAGATACAGGCTCGGATCATGGCAGGGCATCCCATATAGCGATAGTGCTGCCGCGGCCGTTTACCTTTGCCACGGGGTTTTGTCTTGACACCGTGCGTGCACAAGTAAAGCTTCTTGACAAACCCAACACTCTCGTCAATGGGCTCCTTCATGCTGTTCCTCTTCGCCGCTCGAGAGTTTACAGCCTTTGCCGAGTCCGACGTACGCAATCGCATTGGCTGATGCGTCGCCTCACAGTAGTCGTCCATGGCCCGATGGAAGTCATTCCACGAGTCAAAGCACTGGTCCATTCCAGCGCACTGCACGAGCGCCAGTTCTTGCTCCTCCTCTTCCGCCATGGGTAGCAGCTGCGACGGATCTTCGTCAGCGTCTTCGCTGCCGTTCTCCTCCTCCTGTAGCTCCGTCTCTGCTTCGCGCTTGCCCAAGAGATTCGTAAAAGCCGACGCCGTCTGTTGCTGCTGCTGCTGCAGCTCCGCAATCTCTTCTTCTGCACTCGTCTGCGACGCCACAACGTCCGCATCACTAGCAGTAGGATCCGGACTCTTGTCTTCCATTTTCAGCGGCGGCGAGAAGCTCGAAGGTCCATCGAGAGACGGACTATTGCGACGTCGCTCGCTGTCCGTCGAGTCCATTAGTAGGGGGCGTGTGCGTCGACCGTCGGAGTAATACCGGTACGACAGCAAAAAAAGAGTCGGGTCTCTTTTTACGTCGCCACAAATATAGGATCGACGCCGTGTATTTGGTCCTCGGATCAACCCATGTCGCAAAACCCAAACAAAACAAAAAGCAGCGATGGCCGACGGAAACGCCTATAGTCGACGCCTACGGAGTTTCCGACGCTCCGATGCGGCGCTTTCCGAGGAAGGAGAGGAGCTGGAAAACATCACGGGAGGTAGCTGTCGACAGTACGTTGTGAACGCGTCTGAGCCGGTGCAAAGGGCATTGGAACTGCGGTCAGGAGATGATTGCGAAGACGAGGACGAAGAGGACGACGAGTTTAGTGACTTTGAGGAGCCGGACGACGACTTTATGGGTCCAGTGTACCGCAGTACGGCGTACATTCCACCTTATGTGGGGAAAGAGGACATGACCGAGTCCGAGGGCGTCCAGGAAGAGGAGGAAGAGAGCGATTTTGCGCATGCAGTGCAACGTTCGGAGCTCAAGATGCGAGCGGCAGGAGCTGCTGCGTATCTTCAGATACCGAGACGTGCTGGTGGATTATGGCAGGAGTTGGTTGTGGAATCGAAGGCGGCCAAGACGGTGCTCAAGGGCTTGCGACGCTTGTGGCGCTTGGTGCTACGCAATTCGTTCATGGCGGTGAATGTGTTGTGGCTGCTCGCGCCGCTGTGCTGCTTTGCAATTGCTATTTCGGTACCCCAGTACTTGAAAAGCGCGATTGAGTATGTGGACGTCTTTTCGATGTCAGGGACGGGTGCGCGTGGAAGTAGTGCACACGCAGGTGTTGAGGGAGAGACCATGAGATCGATGGTGCAGCAAGTCGTGGACTCGCAACTGCTGGGCATGAGCGAAGAAATGAAGCTACTGCGGCTACACTGTGCGATCTCAGGAACGAGAAATAGAGGCTCTTAAACAGCTTCATGATTCGTTGCAGTACGCTCATGATGAAACGCAGCAACAGTTCAGTCTAGCTGGCTCCGACAGCATCATTGCAGCTCATATCGAGAAAGCTGTCGCTCAACGTACAGAAGGACTGGTAAGTGTGTGTGGAACGCGTGTGAGTTGTTTGGTAGCAGTCTGATTGACACGCATCGTGTTGCTGTCCTTTTTACTTCGACACAGTGGGAAAGATTCTCGGAAAGTACAGTACAGCTACAGCAAGATCTGCATGTTGCAAGGGAACAGCAGGCCAAGCTTTTGTCGGTAGTAAAGGAGCAGGAAGAGAAGATGAACGTAAGCTACGTTGTTCTTCATCGTCTGTATCTATCTATTGCTTACGGCGTTGCTGCTTTTGACATGCAGTCTATGCAAGATAAGATGATACAGCGCACAGCGGCATCGAGGTCCGATGCAGAAAACGAGTACGCGCGCGAGCGTGAGATGAGAAGAGAACTTGTTGAATGGCGTGACACGTTCAAGCGCGAGCTCGAGTCTGAGATCCAAAGTCGAATGCAGGGTGCTGAAAGTCGTATGTCAAGGGTGCTACAAGAGGAAAAGGAGGCATTGTCTTCCAGTGCCGACGCTCTCCGGAGTCTAGATGCCACTGACCCTGGCATTCTCCGCGTCATTGAGGTGGCATTTCAGGCTGTCGAGATCAAGAAAACGGGACGCGTAGACCATGCAGCCTTGGCAAATGGCGCATCGGTCATTCATTCAGAGCGGTGCGTATGTGCAGGGTTGCGGGTCAACCGCAAATTGCGATGATTTGGCTCTTGCCTAACGTAGCATGCTCTTGCGGCTTTTCCAGTGACCTCCTCTACCAGGACAGGTTGTCACCAGCGCAGCTGTTGATCCAGCTTCTGGGACCAAGAAACTCCGAAGATGATGGCAGGTTCACGTCGCCTTCGTATCGCCGTGCGCCGGCCCCGTTTTTAGGACTGCTGCTGTCCTCGAGCGAGATTCCCTGGTGGCTCTCACGTCATAACGGCCGACCAGAAACTGCATTGTCGGTATGCGTGCTCGCTCGTATGGTTATGTAGCTGTTGTTACGGTAAGTTCTGACATAAACATGCACTGCGCTAGGAAACGATGGAGATCGGTAGCTGCTGGGGCATCGCAGGCCCATCCGGTCGTCTCTCCGTCAAGTTTGCTCAGCAAATCGTTGCAGACTCCATCACAATTGACCACATCCCGGCCCAGATCGCTTCTGATTTCAGCTCTGCGCCAAACGAGTTCCGTGTCCTGGTGCGTGGACCAGTGTTTGTGCAGCAACCAGTCGTCGCGTCGTTGCTGTTGTTGTGGCGGAGCTCATGCGTGTTTATTTGTGCTTCTTAGGGCATCTTGGGTCACCCTCTGCGAGAGACAGTGGATTTTATATTCTTTGGCAATTTCTCGTACGCTAGCAAGGGCTCAGCTAGTCAGACATTCAAGCTTGCGTCTTCGCAGGTACGCGCTGCTCTTGTCGTACTCGATGTTGTCGAGTGCACGTCACGATCTCGATGTTTTGCTTTGTTGTGAGCATAGAGTCAACATTCGGCTATCGACGGTATTGTCCTAGACGTCCTATCGAACCACGGTCATCCCGACTACACTTGCCTGTATCGCTTCCGCGTGCACGGGCAACCTGTGTGAAGACACAGAAAGGGATGCGGGAAGCATCAACAGCAGCAAGATCGATGCCAAAGTAATCCAATCTATTCTATGACGGGGCGGACTTCGTTAGGCGTGTTTGGATGCTGCGCGCATCAGCGTCTGTTTTTCACTCATACGAACGTGCAGGCACGACCGCAGCCACGCCGCCATGCGCTGATCATTCGCTCGGAGAAACGTTTCATCTTCCTGTTCAGCACATACCAGTCAAGATGAAGGCAACCTGTTAGATGCAATCGATCAGCAACACTCTGATGGTTGTTACCTTGAGTGAAGAAGAATGCTGCTCGAGTCTACGTGTCACCAGCTTATGGACTACAGCATCGACCTTGCGTGTCAACGTGGGCGGAAGTAACAGCAATGGGGCCATTGCATCTCCTGGTGTCCTCTGCACAACTGCGTGTCTGACAATCTCATTCAGTTCTTCCGGCGTTGCAAGCAGGATGGCCAGCCACAACTTTGCACTCGGATCGAGACTTCCATCGTGCTGAAACCTCACGCGTTTCAACGCAAATCCATCAGTTTGAGTGCCAGCTGCAGATGATAGCAGCGACTCTCGTTTCTGAGCGAAAGCTGGGTCGGCTGGATTCAGCTGCTGCAACGAGTCCGGCATCGGAAGGTCGACAACGTCGAACGGGTTTGCAGCAATTGTGAAGCCGTAATTGCGCAGCAGCCGAAGATTACCGTGATTGCCGTAGCTAATGAAAAGCTGCTCGCCTCGCTCGTAAGCTTTTGTGGTATGCACTGTAAAGCCCTTCTGGGGATCAAACGCCTGGATGCACTCACCGCTTCACGGTCGACACACAACGGACCGTGGTCAGGAACACTATGCAAGCAACGAGGATCAATCCGTTGCACGCGTACCCGTTGTTCGCGTGATTGAACCAGTCAAAGAACGGAATGAGCGTGAATGGCTGATCCTGGCCGGACGTCGCGCGCGACATCAGGATGGAAATGGCCCAGAAGAACGCTTCCATCTTCACAAACTGGTTATGGCTGCCAAAAAGATGCCGATGAATCTGCGAGTAAAAGTGCACTCTGTCACCACATCACGTGCATCAGCTTACACGACTCCCGTGGCACACAACCCTGCGGACGCTGTTACACACCCGTGCTGCATTGCTCGACGCGCCTCCTCGCACCCTTGTAGCTCCTCCAGCTGCCGCTGCCTCCAAAACAACGGCAAGTCCACTACTCGAGGCAGTGCATTGACATACAGCTCTTCCAGCGGCAGCGTATCGACAGTCGTAGCCACGAGCGCTGCATCGGAGTCTCTCTCCGCGTAAGTGAAATTCACCAGCAAGTGCACCGCCATGACCAGCGCGTTGGGAACAACCGAAGGTCCATTGCGTAGCGTCCGGTTCGACGCGAGCAGTGCTTCCCACTGCTGCACAAATCCAGGCGCTCTCTGCTGCGCAGTGTCCAGTGCACAGTCTGCTGAAAAGGGGTACCAGGCGTCGCGTCCAGCCTGGAACACCAGCGTGTCCTTTGGAATGTGCTCGCGCGCAACAACTCCTACGCCCATGCCCGGCACAGCACGCGTTTCAATCGCGCTGGACACGACACCGCCGCAGGTGCGCCGCACGGCGTCGGCAATGCGTTTGAGCGCCACGTCCATCGACGACAGCGTCGCGCTTTGTACCCCGTCACCGCTTCGTGCACGACAACGAATGGGTACATTTGTCGACCCCGACCAATTGTCGGTCGATGCACATACCGGTTATACATCGATATCAACCGGTATCGATGGGTACGGCTCAGTACCGCGGCATTCACTGGACTGCGTGCTCATGACGGCGACAGCGACACCGACAGCGGCCGAGCAGGTCAAGTCCGTCGAGGAGCTCGTGTCGTTCCTGGCCCACTCCCGCCCCGAGGTGCGCAAGTCCGCGTCGAGTCTGCTCGTCCATCTGACCGCGTCGGACCAGGGCCTGTACCAGCTGCTGCAGCTCCCGAAGCCGGACGCGGTCCACGCGCTCTGTCGCATCGTGAGCGACATGCGGCCCATTGCCGAGGACGCGATCAAAGCGCTCATCAATCTGACGGCAGCGAATCCCGTGGCGTGTGAGCGCTCGCTGGCGTGTGGTCTGCTGGACCGCGTGATGGCGCACGTGGGCGACGACGAGTGGCGGCTCCTGGACTACTCGATGATGCTGTTGGCCAACGTGAGCACGACGCCCGAAGGCGCCAAGGCGCTGCTCGGATACGACGAGAAGCTCACGGATGCGTCGCTGATTGTGCTGCGCGAGAAGAAGATCCGGACGCTCACGAACGCGTTTCTCGACAGCCAAGCGGAACCTGATGGCATTGACAGCGCTGGGGAACCGAAATGGGACGACGAGTACCAGTACGTGGCCAACATACTCGCCAACATTAGCCAGCTGGAACAAGGTCGCGACTTTCTGCTCAAGATGCGACAAAGCACGTCGCTCGCTGGCGCGCTGCTGTTGCAGCTCAAGTCGCCGAACGTCGTGCGTCGACGAGGTGTTACTGCTGCACTCAAGAACTTGTGCTTTGACTCTGACAACCACTTTTATCTGTACGATCAACTGGACCTGCCGACGCACATGATGGTGTTACTCGCTGGCCCTGAGGAACTGGATGAAGACGACAAGATGGGTATGAACCCGGTCGTGTACAGCCAAGGCACGAGGAAGAAGCGCGAGCACGACCGACTCGTTCGGCTTGCTGCAGTCGACTGTCTACTGCTGCTGTGTACGACACGGAACGGGCGGAAGGAGCTGCGTCGCAAGAAGGTGTACCCGATCATCCGCGATGCGCATCTAGTGGAACCCGACGACGAGATTGGCGACCAGATTTACAAACTTGTTGACTTTCTGATTCGCGACGAAGATGGCGAGGAGCCTGACTGGAATGAGGTGCGCGCCAAGTCTTTTGCAGCCGATCAAGAGACCAAGTTGACAGACGATGGCGAGACGGTATTGCCGCCGGCCGTTGCAGCGCCGGACACGGCACTTCAGCCAAAGGAACCCGTGGTACGGAGCAAAGCTGAGAGAAAACAGAGGACGGTTGAGAGAAAAGTTGTCACGGCGTCATCGACTCTTCCGACGAGTGGAGAGGACGAAGAGGTGTCAGAAGATGTTGCGGACCAGCTCACCAGCGAGATTTCGGCCCTGGACGTGAGTAGTGACGAGGAAGACGAAGACGAGGATGCTCTTGGCATGGATTAGCTAGAGAGACAAAAGATGTATTGATTGATGTCATAGACCATATCGCATGTGCAGTTCATGGGGCTGTGTCTCTTGCATCAAGTTGTTAACATTTGGTGTCTACACGGCTGTGCGGCTACGGCGTCGCAGGATGCCTGGAATCATGCGCTCTCTGAAGCGCGATCGTATGAGCAGGATAAAGTATACAGTACGACACGTTGCCGCTCGCGTTGGCGCGTATTCGACGATTGCTTTGTGTCTGAAAGCCGTTGAAGAGGTCCTCCTGCACTCTAGTACAATCAATTTATATCGGTCGCCTGTGTGGACGGCTTGCAACAGCTTCGAGGGCGGAATACATATAGTGCTGGCGAGCATGTTCAGGCGCTTTTGCCAAATCCGAGCGGATCCGCTGCCACTCCCATGAAGCGCTCTTTGCTGAACTTTCGTCGCGCAGCAGTGAGCTTGGCCATCCATCCCACGCATTTCGACGTGTTCCGCAGCATTTCCTTCATGTCTCCGACACAAGGGTCAAGGCTGCGCTCACTGTACGACGAGTGATGCTCCAGCGTCGGCGACTGTCAGTCGCATCGAGAAGCATGATGTTAGCTCAAGCCGCACTAGCTAACAAGCAGAGATTGACTCAACTCACCCAAACTGGAAAATCGAGCATTTGCGTTCGCGCAATGTGAACCGCCGACGCAGCAATCGTTGACGGCAAGTACTTGATAAGCCTGTATTCCTGCAAGCTGCGATCAATCGCGTAATGCGCGAAATACTCCACGCGATCATCGCAACTGCGCGATGCCTTGAGAAAACGCTTCATAAACTGGAATGCGGTAGGGAATGTCACGCGGTAGCCGATCGTTGCAAGTATTTTTGCCTCCATCTGGACAACCTCATCTCGCGTGAACGCGTTGTCGGTGATCTTTGCAAAGTCTTCGGCCTGTGGGGGATAAATCTCTTCGTACTTCGAAGCGATAAGCATCGCCGAAACGCCAACAAGTTGGAGACGCTGACGTCCGATCGTTAGGTCCTTCTCCAAGTAGTGGTCGATAAGAAGGACAGCAATATGCAAAGTCTGAGAAAGCAGGCCATACTTGTAATGAACATCGATCAGCCAGTCCACAAGAATCGCACGCATCTTCGGGTTGACATCCGACTGGCGGGCCATGTAGGAGCTGCTGATCTTGCTCTTCTTCTACGTAGCCGAACATCGCAATCACTCGCATCAGTATTGGCGGACACGCGTCTCGCGTCCAGAATATCACACACCGACTTACCTCTACCTCCAACTGGTACTTTGTTATGTCCTCGGCGTACTGCCAGCACGCGGTCGGATCATCTTTGTCCTCCGAATCGATATCGTGATTATCGCCTTCCGGCGTTGGTGGGATGACATCAATCGATGGTGCGATTTTCTCCATCAGTCGCGTCGATCCGAGCGTGCTTACTGAAGTCGGCTCTGGCAGCGCGCGACTCATCCGACTAATGACAGACGACGAGCTGCAGCTGCCGACCGGCGCTGTGCTGCCAGACGTTGCACCAGCATGGCGACTGCTGAGGTTGACGTTCCGGAAGTTGCGCTTGCTGGCGTTCGCGTTACTGACACTGCAACTCCTGGCGCTGATATCGCTGAGGCTACGCTTGCTTGCCACAACCGTCTTCTTGGACAGCGCTCCTGCTGTAGCGACCGACGAGCTGGTCGATGAGCGCATCGACGAGCTCACACTGGACTTCTTGATCTACAGCACCAAAGACCAGTCACAAGACATCCGATGTGAACACCCCCAATCACTCGTTACGGCCCGCCATTTGTTCGCCACTCGACGTACATTGATCCTGTTGGTCACATCGCCAAGAGCCGTGCGTCGATTGGTCACATCTCCCAACGCTGGTCGACGAGATCCGCCTGTAGCGCTTGTGTGGCTCTGTGTCTTCGTGTATCTTGGACGCTTCTCGGGGTTGCCACCGTCGGGCACGTCCCTCGAGATCTGACGCTGTAGCAGTCGCACAGCACACAAGAGACAGCACACACACACACACAAAAGAGTTTGTATCACGTCGGTACTGCAGCAGCGTCCGTTGCGGTCTCAGGCGGCGCACCTTTCCAAGACGAGAGGCGCGCGAAGCTGCTGGCAGTTCGTTCTCGTTGTTCAGGCAAACGCTTGCGTGGGAGAGGGACATGGCTACAGACGGTAATCGGGGACGGCGGGAAAGCAACGGAGGAGATCGAGACGGCTGCGGGTTATGGACAGAGGGGGCGCGAGCGCCTACGGAGAGAGAGCAGATCTCGAGCACCACCGACTGCTCGGATTCTCGTGTGAATCGCGGGGGAAAATGCACCAATGCGTCTGAATGGACACGACTGACTTGGGTTCACTATGGTGAAGAGAGTCGTTGATAATAGCCAACGAGACGTCGTCATTTGAATTCGACGTAACACCGGTACACTCGAGAGTCGAGCGGTATGCATCGCCGCCAAGCGGTACAAAGGGTGAGAGCCAAAAAGGCCGCCGCCACACTCGCTTATTTTTTCGACAAACGAAGTGAACTCGTGGGGGTATTTGTGAGCCTGTAATAAAAGCACCCCAATCTGCCCATTCTTGATTCGACATGCCAAAGATGATATTCACAGTATGTTCAGATGGCCAGAGTGCAAAGCGAGATAACCTTGTTTGACGTGGTGCACATCAACGAACCTAGCATAAGCAGCACATGTTTGCGCCGTCACCGACTGCTGAATGCGAGCAAACAGCTGTCGTCTCCCCTACCCTCTGACGAGACGCCGACTCGCGCGGTTCTTGAATCTGACCCACGCGCGGAGCCAAAAACCGGTCAAAAAAGCAACTTCAAGAGCCGCACAAGTTCGTTTCAAGACCGCTTTTTTCCTCTCTCGCACGCAGAAGATGTCCCCATCGGTTCATTCCTCAACTTGCGCTCGAGTGCTCAAGTGGCTGTTCATCGCGCGCGCTCCTTCGCCCTCGACGCTCTTCTCTCTCGCCAGCGCTGACTGAACGTTTTGAGCCATGAACACGGCCACAAACGGCTCGAACGCTGCCCCCATGAAGAAAGTAGAGACGCTGGGCAAGCGCAAGAAGTCCATTGACGGTGAGCGATGCGACTGCTCTTGCTCGACTGACGCACATAGCGCCTGTGTACTGAGAGTCGTGCGTGTTGACAGCGGCCGACGTGAAGCAGATTGACGCGAAGGACGAGTTTGACCCCAACAAGTTTTACGTCTCCCTGACGTCGCACGCGGAGCAGTTTGGCGTTGACCCGATCTGCGTTCAGGTAGAGAGCGAGCGAGAGAGCGCTACAGCTGTTTGTGTCTGCTCACCATCTTGTCGAGGAGGGATACGTGCCTAATTGTATGTGCCGTTGTTGTGTGCTGCTGCTGTGTGATGATAGTGGGGGCACCACGACCCGGACGTGCGCGGTCCGATCATTGGCACGAACCGCCACCACAAGTACCGCAACGCCATTGGCGCGCACGGCGGCTCGTACTGCATCTACCGTGGACTGGCCGTAGCGTCGGGCGCCATTACGAACAACTCGGTCCCGGACTTGCGGGAGACGACACCTGCCGCGAAGATTGGGCCCCACCCGTCGTGGTTTGATCCGGAGAAGATGGTCACGATTGACCCCTTTGGCGCTTGTGTGGTCGAAGCTTTTCCCGAGTACTTCCAGAAGGGATACGACATTCGTCCGACGATCGCTGTGACGAAGGCCCACATGGACTTTCCCGAGATCCACGAGGCGGTGCGGCTTGGCCGACTCAAGCCGGATGGCAAGATATTGAAGGACTTGTCGCAGCTCGTCATCACGAAGGCTGCTATTGATCCAGTGTGGTACCTTCCTGGAGTGGCCAAGCGATTCAACACGACGGAGGCCAATTTGCGCCAGCAGATCTTCCAGGAGACGAACGGCATGTACCCAGAGCTGGTCACGAGAAATGACTTGAAGGTGTTTCTGCCACCAATTGGCGGGTAAGTACACGATCGTTGTGGAAACCCATCGGTGTGTCATGTCGACTACGACTGACGTACCTGCTGCGTTGCGTGTGCTCTAGGTTGACGATCTACATCTTTGGGTCGGTCGAGGCCATCTCAGACCCGACAAAAAAGCTGGCGGTGCGTGTCCACGATGAATGCAATGGCTCGGACGTGTTTGGCTCGGACATTTGCACGTGCCGGCCATACCTCGCCCACGGAATTGAAGTGTGCGTGCAAACGGCACAGGAAGGAGGGTACGTGTCTGGGTGGGAGGTACTTGCCAGTCGGAGTCAACGTGAACTGACACATGCGGTCGTTGATGTTGGAATGCAGGACTGGCGTCATTGTCTACTTCCGTAAAGAAGGTCGCGCTCTGGGTGAAGTGACCAAGTACCTGGTGTACAACTTACGCAAGCGTCAGAAGGGTGGCGACAGCGCCGAAGAGTACTTCAACTGCACTCAGACTGTCGCAGGTATCCAAGACGTGCGTTTCCAGGCGTTGATGCCTGATGCTCTGCACTGGCTCGGCATCACGAAGATTGACAAGTTTGTGTCGATGAGCGACATGAAGTACGATGCCATTGTCAACTCGGTGAGTTTTTGTTGAGTTGTGTTCGTTTCGCTAGGCGCGAGCACATTTGTGCTGACACAGTGTGTGGATGACAGGGCATTGAAATCGTCGAGCGTATACCCATTCCAGAAGAGCTGATTCCAAAAGATGCTCAGGTGGAGATCACGGCCAAGGTCTTTGCCGGCTACAATGGAGGGGACGTGTACAAAGTCGACGCGGAGAAGCTAAAGCAAGTCAAAGGACGTGGTGACAATGAGTACGAAGAGTGATCAGGACTAGTCGTCGTCATAGGAACTAATGCACCGTCAAGAACTATCTCCTCGTTACACGGGCTCAGGTCGTTCGCAAAGTTTGTTTGTTTCTCGTCAAACTACTTCAACATTCGTCGTTTGGACCGTTTTGTGTGCGATACGGTGTACCGCACGAGCGGCACAACTCGTCTCGGTGCGCCGTACCAATCGTGTGGTACACGTTCGAATCACCTTTTGCGCTTCACGAGCTGCTGCCCATTTCGTGCGCCGTCATGATCCAGTCCATGTTCATCCTGACCACCACAGGGCACGTGCAGCACAAGAGGGTACGGCCTCTCTCCTGTACGTCTACTGACTCTGTCCCTCTGTCGTTGCTGGTGACTGCAGGGAGGTGATCATCGAGAAGCACTGGCGCGGCCTCACGAACCGCAACGTCTGCGACTTCTTCATGGAAGAGGTCAACAAGTACCGCGAGCGAGAGGACGTGCCGCCTATCATCACGACGAGCAAGTACTACTTGGTCAGCACTTTTCGAGATGATCTGTTTGTGCTGGCGGTCGTCACGAATGAGGTCTTGTTCTCCAGCTGCATGAGAAAGAGAGAGCTGGAACGTTACTCTCCCGGTCGTTCTGTATTGACAACTCGTGGCTCGGTGTCTGTAGGTCTCCCCCCTGTTTGTGATAGAGTTCTTGCATCGCGTCCTCGCCGTGTTCCGTGACTACTTTGGCAACTTTGACGAGAACGCTATCAAGGACAATTTCTCGACGGTCTACCAGTTGCTGGAGGAGATGCTGGACAATGGCTACCCGCTGACGACAGAGCCGAACGCACTCAAAGCGATGGTGGCTCCGCCATCTACGGCAAATCGCATTGCTGCAATGGTGTCAGGCAAGTCGCGCGTGAGCAATACGCTGCCTGACGGTGCGATCTCCAACATCCCGTGGCGGAAGAGCGGCGTGCGCTATACACAGAACGAAATCTACTTTGACATCGTCGAGGAGATTGACGCCATCGTCGACGTATCTGGATGCATGATTTCGTGCGAGGTGAATGGCTCGATCCAGAGCAACAGTCGCCTTTCGGGTGTCCCGGACCTCACCATGGTGTTCACGGATCCATCCGTGATTGACGACTGCTCGTTCCATCCGTGTGTGCGGTACTCGAGATATGAGCGGGAGCGAGTGATCTCGTTTGTGCCGCCGGATGGACAGTTTGAGCTCATGCAGTACCGCGTGCAAGTAAAGGACCTTGTACCACCAGTATACTGTCAGCCGCAGATCACGTACAATGACAAGGGTGGAGGCACTCTGGACCTGGTGATCGGCACGCGTGGCATGCCTTCGCTGAACTCGAATGCAAGGAGGAATCTGCAGGTGGAAGATTTGACTGTGCACGTGACTTTTCCAAAGAGCGTGCGTACGGTGGATGTGAACACGGAGTTTGGCACGTGTTTGTTCGACGAGCCGTCCAAGACTGTCAGGTGGAATGTCGGCAAGCTGGGCAAGAAGGTGCTCAACCCGTCACTTCGTGGCAACATTATCCTCCATCAAAGCGCTGCAGTGCCCGATGAGAAGCCCATTGTGCTTCTAGGCTTCAAAGTGCCCATGTCGACTGTTTCTGGGCTGAATGTCGAAACGCTGCTCATCACCAACGAAAAGTATAAGCCGTACAAGGGTGTGCGGACGATGACGAAGGCTGGCCGCTTCCAAATTCGGACGTAGACGAGTTGGCGATATCATGGGGTCGTGTGGAACGCACCGCGCGTTTTTTGCTTCCGGCCGACACTGAATAGATCATGTCGTCATGCACGGATCAAGGAGGCTTGACTGCTAAAGACAAACGGTATCATTGCCGCCGCTGCGCAGTGTCATCGTGGAAGCATAGTTCAAGCGGTACTTCTTTGCTACCAGTACCAAACCGGAATGGCTCTACATGGTGCAATGGACCAGCAACCGCTTTGGACTCCATTGACGCTGCAAATCTCGTGTCTTCCATTGCGCTCGCTCGTTTTATTGTCGCCGCACGTGCCTCCACTCTTCACATCGAGCCAAAACGTCCTCATTGCACATGTCGGTTTCGCTTCTGTCTATCGACAAGACACTCTACCCAAGTGGGTCGTGCTAACAAATAATAGTTGCAAAAAAACCGCAAGCTCGAGGTACGGAGCTGCCGGTCAAACTCGCGACGAGGGCCATGTCATTCTTTCACAATAGTGCCGCTCACCTCTCCAGCCCACGTGATCCCAAGCCCCAATGCCCAGCGCGAATGGCTCTGCATCCGCCGCCGCGACGGCCCGTGCGCCGCTGCCGTCCGCCGTCCTGACGTTCAGCGACACCGACGCCGAGTTCGCGCGCGCGCTCCAGTCGTACGACATTCCATCCGTCACCGAGGCGCTGCGCCGGTACCTCGCGTCCGAGACCCAAGCCGGGAGTCTCTCGGCCGCCAAGCACCAGTCGGTGCAGCTCCGCAGCGTCTTTTACGAGCGCTTTAACCAGCTCCTCGACCGCGTGTTTGGCGTCGACGCCGTCTCGAAGCAGAAGTATGGCGGCTGGCTCGACTACAGCGCGGGCCTCGGCGCCGCGCCGACTGCAGGGTCCGCTGCTGCGCTTGCAGCCAAGAAACGAGTCGAGCAGCGCGAGGAGAGAGCCTTAGCAGGCGTCGCGACCGATGACGATGACGGTGAGGAGTTGTTTGGGTCGTTGACCGCCAGTGGTCGAGCTATGGTCAAGCTCCTGGGCGGCGGAGTGCGTGCAGAGGACGGGTCGGTCTTCCAGTTTCTCTTTCGCGTGCCGCACCCCGTGGAGTTTAAGTTTGCACTCGAGATGCTGCCAGAACAGAGCAAGATGGCGATCGCCAGTGGTCGAGGCGCGAGTCTGCTGTTCACGCAGCTGCTGCACAAGCCGCTGGCCAAGCAGAGACTGGATCTTCGCCGGCCCGAGCTGCTCGTGTCCATCGCGGAGCTCTATCTGTTCTACTTTTTCCGCCATCCAGCATCGTCGTCACATCCAGGCGGTGGCGAGTCAACAACTGCAGCGACGTCGGGATCAACTGCTAGTGGGATGATGTCGGCGGTCAAACCGACGTCGTCTTCGTCGTCGAGCAGCGCAGCCAAGAGCCGGCAGTCGAACTGGCGTATGTACAACAAAGATGGAGTGGCAGCGTTGACGAGAGGGAACCCATACAGCGTGCTGCTATTGCAGTATTTGCGAGCATTCTTGCCCGACACCAATCGCGGCGTCAAGAGCCGCTTTCACGGCAAGCTGCTGAAAGACTCGAACCTCTTTCTGCACATCATGATTGAGTTTTGGCTGCGGCAGAACCTCATTTCATTCTCGGATGAGCCTGTCGGTGCGTCAAGTGAGGCTCCAGGCGATTGTCAACCACCACCTCCCAGCAACACGCTGGTGAGCCCATTCGCTGCAGTGTACACGTCGACCAGTTACATGGCGCCTTCCGATGACTTGCTCAGCTCACTGCTGCTCGCCATTATCTATTTATTATCGGATTCCTTTTTTCCTGCCCCATTGGCGGGAGACGCCACGAGTGGGTCTCAAGGTGGCGGAACTGGCATGATCGCCGGCAGTGGTGGCGCTTATTTGAGCCGTAGCGTCACTATGCTAAGGCCTCCACTCTACGCGTTATTTCGCCTGGTGTTTTCTCGTGCTCCCATTGGACTCTCGCCACGAGCATTCATGGCTATTGTCGACGTTTGGCTCGCATACATCCAGCCGTGGCATTGCCGATCTTGGATGGACTCGAGAGATCCCACGACAGCATGTCTGGGATCCAGGGCAGATGAAGCAACGCAAACTGGATATACACCAGTGTGGGAAAGCTATGTGCTGGCAAATTACCACTTTTACACAACGCTGTTGGGCACTTTCGTGGAACGAGCAAAAGAGCTGGACTTTTCCGCAGGTGACGAGCGTAACCTGGAGATCGTTGACCGCGTGATGAGTGTGTACAATGCGGATTTGTTGGCACTTTTGCGTCGGGCGTCGCTCCATCTAGAAAAGTGCCAGCCGTTCGCGATACCGTTTGGCTTGAACCGTGGCGTAAGTCGCCCACGTACGGACACTTCGTTGAAGACCAAATCTACTGCTGACGTGTCGCTCACAGCAACTCAAGCGCATGTGCTGACATTTTACTGCAAGTCCTTAGGAATCGAGTGCACGCCGGTGCCGCTGCACGATAGCTTCCACCGCGACGCTGAGCGTCTGTTCGATAAGCTGTGGGCGGCGGTGGCGACATCTGCCTCGACGACGTCATCATCTGCAGACTTGTACCAGAATGTGAGTGCCGTGTTCCGTGCGTCCGATACGAAAGCAGATGACGAAGTGGTGGAGCAAGTACAGCGCTTGAGCCGCATGTTGCGGCGTGTGTTTGAGATTTCAGATGCCTATGTCGCATCAACTGCGCACTCGCGTTTGTCGGCTACTGGTACCGGTGGTGGTGTGGAATCCTTTGCGCCAAGCCGAGACAAGAAGCTGCCGCACTTGCTTTCGCGCGAGGGAGTTTTCCAGCTGCAGCATGGAATGCGCTTATGCTCTGCGGATACGGCGCAGTACATCGGTGATCCCATGCTCAGTCCAATTTGTTCGTACGAGGTGGTGTGGCTCGTACGTCTTTCGTACCGCGTCTCGACGTGGCTCAACGCAAAGTTTGGGTTTGTGAATCCGTACCACGGCAAGCGACTCGACGATAACTTGGAAGTGGACCCTGCGAGTCCCTTCATGTACTTTCGTTTTAACTTCCGCTTCCTCGCCAGCAAAGTGAACCTCAGCTACCTTGGTGCATTCCTCCTCCTGTTGTATGTGATGTACTTCTGGTAAAGCTGCGTGGTGTGTTTTCGATAAGCAAAGTGAATCAAAGCTGTCTTGTCTTCTGTTGTGCTGGACGTGGCAGAGGAGTTGATGACATACCGAACCGTTTTTTACAGCAAACCTCTTCGTTCTTGCAACGCTTGTACAGAACGAAACACTCGTGTGCAGTTTGCCCCTCAAAATCCCTATTATATTGCAAAGCACGTTGCCCGCTCGCTCAGTCGCTATCGCTGTCCCCATCACTCGAATCGCTGCCACCAGAAGAAAAGTCGGACGACGAAGACGAAGACGGCGAGAGGTACGAATTTAACAATGGCGGGGAGTGCATGTAGCCAGCCTCCGCTATAGGCGTCGTCTTCATCTTCTTCGCTTCGCTCGCTTTCAACTTGGGAGCATGAATCGGCGACGACCGCTTGGGCAAGTTTTTGTCATGTGGCACAGCAGCAGGCGGAGGAGTCGACGGTGGCGGTGGAGCAGAAGCATCGACTGCAGACGGCGGAGGTGGCTGAGGACGGTTGTTCAGCGACCGTGCGTCGCTGTCCGAGTCATCTGAATCGGAGCTTGACGAGGTAGACGAGCTATCATCACTGCTGCTGGAGCTGTCGTCAGAGTTGGAAGTATCGCTTATGACAAGTCGAGGCTTGGGGCGCTTCTGTACCGTTTGCGGTAAAGGAGGCAGCGAGGAAGACGTCGGGGTTTGCTTTTGTGGCGGTACGGGCTGGCACGTTGCACCGTCATCGTCGCTGAAGTCGTTGTTTTCGGTCGGAGCGTCCACGATACAATTTGACTTGGAGGATGATCTCCGAAGCTGACGTCGACTCTTTCGCACTGGAGAAAACACGGTGTCTTTGTCGGAAAAGGACTCCTCGCTGCTTGAAGCAGGTGCAGAGCGCTTCTTGGTTGAACGGCTTCGTGTGCTCCGCCTAGTCTGGCGGGTAACACCATGCGACCTTGTAGATCGCGCTCGGGTTTTCGACTTCTTGATCAACGTACGTGTTAGTCTTCGCTTGTGACCCTGTGCATCACTGTCATCAGTCGATGCGTCATCTTGGCTGGAATCACGGCTTTCTGATGCACTGCTGTCGGTCCATGCTTTGTTGACACTGCCACGGGATTCAATCTTACTCGAGTCGCTCAAAGTGTTTGTCTCACTATCGTCTTCACCTCCGTCACCCCCTTCATTTCCTTTGCCGCTCAATCGATCCACTCCTTTCTTCTCTGCAGCAATGCACATAGAGCGCGACAACTTTTCGAGCAAGGCGGCAAACTGCACGACCATTGTGTCGGCAGCATTGTATGTACGGCAGTTTTGCCATACCAATGCGATGTCCTTCTTAAATAAACCCCAGTTCTAGCAACAAACACCACCACATTCAGCTTGGTCATCTAATGAACAGCCAAGTCAATTACACGTATCCCGGTATTCAAGCTGCTTACCCGGTAGAACTTGGCTTTCGCGCGCGATCGAATCGTACCGAGATCCATCGGATGGTCAATCACGGACAAGTAATTCGGACAGCCATCAAGCTCCGGATCCACTGGTCGAGAAAACATTTCCTGTGCGCAGTAAGAAAAAGTAAGAACCTCAGTGCCACCTGTCACCCACATTTGCTCAGTTTAATGCTAACCGAAGCTTCTTCCTTCAACAGCCTGTTAACGAGTGCAAGGCAAACGGCCGAAAGGCGGCAAAAGTCGCCCTGAGGTCGCTGGCAAACAAAACTCGAGTCAGTTGCCGAGCAAGTTCGCGTCGTGCAGTTTCGAATGTAGATGCACACACCTTCAGCACGGACCAGTCCACCCAATGTCCAGTATCGCTGCTACCCGGCTCATTCTCTTTTATATCGAGATCCATATCATCATCATCAAAAGGTCGACGCCGTCGTCGTGCCCTCCATGCTCTATTCCCAGCAAACAACGGTGTCATACGCGTCAACACTAATTGGGCCGATTCCATCACTAGCAAACTAAAAGCCGTACCGATCTTGATTTTGCTTGCCGTCTCCATCTGATGTCAAATGCGGTCTTCTTGACCGCAACCCGGGGCGTCGAGCTTCAAAATCGTCGTCAGAATACCCATCCTTCGCCTGCATCACACCAAAAAGATTAAAAAAGATCGATTCGGCCAAAGCACAACATTGACGGCCCGTACATCCGAGTCATCGGCGGATTGGCTCTTCATTCTTCCAATTGCAATGCGTGACGACTGCCGCCGTGGAAGAATGTTCCAAGCAAGCTCTTGTTGCTTGCGTCGTTGGTCCTCGAGTTTCTCTTGATCCTTCACGATCAAGATCAGACGTCCTCGCAGTCGGTCTTGCTCAAGAGATCCACCCAAAAGCGACTGGATCAAGACTCGTAGACCGTCTAGAGTCGAGCTAGCCACTCGCCAACCCTGAACGCCTTCATCACAAGCCACCTGCAGCTTTCCGTTCATTCGGGCATCTTCGATACCAAGACGCTGCTCCTGCCGCTCGCGAAACATCCGGAAAAGCTTTGCAAATTCATCGTAGTAACGATGGCTGTGACGTCTCCGACGATGGCTGCGACCGCTGCTGTGATGGTGGCGTGAAGACGACGACGATTTGTGCCTCTTGTGTTTTCTCCCAGATGATGAAGAGGATTTCCTACTTACGCTATTCTTCCTGTCTGACGTTCTTCGCGTAGAAGACCCACTGTGGCTGCTTCTCTTTTGCGAAGATGAGCTTGGGTGGCTTTTGCTAGAGCTTTTCTTCACATTCTTTGACGGTGAAGACCCGACTTGGGACTTGGACGATAAACCTCGCTTCCGAAATGAAGACTCCGGTACACGGCCGCGCGCTCGGGGAGAAAAGGGCTCACTGGCAATAGACTTGCGCCGACGGGGCCAGCCACGAGCATCATTGACAAGGCATTCAAAACACCGCCATTCATCCGACGGACGTTCCACTAACGGAGGATCGAGATACCTCATGTCGTAGCACTTCTTGCAGTTTTCACAGGTAATATCGAACATTTCAGGTGCCGCAGCTGGGTCTGTTGGCGACGTTACCGCAGTACCCGGCAAGCTTACCAGGCCGATAGCAGTGCTTGTTACTCTAGACGCTTTGCTTAGAGAACCCACTCCTTTATCCACATTCGTTATACATGACCCGCTTGTTTCTAGGATACGGTAAGATACTGACTTAACGTCAGCTTTCGGCATTTCTGTTTCCTTCCGTTCCATTGCGATACTTGCGACGAGGTCAGGAGCAGGCGCTGGTGCGATCACCTGTTTCGTATCCGGCGTCACCGCAGCTATGACCCCTTGAGCATGAAGAATAACCGTTCCATTGCCTTGCTCACCCCGCAACATCATCGATCCGCTCTCAGTCTTTACAGCGTCCGTACATGCTGCACTGTGAGCAAACTCAGCGCTAGCTTTACGCTTTTTCCGCAATATCGGAGACTGTGACGCCTTGTAAGCTGCCTTTGCATTGCTTGCAGCTTCTGCGTCGATATCGCTGCTGTCATCATCAACAATCGTACGCTTTTTACCGATCAAAATGGGCACAATGCTTGTACGGGAGAGACCGCCCGGTCTGTCGCCATTTGCCTTCGCTAGAAGAGTCTTTCCTGAGCCTTCGAAAACGCTGCTTTCCTCGTTCACAGTCGTGTCTTTCTTGCCATAGTCGCTCGGGATAGTTGCGCTGCAGTTTGGCACTTTAGCCAGAAGTTGCGTCGACTGAATATGTAATGCTAAATCGTCGGCTATGGTGGATTGGGCGCAAGTAGGTTTTCCCCCATCTCTTAACTTAATCAAGCTTCCACCATCTTCCAAAGGCACAGGCAGGAGCAAGCCGGGAACGGAAACGTCACACTTTCCGTCTACAGCCTCACTTGCCTTAGTCAACTCACCATTACCCATTCCCCCGTAACTTCCTGTCTCAGCAATTATCGAGGATTCGCCTTTGACAACAGAAATATCTTCCTCTGCTACTAAACCAGCAGCTTTAACAGACACCGGCAGTACCGCGTCTTTCTCAGACTTTACCACTCCATCAGTCAGCGGTTCAGTCTTCGACTTCACTGCCCCAGAAGGCACAACGTCGCCATTCATAGTTGCCGATTCGAGAACCAGCTTTTTTTCGTCGTTTACGTCATCGGAAGACATCCCCCTGATTGCCTTCTCGTCTCGATCGATTTTGTCGGAGGCGGATATCGCTTTCTGTGGTAAGCGAAGAGGTAGAGCCGACGCGTTACCGTCCGGATCAAAATTAATGGACAACCGAATTCGCTTGGCGCTAGCAAACTCCACGAGATACGACGGCTTTCTTGCATGGGCACATGGGCAAGGTTAGACCGGTCCCGTAGTCGCATTGACATACAATTGCAAAGCGACGTACCGGTCTTCAAGCTGCCAGCGTGGTTTATCTTCAGCATACACCCAGCTTTCGTCACCGAAGTACCAATACGATACACCCTTATCGTCCGTTCCTATCTCCCCTGCTCGCTGTGATTGTTCAACCACACAGTCTCTCGGTTACGCCACAGAACAATACATCGCCGCACGTTCTTCTCTCCTATAAACTTACCAAACTCGTTATCGCCTCGTCGTCGTTATCTTTCAGTAGTAATGCGATGTGCTTCTGAATCTCACCACATGTGTCCAATTTCCACTGGCATAACGCATCCAGAATTTTCACCTGCCAATACCCGTCAGATCGACGCTATACACGGCAACCAGCACCCGCACACGAAACAGTACCTCTACTCACCCGATCCAATACTGTCAAATCTCGGTACGTTACGCCGCCACGCATGGGATTCGTCGTAAAAGCTTTGCGCCAGTTATCCTGCAATTTTCGAGCCAACGTCTTTTCCCAGTCTTGCACCCTGTGTCGACACAAGACATAAGCACGTCTCCCAACGCATCCATCAACTCCGCGGCCTTGTCATTCGCTAGCGCCTACGCACATTTTCTCCATTTTGGCCGTCGGGTGTTCACGCGCCAACTTGAAGTGCAACTCAGCCAACAGTTCTACCTGCAGGACCACCAGAACGTCATTTCAAACCGTCACTGCATGCCCGTGATCTACTCCATTGTATCCATAAGCTTACATGTTGTATGTCGCCGCTCGAGGCACTCAGCAACGCTTCTTGGAGCTCCTAGTAGTCAACGATACCAAATACCACACTTTCGTGAGCTCTAGACGTTATGGCGGTGCTGTGCTTGCAATTCCGACGCGTAGAGAACAGGGGCCCCGCTGATGTCTCTTAGCTCCTGTGGACACTCCCGCGTCTCCCCCGTTCCCTCTGGTGCTTCAAACCGACTGCACAAACGCCCCATCCACTTTGCTGCAAAGCGCTCCAAAGCCGACGCGTACCGTTCGCGAAAAACTCGGGAGACGCAGCGGCGTGCGGAACGTGGTACAGAACGAGCAAATCTGCGCCAGCTCCACCATGTGGTCGAGATGGAGTGCGGACGGAGGCGCCGCATGCAGCGTGGGCGCCTCCGTGTCGTCGTCCGAGAAGTCACTGGACGAGCTGCTTGACATGGACGTGAGCGATTGTGGAGAGCGGTCAGTTCTGGGGAGGGCGTCGCCTTTGTTGAGTCGGCTTTTCAGCCTATCGGAGACGGCGAATGGTTTTTTGCTGGCGCGGAAAAGTATGGGAGGAGTATGTGGTCACATACCACTGTTCGAGCGGATAAAACGACATGGTCCGCAATGGATACATCTCATTTTGTGCCGTCGTTTTTTCGCCAGCTATGGAGCAAGTTGAGCTGATCTTCAATTCCTATGTGTGCAGTTACACGTCGCATTTGCACGTTACAATTACATAAGATGAGTGTGACGTCGGTATATTGTCAATGCAGTAGCGAAGTGTCTTGCTGCACTATTGTCCAAGTGAACCAAGTTGACAAGCGTGACGTCTCGTGCACGTAGACTTGATCCACTCACTCAACACAATTCTACTGTGCTAGAAAACGCAATAGCTCGTCATGTAGACATGTCGCTTTTTTCGCTCCTTGTCATTACACGGTATTGACTTGAACACCTCTACATTTGCTGGAAACCTTGCTAAGGCAAATCGAATGCGTCCGAGACGATCGTCCGCGAAAAGTGAGGCCACGTACAACCTATTGATACAGAGGCATCACCAGTGTGCTGTTTCCGTCCTTGCAGTCAGTGCAATCGTAGCCTTTGGAATAGCTGGATACCATCGTACGCTCGTTTTGAGGCAAACAGCTTGACAACACCTGTAACGGGTTCACCCTGTTACATAACAATGACATTATTCGGATGCGAAGGAAATTAATCGTACCTAATCTTATAATTTCAACCGAACGAAGCGGGCAATATTGAGTGACATGTTGCCTTCAAGAATCATATTTGACAGCAGGTAATGATACACTGCTAAGAGGGTGAAAGTGGCCATAAAATATCACTGCACACCACCAATCTATGCCGGACGCGCGCAATGAATGGTAATGTAGAAGATAGAAGTTTAAAATGCTTAAAGTAAGACACAAATTGTATCAACACTAAACGAATATTAAACACCTCCATTTTTTCTTCATGCGAGCCGGTTGGATCCAGCTGAATGCAACTCCTTCGAAAGCAACAGTGTACGTGATGTTTCACTGTCTACGATCAGCACTGCCATCAGTGCATATAAGTCCATCGTTATTGTTAAGGGTACCGATTAAACTTGGCTTCACTTCGTGGTCCGTATGCCAACCTACCCATCATGGACTCAACAGTTTTATATAAAAAATACGCCACCGTAAAATCTTCGTCGATATAATTCGTTATTATTTTAAGACGTTTATCGATTAATTTTGACCGTCGACGAGCCAGCTGTCAGTGCTAGCATGTTTGACTTTGGGAGTAACATGTCACGACCACTAACTTCATGGAGAATCGTAAAAAAACACCAGTGTTCGCCTAAAAAAACACCGTTGCGATGAGGCTATCCATTAACCTTGTTTAATATATCCACAAAAGGGTAAAGAAAATACCACTTTCGATTGAAATTCGCTAGAAACGTTTCTACGATAAGTCGGACACTCCCCATTTTAAACGGACTGCAGTCCCAATTTGTTGATAGCCTGCTCAGGGCCTAGCCCTTGCACACGCTCAGCAATCGCTGCACGTACATACCGTCAAGTCGACTGTGTCACGGCGCAATCATCAATATTGCTCCTGTACTTCTCATTCTCGGTCGTCCCTCCCGCCGTCTTTTAAGATCGCCACCAATCATCTGAGTATACAATAGTAGTAAACGGGGGACGGGCTGTTGCAGTCGATGGAGTCATAGCCAAAGAAATGCGAGAAAGATATAAAATTGTGCTTTTCAGATGTGGCTGATGACTGAGTGACTAACAAACTAAACCACATTTCATTGTGTAAATTGCTTTTGCTGGTATTTTTCTATGTATCGTTTTTATTGATATTGAGCAGACCCACGCTGGTGTCGCGTTCTGGGAGTTTAACAACTCTTTTGCCGTTGAAAAGTTTTTACTACTAGTAGAGTCCAGGTACGTGGGTGTGCGTAAAGAAAAATGAGGCACGAGAACTGACAGATGGTTAATAATGTTGTGGCGATGGTTGCAGGGGGCCTGGAGCGATCATGGTCACCATGATCGACTTAATGCTAAGGTTTTATAACGTGTCGATGCGACTTACGGTGTCCGCGATCAACCCGACGTTGCTTGCTTCTTGTATTGGCACAATGCATTAGGTCCTTGCGATGCCGTGTGAAATACATACCATCGATATTGGAGCTAAATGATCTGTGTTGTTAAGGAGACTGCAGTATATGGCACCGGTTTGCTTGAATTCACGCTGGCACAAGCCGTCCTATTTCCCATCGGGCGTTTATTGCAGTATTATAACATGGTTATACTTGTTCTTCTCTTGAAAAAGTAATAGCAGGTTGGTAATGCTGCTGCTGACAGGTTTTGTGCAACACGGCTAACTAGCGTCGCGTAAGTATTTTAGATTTGATATGGCACGACCGGTCACGCCATATAATAAAATGGCGTGGGTTGTTCTAATTTCTGCTTGCACGAGATATCTTTTGCGCAACGCCATCGTTAAATTTATTTTTGTTGACTCCCATAGATGATGCCGAAGAGAAATGTCCTTGCCGACGTAATGCTAAGGAAAGCGTCAAAAGGTCCTAATTATTAACTAATGGGTGTGTAAAAATGTAAATGCTGTTGGACATACCGCCACCATCTTACCTTTCGCTCTCACAGCGGCGACGCAGCCAATCCCGCCGCTGCAAAGACTGTCTCGTCCGAGGCCGCTTATGTTTCAACAGAAACAAGCTCCACCGGTTCAGAAATCGTCGCTGCAGATGTTGCCGTAACGCCCTTGGCTTGTACCTGCGCCGTTGCATGATCCGTCGTCTCGCAAGTGAAGACTGCAGTCCGTTTAAGAGAGAGAGGGGAACAGACTGTCTATTATACGAAATTATGGTGTACAAGACGTCTGGAAAGACCTAAGCCAGGATAGCAACGCCGGTGTCGAATGATCCGGTGGTTGGACGAGTCTCACCGCTGTGTGCGGTGCTCTAGATGGGGCCATGGTGAGCAGCCCGATGCATTGCATTAGACGAGTTCTGGCCACCTGGGTGTGTAGCTTCCTACACTCTCGCATCGCTGGTGCGTGTAATTGCCGAAAGCTTTGAACTATGTATTTGTACATACATCCCGCCAAAGTGACGGAAAGACCTTCGTGAGCGACCCGATCGCGCTAAGCCCATATAATCGTGATACATATTAACATAATGCCCACCACATCCGCTTCCATTGACACACATAAGCCTTCATTGAATGTCCAAACGCTCTCAGCAGCCGCCGTGAAATGATCGGATTCAACGGCGGGGACGTCCGTGACATGCAAAAACTCGCATGAAGCTGCATACTGGTCGGAGTTCCCGTGTATCCGGTCCAGTAGGCCATGAGTGTAGGCCAGCAACCCTGGGCGGTTGGACAACCCCAAAATGTGATCCAAAGTCTCTCTCTTGCCCGCGACAGACCGAAGGTGTTCGACCGCATTCCGGTCAAAAAGCGGAGGGTCCGACTTATCTTAGAAACGTTTCTAGCAAAGTTCAATCGAAAGTGGTATTTTCTCTACCCTTTTGTGGATACATTAAACAAGGTTAATGGATAGCCACATCGTAACGGTGTTTTTTTAGGCGAACAATGGTGTTTTTTACGGTTCCCCTAACTTCATCATTATGAACCTATCGCGGCCGAGACATCCATGTGTCTATATTTATATCGACGTGACCTTACATATCAAGATGTGCTTATCGAAACATAGCTTACCGATACTCAATAGACAAATCTCCGATAAAAAGCAAGCTAATTTTTCTGCTGCCAATTCATCATAAATGCGTCGTCTCAAAGCGTGATCATTGTCAAAATTACTTTTAATAAACAAATTCTTCTAATTGCGATATCTAGTTAAGGTTGACACGCCATCCACGTTTGTCGCGTGGATAAATGTGCGGTGGCAAAAAAATTGGCGAATTTGACGTGGCTGTGCGCACACGCATTACATATCAAATCTCAAATCCCAAAAATTACGACTTTTTCGCGTTTGCAAGAATAGAGATCCCAGGAAGAGTCACAGTAAACCATCCAAGAAAAACGTCGAATTGGCTTTGGGATCGATCTAAGATCATAGAGCTGAGGGAGGTAAGCGTTATAAACACATACATGCGTCACACTTTACATATCGTAATTGGAAGAACGTAAAGCTCATCAACGAGCAAACGATATTGTGCTAACCGACGTTGTTGCAGATGTACCGTCTATATACGATTTGTTATTCCAGAAGCTGGAAACGCTTCACTAAGAAAATTTGATGGCAAAGCAGGATGTAAGACCTCTGCGGCAAATATGTACAAACTAGCTTTGTGTCGTCCATTATAACGACAGAACAGCGGGTGATTATATCCCATTGGCATCTGCCCATAAATATAAATAAACTGGATCTTGAATGTATGCGATACCGAAAAACTAATTGCTCTCGAAAGTTAGGATACTGCCCTTATTGCACAGTGCATTGACTTTCGGTATCCGTAGCACATGAAAAATGATCTTTCTCAACAAAGAGTCACGGTTGTAGATCAGACACCGTAGAGATGTTAAAATAGCTTAGTGGATCGCCCATAAAATGGAGCGTTCAGTAATTATAAGTGATCCTAATGATATATCAATGTTAAAATAGTTAATGGATCTCTCGACGAAGGATTAGTCCCAAGTCATGTCACTGGATTCGATGCTTCTAAACAGTATGATTTTTTTTAAATCAACTCATATATGGAAGTGGCAAATGCCATTTCCTCTCGTACTCTAGCTATTGCGGGGTGTCGTACACCTTTGACTGATGTCAGTCCCTGTAATTTTGTATGCTCGAATTTGTTAAATTATGGATTTTGGTGTTAAGGACTAGGTTGCGCCTTGCAGCAGCTGCATCAATAACTGTGGAATAGGTTTATTGGGGTCTTATAAATGGGTATGTAAAGAACGATAGTG